AGGCGGCAGAACGATATGTTCCAATCTATAACAAATTAGCTCAAGTTGTCTACCGACACTCATTCGAATGGACAATGTTGTGTCGACCGTAAACTTGACAAATGGACTCTCCATGACAAACTCTTGGTGGTGCATTGCACTGTGAATCGCCCGAATTAACATAAGTTTGTATAAAACGTGATTTGTAGCCCAATTGGGCGCATTCCGTGACGTATTTGTAGAGGTTAATAAATTATTATTATTATTACATTTTGATGGTTTATAAAAAAAAATGAAGTTGAAGGTAAAAAGCTAAATTGCGTCAATTTTTACAATAAAAAACTGTGTGTGAATGCCCTTGAATACTCGGGGCCCCAGTTACGCCACTGCAAACACATTGTTTGCAGTAGTTTGTGTATTTGTATTAGTATAGGCATATCTACATGTTATTAACAGCCATTTTATTAAAGTTTCCCAAGGATAGGGGAAAAATTTGAAACATTATTAGTGTGCTTGACAAATTACTGCATCTGCACCTTTAAGCATTCAATTTGATGTATTTATTAACGGTCATTTTATTAAAGCTTTCCAAAGCTTAGTGTGCTAGTCAAAAGGTAACCTGTATTGTTAAAAAAAACAAGACTTTCATTGTGAAAACAATTCTGTTTGTAGGTTTTCGGGATTTGCGATTGTGTAGATGTTAAATGTACATATTCGTTAATTAAATGTTTCGGCCCCAAAAAACAGTTTATTGTGTATTCTGACGGTTTGGAACAACAAAGAAAATGACACGGAATAGTTGTTTCAACAACTGTCAAGAACTGAAGTACACAATATCTTTATTAACAACCCTAGTTAGGTAAACAATATGATTTAAAATCCACTTTTTTAAAAGACGGGCCTTCAAAAGGACTTTTTTGAATATTTTTAACTTTAGAGGTTAATTTTATCGCTGGTGAAGTTTGAAGACAATTGTGACGATGATTCTTTAAATCGCATTTTTGGACGAAACAGGTTTCAGGGTCATTGTGTTTAAATGGTGATAATCTTTAAACGAATTTGGCAATTTCAGTATTTTTTCATCTAAAAGTAGCCTAGATTATGAAATTGGCTTTCTAGTCATTATCATATTTGGTGCTACATATTTTATTATATATGAAATACAGGTTTGGGGGTTTGGGGGTTTGGGGGTTTGGGTTCCACCTTTTTTTTTAAACTCACCCTGTATGCAAAGTGCTGTTGGAAAGGTCTGGGGCACCCCTAATAAATAATGTTATTTTTTGAATGCCCGCGAAAGAGGGCAGCCATTTTGAGAGACGTGTCAAGTTGGAGTTGTCAAGTTTTCCTGATAAACATTGTACTTTCCTTCTCCAATTTTAAGGCTCAAAGTGCGAAAATGAATGCCCATGATATGGAGTACCGAAGCGTGACGTCATTTAGAACCAGAAAGTGTAGTGCAAACATAGATATAGAACTTAAAATAACATTTAAGTTTGACGTTTAACTTTCCAAATATGGATCAGTCGAAATATATTAAAAACGAAGGACAAACAATACAAAGCTTGAAATAAACCGTTTTGATGTTTACGAAGGTTAGCGCACACGTTAGCATTAGATGTACACTTGTATGGTTAGCAGTGCCCCCGTGTGATGGTAAATAAAATATGTGTCTAAAAAGACAAACAGTTTTTTCTTTTCAATGTCATTTTTATCGATCGATGTCTCATCAAAAAGAAATAACTTTTGAATCACAAAGGAAAAAAGACTATTTTTTTTATAGTTAAAAACTACGTCTATTTTGTTTCGGGGAGGCAGTGAAAAAAACAGCACTGGCAGAACATCTTTAAAGATTCCAAGAAAAAAACGATTTGTTGTGCATGAACTTGGATTCATTAAAAAAAAAAGACCAAACACCAACCTCGTCCCCAGGGTGTCGAGCAGTACGCGCCCACCACTAGCTGCTCTCTCACCCAGGTATTGGACATTAGCATGTGCATGATTTTTGAACACGTATGCAAATGAGGACTAGTCTGGTGCCTGCCTGTGCATTTTATTTGCGTTTGTTTTTGTATGCGGTGTCTGGGGTAAAAACAGAATCAAATCGTCGCAGCGCAAGCATGACGTGAGTTACGAAAATACGATTTATTTTAATTAAACTGTTACGATCTTATCGAGACAACACATGCAGTATCACATTTCATATTAATATGAACAAATTGGAAAGAAAATGAATATTTTCGAGAAGGCATGGACGAATGATTGCGAAAACACGTACTGCACGTTGTGAATAACAGCACTAAGTACACGATATAAATCCATTTCTTGCCAATTGCGGTATCGAATCAGGATACAGGAAGAAAGTTTCCTATCCAGGGCTTACTATTGGAAACGATGTTGGAAATAAAGTAAGCACTGGGGACGAAGTTGACCAAAAACTGATCGTGTAAGCAGGACCGGATGCTGCTGAAGAATTGTATCGATATTTTAAAGATACGAGAAGGGCAAGCAATTTTCACACGAGCCGCCATGCGTGCTTGACTGCTTGTTTATAATGGCACGCTTGGAGAATCGCACTGATGCCATCTGTAGCAACCAAGGCCAACATGTTGTTCAGAGGACATGCATTAACTGTTGTCGTCACAATTAGCACAAAAAAGTGCACAAGGCTTTATATATATACGTCCAAAATTTAACTTGACAAAATGGCTACAATCCCTCTCGAAAGACCAAATGTGTGTTATTTTTTCTCCTCAATGAATGTTCTCTTCAACTCCAGAGCTCCATCATGGTCTAAAATACCAATGTATCACTGACAATGATATTGATGAAATCATAAGTGATATATTAACCAGATTTTGTTAAGTAGTTGGTTTTGTTTCACGATCTCCGGGTCCGTCTCTGGTATTGGTCTGTGAAAGTAGCAGAGAAAGTGTATATAATTCAGATAAAATACCCCCTAGATTGCTCCAAGACATCTGGAGAGCCGTTAAAGACTACCTTTTAGAAGTGATTGATTTTTCCATTTGAATACAACTACGGAGACGTATTTCGAGGCGGCCATGTGTGTTTTTCACACTTGTGTGTTGTTTTTGCAGTGACGGCGGCGAATGTGACAGTGAAGATGCTTGGCAATTTTTGGAAAGCAAGTTTTCAACGCAGACGGTCCTATTCATGCTCATTATGGAGACCAAATTGTCCGATGTGTTCAAAGTGTGAATTCTTAAATTACGAATCCACACTTTCTCGTGTATTCTCCTTAAGGCCATAAAAAAAGTCTCCGGTTTCTGGAATGCGCGCGCGTCGCCGTAGCCATGCGCTTCGGCAAATTGAAAAAGTTTTTTTTTTAAATGAAAGATGATGTCTCAAAACCGCCAAACTCACTGGTTTGACTGGAATCCTGCTGCTGCACAATTTAAACGTGTTTTTAGATTGGGTTATGGTTGAGAATAAGCTTTATGTAGCCTCTCTGGACTCCCATATATTTGCACTATTTAGTCGGGCACCATTTGCAGTCATCAGCACACATTTGAAGCAAAAAAATCAGGTAAAAAAAAACAAAAAGCCGCGTCACCGCACCACTTTTTGGGCAAGCTCCATACCAGAAACCGGAGACTTTTTTTTTTTGGCCTAACATAATCGTTAACAGAACCGAATTTTCTTCTGTAGTTGATAATGTTATACTGATGGAGGAAATGATTGTCGGCGGATTTAGGGGCCACGGAGGGGTCTTCCCTGACTATGTCCCTCTAATAGCCCCTCTTATAGCCCCTCTTATAGCCCCTATCCATGGCATATCTGCGAATTGGTTCCAGTAACCTGAGTTTGCAGATGATTGTGAACTGCCGCGGCTGCTTCATTAGAGGTGATTGTCTTGATACCTATACGTTTATAAAGCCGGTTCGACCGTCATCATCTAGAGGTCCGTTTCAGGTATAGGTACGTAAATAGCATGAAGAGAAAGAACATGTTTATTGTTTCAGATGAATAGCAATTGATTGCTCTTGTAGAGCACTCGAGACCGGAACTCAGCTGTTGCCAGGACAACCGGGAGTCGTTGAAGACAACCTTTTAGGAACCACGAGAAATAATTGATTTTCCATTTGCTATGCCGATATGAACTCTTTGAAAACAACTACGGAGACGTGGCAGACGCAAGGCTGTGTTTTTTTACACTTGCCATGTTTATCTGCTATAGGTCAGACAACGCAGAACTGATTTATTTAGTGGTTTGGATGGTCTCAAAATTGACACAATCACCGAATCACCTGAATGACCGCTCATCACAGATGTTAGATCTTCAGCAGTTTTAATACAAAAAATCTACTTCTCGATTTTGATGATTGGTTTTTTGAGATCGGGACATTTGACTGACGATACACTTCGGTCAGCGCGGTTAACTTTTCCCCTCGTGCAGCTAGCAATTCCAACTTCGACTGCGAGCGAACGGAAAACACTCGAGCTCATGTAGGCCTACAACATTTTTGACGCATCACCTTATAACTACTTCGGTGTCGACGATTGGGCAAGTGAGCCATGTAAAGGCATCGGCTAATCTGGTTGGTCAAACTACTTCAAACCGTCTACATATAAAGTGGACTGTCCAAGGCTTCAATGGAATGATTCTGAAGAACTTGCCTTACTTCTTCAAGTAGGTCTACGAAGCTGTTTCACTTCTGAAGAATAATCAACTACACAAATCGCGACTGAAGAGGAAATCTGCACTTGTACGACACTTAAGAAAACTGCACTTAAGAAAACTACACTGAGGACTTGTGGTCAGTACTAAACATTGTTAACAGTGAAAACGTGCTCATTAGGCCTGAGTTCATATCTCTTCATTTCATTCAGGGGGAGTGTGTGCGTGCGTTTACAGTCCTTTAGTTCTGGTTTGATCTCTCAGTCCCGTATATTGTCTCGTTAAAACTTCACCTGTAGGAACCTTATATATGGTGAAGGCCTGGACCATAGGACTGTGACATCATATGAACACAAAAACATTCAGTTGGTATTATCCTGCAATAATGTCCCTTCGTCAAGCGTGTTCCGTGTTGGTCGGCATTACCGTCATCGTGTTGACATCACCCTTAACGCCACTGGCCAGCTCTGAAGTTTGCCTGACGTCACTTGTAAGCTGTCAACCCGGCTGGCAGCCCTGGGGACGAGGGTGTTACAACGTCACCACGGCCAAGCTCCAGTATTCGGAGGCCGTAGCACATTGCGTGAACCGTGGCGCCCGCATGGCAGCAGCTCGATCCCACGAGGAGAAGGAGTTCATTCAAGCCCTGCTTGTTCGGAAGGTCCCGGGTGTCAAGGCATCATGGGTAAACTGCCGGTCGACTCCTCGTGAAGGTGGTGCTCACCGATTCGAATGCGATGGGGATGAGGTAAGTGGGCTGGGCGAGTACTACCGTAACTGGGCAGATGGGGAACCGAACGGAAATGCAGGTGAGAATTGCGTGATCATGCACCTGTCGCACGGTTTGTGGTTAAATGCATTGTGTTCAACGAAAAGGGTATCCGTGTGTAGACGTCAGTCTAGAAATCTTAATAAGCTTCACATCTAAAATTAATGACCGACAACCTGCCGCGGCCTCCTTGTGCAAAACGCTCTTTAGTCTTAAATAAAAAAGGCTGGATTTTGTTCCCGTTATAATACATGCAGCCATTGGTCTATTGCAAGCGTGGTGAAGCCGCGTCGCTAGGGAGAACCATCAACAAGATAATAATCATAGTCTTGAGGATGTTGGTATTCGGACACTTGAATATAGCCGATCTCGCGCTCGGTCCGCGCCGGGTGCCAGAACTTCTCAAAGACCGAATGGTTCCCTCCAGCGTTAGGAGAGCTTAACCGCGCTTTCGCTTGTATCCACCGCCGCGCCCAAACAGGGCGCTACAAGGGAGGGCTATAATTAATGTCCTTCGCAACATTTTGTGAAGGAAGCACATCGGGTCGGTTTGACAGAACCCGAAACATAAACCGAATCCGAACCGGAACCGGTCTTAACTCCCTCAAACCGACCCGACCCGACCGGACAAAAAAATAAGGTAAAACCGACCAAAACCCGAGGAAAAAAAACGAATATCTGGCTTGGACAAAGTGATGACTTTTTTGTGTCTGCCCTTACCCACGTGGCATGAATTATTTTGCAAAACCATCGTCCTTCTCTCTCTCTGTCATACTCAGTGGGTTGATCGAGAGTAACGCCGCTTATTGACCAAACGCATGGTATCACCACGCGGTTTCATGAAAACTGTCACAATCCATCAATTTCACTGTCGGTCCCGATCTGACTGGAGAAATACCCTGGGAACTTGATAGTACGCACGTTGACCACACCACAATGGGCTCCGGTCACAGTGACTGTCAATAACATTACATCACCTGAATTTCCCAACTGTTTCGGTTTATTTTGTTTTTTTTTCTTCAAAAGATGGACAAACCAACCCGACCCGACCCGAAGTCGGTTTCGGGTCAGGTCGGTTTCGGTTTCGGGTCGGGTTTGCACATCATTAGCGCGGAGCTCACGGCCTCAACCAATGCACGTATATTCTGTGAGCACGGATAATCAGAAGAGACCGTGTTTTTGTTCAAACAAATTTTATGTAATGAAGTCTCGAAAAAAAATTACGCCATGCATCCAGAAGAAATAAACCCTTCACGGCGCCGTTTAAGGGCGGTGGGTACAAGCGAAGACCACTTGCCATGGACTGACTGCAACTTAATTAAAACTCAGAGGGGAAAAAGAATCCTGCCTTGAATCAAGACTACTAAGGCGTCACCGTGTAAAAGGATGGTGACAGTACGATAGTCCAAAGGTTCGATAGTCCGAAGATTCGTTAGTCCGAAGGTTCAATAGTCCGAATATACAGTAGGGTACGATAGTCCGAATAGATGATAAGGTTCGTCGGTCTGACACTTCGGACTATCGGAACTTGATTCGAACTATCGGACCTTATTGTCGATTCGGACTATCGGACCTTATTGTCGATTCGGAATAATTAACCTTCGGACTATTGAACCTTATTATCGTTTCGGACGATTGAACCTTCGGACTAATTAAACTCCTTCTAAATTCGGACTACCGAACCTTCAGATAAATGAACCTTCGGATTATCGAACCTTCGATCAAATGAACCTTCGGACTATTGCATCAAATGTTCTGTTTTTAAACAAGTAACAGTTAAATCTGGAACAACAATAAATCCGGTATGGCCTGTATTTAACCTACTAACTTGTGGGAACCAAAATATCATAATGAGGACCGGTTCGGGTGGCCCATCCTTCCTATTCAATGTTCCCCGGACACTCTGTTCAGGGGACGAAAACTACGGCCCATACCTTAAATTTGGAGCAAAAATCAACCTTTTCGTGTTTCGCAATGAATCTTACTTATTGCCAATTATAGTTATTTAAAGGTTCATAACTGTGTGGGCCTACGCGTATTACGAAAAACAACATGAATTCATATCGTAGAATTATAACGTTGATGACTTATGTAAAATAATTATGGACAAGCTTTGTACATGCTTAGAAAACATTTTGTTTTGTGCTCAATTTAATGCTCGTGAAGCGCACAGTGCATAAACATGAGTCTTGTATTAACTATGTTTAACAAATTTACTGGTTGGCATAGACTGGAGATCTGAGAATGTATTGTAAAGGTAAAATATACAGTGGCGAAACTGGGGGGGGGGGGGGGAGATACCCTCACCTCACTCGTGGCCTGTCCCTGCCAGTCCTTTGCACCCCACCCCCTAGAAAAGTAGAACCCCAAAGTGTCCATTGTAAGTTGGCCTGGCCCAGTTATGGCACTGTGTACATATAAATTACGTTGTGTATTTCTATTAAAAACAGTATGCACTTTTAAATGATAGATGTTGATGTATTTTTATTAACGGCCATTTTATTAAAGCTTTCCCAGAAAAGGGCACAAAAAAGTAACAGTAAATTGCAAAATTCAGAACGGTACATTGTTCACTAGCAAGAAAATTGAGAAATAAGTTACGTTTGTATGTTAGGATTTCAGATTCAGTTACATACACATTTGTTTATTTAATATAAGCGTAGGTCCTAATAATAGTGCACCATTGTGAACACATACAACAAAACGTGTTCACAAAAACGTAAAGAATAACATAGTAATTTATTGTACAGAAGCTTAAATCAGTAAACTGAAATAGAATTGTATGATTTTTGTTGAATAGGCAGACAAAAATGGTGCCTATTTCATGGAACTCCCACGGCCGACCGATCCAGTTAAACCCGCCCACTGTGCACGCGGGCAACAACACGTGCGCCCCATCAATGCCACACTGCATGTTCCAGCCAGCCGCGCCGCGCGCATCATACGCGCTTGGTTGCGCGCTTCTTACGCGCGTGCACGCATGTCGGACTTTTGTGCACGCATCTTGGACATTAATCAAGGTTGTGGATCAGTCTACTTTATATAACCGACATACAGATCCTTGTCATTTGATTGGTGGAACTCACATCACGTGGCATTTGTTATTGCTCCCATTCATGCCGCGGCTCAAAAAGAACTATCCGCCCATGGGGAATGGGAAATACTATTCAACAGTTAGGATCATGACGCGGTATTTGTGTGCAAATGCATGCTGGTGTGCGCGTTCAGCGTTGTGCGTAGCGCGTATTGTTCCAAAGAGCCAGCACTACAGCGTTGGGTTCAAACATTTTCGTGAAGGGGTGGTTGGAAGAGAGAAGTACATTTTCCTCCAGTTTTGTATTGGAAAAAAGTTCTAATATATCAAATGACAAGGATCTATATGTCAGTTATATAAAACAAATATTGAGTGGCTTTAAATTGTGCAATGGGAGGAATATTATCGCTCGGTAAAATCTGGACTTTTCCAGTTCACTCAGCTTCGCCTCGTAAAATGGAAAAGTTTAGATTTTACCATGCGATAATATTCCTCCCATTCCACGCCGAGCCACTCAATATTTGTATACCATAGAGCTATTTTACATTGCTGAATAGCGAAACAAAGTCATGGGATGCTTATAACTTGAAGCTGAAGGAAAGAGTTCCATACCTGCACATCACACCCTGTGCACAAACCCCATACATGTATATGAGACTAGTCTGAAAAATTCCGTGTTTTCTCAGTAAATGCTTCAATATTTTTCCTGCTAAATTTGAGTTTTTCTGACATATTATCGCTTTCTGATGACTGATAGGTCACAGCAGGGAAAAATTAGTGATGTCCATTTAAGGAATTCTTCCCATAGCTTGTTCCCAACTGATTTTTGCTAACAAACAAAATGTACTTAGCAACATAAACATTTTCTGATCAGCAGCTGCATGAAACATACCTTATTCATGCGGAAGCCACTTCTGTGAATCTATTTTATAAATTGGCCTGGTGTTGGATCTTGAAGGATTCAGGAATTTTCTGACTGTAAAATTACTGGTGATGTTAGGGTGCACAGATTTTTAAAATAATGCAGTAGTCATTAAAACAGACTTGAAACACAAGAGTCATTTCATATTACTGCACCTTTGTGAATATACATGTATACTTTTATGATGCTGCTAAATAAAGAAAACTTCACAATATACCAGCTTAGTCTAGTAGTGTTTCAATTTGATTGAATAAGGCATTTTTTTTAACCCTAACCCTGCTGAATCCAACAGGATCCGACTATGAGCAGTTAACCCCTTGTGTACATTCCTCAGGCAAAATGTTGGATTCGGCAGGCAACTGAACCGCATTATAAGAGGCATTGCTTTATAATCACAGAATTGAAGATCCTACAAGATGGGAACTTGAAGCGTACTATCAGTATAGACCAGTATTCCTTCCTTTTGTTAAGTTTTTGTCCCAAAACAATATACTTTTTGCTCTTCTACATTTGCTGCACGCTCCCTTTAAGCAGTCTATGCCTCCAATGAGGCCATGGCTGGGTCTGTTTCGACTGCGGTGACTACATTCTCCATACTTACTCCCTCTGAAGTCTCTTGTACATTTACAGCAACAATGGCATCCTGCAACTGCTGTCTCTGTATCAAACAAAAGAAATGGGTTAGTCAATCGGTTCGACAAGCAATACATTGATCAATATTAGGGCATCTCTTTTTATTTCTATGGGTCTCATATTTGTTTGTCTCCGAAGTAGGGTCGGTCCGTCGGGGGGAAAAAATCTGAAGAGAAACAAATTGCACTCGCATCCGTTAAGATGGCTAAATTAAATGATGCCAAGTGCGTATTGTATCTCGTTTGGTTTATTGCAATGAGTTTATCATGAGTTTACATCACTGAATAAAATAATAAAACCGTACTTGGCAAGAAGTGGGTGACTTACACCATATCGACACCTTCAGGCACCTAATACAGTGGAACACCGCTATACCGACCAGACCGCTATACCGAACATTCGGCTATACTGAACATCATCCTTGGCTTCTGGTTTTAAAGTACAAAACGTACCGAACATTGTTGTTGAAAAAAAGTCAACAGATTCACAACAAATCTACCGACTGTATTAAATGTTATTTGGGCCACTTTTAATTTCCCCAAGGAATAGAAGGAAAAACCACCCGTTGCTAAATTTTGTGACGACTCCTCCTGCCGCCTCAGAATGTGGGAAATGCCAGTTCACTATTGCTCAAAAGGGGGCCGGTGGTACAAAATCGCTTAACCATACGATCACTTATTACGAACACTTCCTGTGGATCCCACGATGTTCGTTATGGCGGCGTTCCACTGTATAATGAGAGCTAACATCCTCTCCTCTGCAATTCTACTGGTTGCTATATGCCGTACTTCGCATAAACACTTGTTCATTTTTAATAGCCCTTCATAAAACACACAGCCTGATTGCCTGAATTTCATTATTTTTGCTTTATTTGTTATTTTTGGGGGGTTAATAGGGTTCCAGCCAGGCTCGGCCGTAATAAAAAAAAAAAAGTTTAGGCCAAAAAAAAAAAGTCTCCGGTTTCTGGTATGCGCGCACGTCGCCGTAGCCATGCGCGTCGGCAAAATGAAAAAGTTTTTTTTTTTCAATAAAAGATGATGTCTCAAAACCGCCAAACTCACTGGTTTGACTGGAATCCTGCTGCTGCACAATTTTAACGTGTTTTTAGATGGGGTTATGATCGAGAATAAGCTTTATGTGGCCTCTATGGACTCCCATATATTTGCACTAAGTTTAGTCGGGCACCATTTGCAGTCATCAGCTGACATTTGAAGCAAAAAAACACGAAAAAAAAAAAAAAAAAAGCCGCGTCGCCGCACCACTTTTTGGGCAAGCTCCATACCAGAAACCGGAGACTTTTTTTTTTGGCCTTAGGGAGCCCAAAATGAGAACCAAAGAAATAAAAAGAGATGCCCTTATCAAGAAAAAAAAAACCAAATTATGAAATGGGCCAAGGAAATAACTACCCCTCCAAGAGTAAAACTGAGGAAATTATATATCAGCAAGACCACTTGAGTGCCATTTTTTTTCCCCACTGGAATTCATTTTCATCACGCACAAAATATTAATGAAAGTTACAGCAGATCATTTGCAGCTATCAAAAAAAGAAACTGACAAAATTGTTGTTGAAAAGCTCACTTGGTTTAAAGACAGTAATGCAAATAAACTCACTGTGAAATTATTTTGTTCTAGCATGCTGTCATTTGAAGAAATCAATAAAAGAAGGCCATTTCCAAAGATATGTCAAGTGATGCATTTTCGGAAATTCACATTAGCAGTTGGTTTGTGATTGGGCGAATCTGTGTATCGGTGCGCGCAAGCATTGACACGACGTACTTTGAACAATTCTGGCCACGTACCTGGTCTTCGGTCAATACCTGACCATCGCCCGTCACCACGTGCAATGCCGTCTCCTCTGCCGCGGCTTTGATGGCTGCCATGGCAACCTCGGGATCAACGCTGGTTACCATGGTAACTTGGCTCGACGAACCAACGATATTACTCATCTGTGACTGGATAACGTTTGCTGCTGCTGCCTGGGAATGGCAAAAGGTACAACAATCAAACTTTTTTCTTTTTTTTATTTCAGTTTGGATTTTATGCTTAACCTATCTTGGTATTACATATTTTGATATTTGTACTGTCCTGTATCCATCACAATACAGCAAAACTAGAGTTGGATTTTGATTGATTTTGAAGGATTTTGACTGATTTTGAAGGATTTTATTGATTTTGATGGGTTTTTTTTGTTTTGAGAATTTGATTGAATTTGAAGGATTTTGATGGATTATTTTTAATGAATTCAGGATGGTACCAAGCTGACCTGTTGGAGTATGCCTGCCCCTGAGGCATGTATGACAATGTTTTCCGTGGCCAGGGTAGCGGCCTCGCTTGTCACGGTTGGGATATCATACTGGACCGGTTGTCGCTTTGTGATAGCCATTGGCACGGCACTGCTCGCAATGCCTGGATTTGCTCCTGCAACTAGATAATGAAGTCAGTTTGAGCTATACATTTCCAACAAATGAGTGTGCGAAGAGTTTAAGAAGATGGGGTGACATCAAATACTTGATTATTTTGAGATTCTCCCTTTCAGTTTTTACACAAATACAGCATGGTTTGAGCCTGAGGGGAGGAAGTTATGCACAATTAGTGGTCCTGACGTGTTTGCTAATGACATGAGAGCAAAAAAAATTAAATAACAAATTCAAAGTCACAGCCAACACCGAGGGGCCAGTAATTTCGCACTTTCTTTCACACAGTAACAGGCTTCCCAGCATTTATGAGAACAAAAGTTCTCCAAGTATTTCCAGATGTTTCCCTGAGAAACTTCCAAAATTCCATGAGGAATATGTTCAGTTTGACGAGGTTGCTGGGGGTCAAGAGGTGGTTGGAAGTCAAGAGGTGATTGCAGCAAAGCAACCATTAGATCCTGAAAATACACAGGCAACTTTTTGACTAGCGATGGCCTTGCTTCTCCCCTTAAAGCAAATTGCTATAAGAGGAGAAGCAAGGCCATCACTAGTCAGGGGAGAGGCAAGGCCATGTGCTAGCAGACGGGGCGGTACGTACGCTGGTACCATTGCATATCATCTTTGTACATAGATGCACGCACGTGCGACACAGCGATTTCCATGTCACCTGTCAATGTTTAACCTTTTGTCCAGCCGGAAAAGGCTCCAATCAGTGTTATGGCCTGTGTTTCTACATTAAAACTACGTTCGCGATGATTATAACGTACCATTTCCATCGACTTTTCATCGACTTTTCTTCGAAATTATGATTGAAATAAAATTACATTTTGTGAAAAAATCTTTATAAAATCAAATTTTGTGGGACACATGGTAAGAAAATCAGAATTTTCGTTGGAAAATTCAAAAAGTCGGACTTCTGATTAAAATCAGAGAGGTTTCATCTCTGAGCAATCCTTTCCTCACCAATTGCAGCAGATACGCACATGTATACGCCAAACTAGCGACAGTCTTTCCCTTCTATCATGCAGATCAGTGTGAATTTCCCTGAGTTTTCCCTGATCTTTTGGTGTTATCCCAAATTTCCAGAGTTTTCCCCGACTGAAAAAATTAAAACTCTGTTTCAAGATTTTTTTCTGATTTCGAAAGTGGCTGAGAACCCTTACGCCTTAACCAATGTTGTATTGTCATTCTTGTTTCAGTCTCACTATCAAAAGTTCTGTGAAAAATCACTCTGATGTATTTTGTTTAAATCCATTCATCATTCATGAAGATGTTGGTATTGTCCCATGAACATCTGATCCCTTAAATTTTCATTAAAAGTCCATTTCTCTGTGAAAAGAATCTTTAAGAGATGTTTCATGGCGTTTACATGGGGCTTATATAGGACTAATCCTGTAAGGGTATTTTCACGTTTTTTTAAATGACCCTGGCCACTGAGGATTATCATTGGTTATACATAACGGTACTCTGGGTCTATCTCCATGGGTAAACAAAGGACTTTCTTAAGGGTGTTTTCACGGACTCCTACGTGTAATCTGACTTAACCCTAACCCTGCCAAATGCAACAGGATGCAACAATGGCAAGAAGTTGTTGCAAGTTGTTGCATTTAGCAGTGTCCGGATCTGCATGATGCATTCCATGCCTGCATTCCGTTGCATTTGGCAGGGTAGGTAATGAATTTTTAAGGGATGAAGATGTTCATAATGACCACCAGCAACCTCACTAGCAATAAGTCATTTGAGAATAACCTATATACCCTTTGCGAGTTAAATTGAATAACATCTGGTACACTCATGCCTTGCCCATAATGCTTGGCACATTTTAACTTTAAATTCTCCAGACCAAAGACACTGTTGCTGTATCACATGATTCGGGGCAAGCTTTTGCATAGTTACGTAAGAGATGCTCAGCATTAATACATTGTTCCCAAAGGGTGAGAATGGCACAAAGACACCAGACCATTCCGGAACTGGGATAATGCTAGTGTAAGGCTTGCCCCGAATCACGTGATACAGCAACGGTCTCTTTGGTCTGGAGAATTCAAAGTTAAAATGTGCCAAGCATTCGAGCAAGTCAGGGTACCAGATGTTACTCGAATTTAATTTGCAAATGGCTTATTGTATCACTTGCAAAGTTGGAATTTTAGGAGCTAAACTCTGGGTTCTAATTCCTTGGTGCTATTGGCCCATCGGGAAATGGTACGTGCGTTGTGCGAGCAGGATAGCTATTCTTAATTCCCTGATGGATTGGAACAATGACCAATCAAAGAACAATGTTTGGTTAACAAAATAGTATGAGGTATAATGATCTCAGATACTTTACCCGTGTGTGTGGTGAAGAACTGCGTCTGAGCTTCCATTTCTTCGTTTTCCTCGACGTCGCCGTGCGCCGTGCGCTTGTGCATCGCCAGCGTGGACGTTTGACGGTAATTCTTGCCGCAGTGACTGCAGATGTAAGGTTTGGAATGTGTGTGGACAACGTGATGCTTGTACAGACTGGAGTACTCGGTGAAACGCTTGCCGCAACCAGCTACCGTGCATACATAGGGCTTCTCACCTGAAGAGCAATAGAAGGCCCCGTCTCAATCTCTTGTATGGTATAGGGCTATTGTCTAGGTCTTTGACAATTACAACTACCAGGTATGCCAGCGGTTTTTGTTACACGGCTGGAAAAAAACTGCCACGATCGCAAAACACCACACATACCACACACTGTAACGTATGTCCACAACGAACGTACAATTTATTGATTCGTCCAAATCAATTCGTGATGGAGCAGCATATATGAACAATGATCCGAGACTGGCACACCGGTACACTTGGCTTTAATGTGACGGCAGTGAATCCATGCAGAAAAACTTATGCTTGATCGAGCACATGTATTACGAGTTTAGCACACAAACAACACATAGCACGTAACCATTTTCTTTTTGGCCATTGAGCGACTGTCAAACTACGCACTACGAATCTTCCTATTTGCTGAACGACAACATGTTGCCAGGTTTTTTTTTTTTTTTTTTTTTAATGCAACAACACAAAGAATTCAGGCCTGCGAGAGATGGGGTTCCAGGCTTTGTTTCCAAAATATATAAAAAGCTGGAATTCCGGCTATAGTTTGAAAAAACTGGCATCTCTGCAACTACATGGGAACAAGCTGATAGTAGTAATAGCTGTAGCTCTTGACCCTCGTTTTGGACAAAACCTTCAAGCATGCATTGACAAAATCAGCCAATTCTTAGACAAATGTTAGAAAATGAAATAATTCTCACGGCCGGTTCATACTTTACGCAAATGTCAGTGCGAAGCAAAATTGTTAACCCTAAACCCTGTCAGACGCCATAAAGTGCATCAGGTGGAAAAGTCGGGTGCACTTTGATGAATTTACATGTAGCTATCAACACCAGTACATAAACTACCAGTTCTCAAACAATGAGAGCTAATCCCATTGAACAATGTTACAATTGTATCCTGCTGCAGTTGGTGACACACAGACTCTGAGGCAGTTTGGCATTCAGACTTTCGACCTCATGGATCTTGCTACACTGGGGAGGCTTGTCATTTAGACAAGTGTTGCACATGGGCGTTACCAGGAAGATTTCAAGGTGGGGGGGGGGGGTTGGGGAAAGCACATTTTTCCCCCGAAATCCTTGTACTTTCTCTAGCATATTCTCAATTTATCTCTTTTTTTTAAGGGTTGGCGGGATTTTTACCGACCCCACGCCCACGGACACCCCTGCAGATGCCCATTTTGTCAATGTGTATTACATTTATAGTAAATATGACTTCACACCTCTTTTTCTTTCTTTTTTTTTTTTTTTTTTTTGCTTGTCCACAAGCTTGTCTGTGCACAGGCAACCCTTTCTTCAGTTACAAAGACAGAGTTAAAACCCTGGAACAAATTACTACTGCCTGGGGCTAACACAAACTTGCTATTGGCTTGAGCAAATTCAGATGAAAGTTATTCGTGTGTCTACTGTGCGCAGGTTGTGAAAGTGTGCTGGAAACAGTGCGTGCATGCAGTGTGTCTTGCAAATGTAGTTTTTGAGAGTGGCCTCAAAGCGCCAAACAACTTTAACTACAGCACTTGAAGATTCCTTCGAGACAGCTTCCTCCTACCTGTATGAATCCTCATGTGGTTCTTGTAGTTGGTGGCGCTGGCGAAGGCTCGCCCGCATTGGGGCTCGTCACAGATGTAAGGCCGCTCTCCTGTGTGCGTGCGAATGTGAACCTTCCGGATGTTGGACGTTGTGAAGCATTTGTCGCAACCTTCAAACGGGCACTTAAATGGTCTCTCTCCTAGCACATAAACACACATAACAAATACAATTAAAGTAGATCACAGATCTACTTTAAGTAGATCACAGATCAAGTCACAAGTAAAGTCAAATGCAATATCAATTCTATTGCAAAGGCCCCCTTCATTGACTAGAGCATTGTGCTAGATATTGTAGAGAATAAATGTTGATATAAGAGAGAGAGCTGAAATCCAGGGCCAAATTTCATAGAGCTGCTTAAGCAGAAAATTTGCTTAAGCACGAAAAAAACATTGCTTAGTAAAATTAGGTTACCGGCCAAAACTCCATGTGATGTACATTGCTTGTGACTGGTATTTAGCTGTTGTTTACTTAGCATAACAATCTCATGGAGTTTTGGCCGGTAACCTGATTTTATTAAGCAAGACGTTTTTGTGCTTAAGCAAAATTTGTGCTTAAGCAGCTCTATGAAATTGGCCCCTGGCAGCTGGTACGGGCTCGGGCAAAAACCTGAGTATAAGCTCTATATTGTCTTTTTTTTCTTAAAAGAGGGTTTCACGGCATGGGTCTACACTTACCTGTATGCGTCCGCACATGTTTCTGTAGATCGCCTGATGTCTTGAAAGCCCTAAAACACATATCCTGGGGGCAGCGATACGGCTTCTCACCAGTGTGGACCCGCGTGTGGCTCTTCAACCCGTAGCCTGAAGCAAACGCCTTGCCGCAGCCTTGCACTTCGCACTTGTAAGGCTTTTCACCGGAGTGAGAGCGCTCATGGACCTGAAAAATATCAAATCCCAAAAGGAAAACATGAAATTACTAAATCACTCTCAAACAAATTTCACCGTTTTCCTCCAGAAAAATTTGTAAAACTTAAATAGAATATACTACAGTAGACTCTCATTAATACAAACTCAGCCGGATCCTAGCCAAAATGTCTGTTATATCAGAATTGTGTGGTTAAGTAGAGTGCTGGTCCCATTCATTGTACACATAAAGCAGAGTTGGGACCACGGCTTTGTTTGCTTTCACCATAATTTGTACTAACAGTGTCTGTACTAACAAGAGTGGAGTGTATATCAAACAATTCTTTTAAGCAATTTTAAATTTAAAGGATTCCATATAGAAACTGTACAGTACAGGGTTCAATTGCGGTCAGATAGACAATTACCAACAATTTACCGAATTTTTTTCAACAAATTTAAAACTTGAAGTGCATTATATCTTAGAGAGTGATCTCTTAATTGATTGGTCTTGTTTCATCTAGACAGCATTTTCTACCTTCAGCAGGGAATACAGTAGCCTTGAAGGTGGGAGGGGATTTGTGGCGTTGGGGATGGGGAAGAGATATGATCCAGTAGCCTGGAAAGAAGAGGGGTGGGGGTGGGGATGGGGGAGAGAAATGGATTATTCCCGTCTGTCAATCAAACCGTGCACACCGACCAAACAGATCATGACTTTTGGTCAGGTGACTTCAATGGGCCAAGTGCACAAGTACCCTCTCAACTGTAAGGAAGTAAAAGTTGGGGGCGACCACTTGGAGAGACATTCGACCGCACTGCCAATGACGCCTGACGCAACACACATGCTTTGTGCACATTTGGTATAAAATTAGTCGTGCGTACTTAATTCGGGCCATATGCACACGAACCAGTATGTGTAAGAGTGTGTTCTTGCCACTGGGCTTATGGGGGGCAGAGCTTATGGTCAAATCTGGAATGGTCCATTATTGACAGGTGTATAATGGCACAGCCTACCTTGAGATGGTGTGCCGTAGTGTACATTCTCCCACACCCGTTATACCGACACCTGTAACCCTTTGAGCAGGATCCGTCCCCAATACCGGAATTGACGAGGCTGATAGTGGTCTTGATGCTAGACATGATTGCCGGCTTGCGCACTTTGGACACGTCATCCTGAGAACCGCACGCATCAGGTTCGATCTGCGAGGTGACAGTTCGAAGGTCATTTAATACTATTTAAGCAAGATACAAGTAAGCACTTAAAGGGAATATACAACATTTGCTTTTGCTGCAATTTTCAGAAATAAATGGATCTGGAGGATAAGTGTGTTACAGAAAATATTGTTAAACTGACTTGCTTCACGTTTTGGGTTTGGAGATGCTGGAAACTCCAAGAAAACTAGCCATGATGCATGTTCTTGTAGTCTTGTTCCCTGACCCCACTTAAGATGAAATGGAGCAACTTGTGGACTTTGGGGAATCGTAAGGTCAAAGAATCTGTCTAGCAGGCTCATACCCATTCACAAGTGTGTAATCAATTGCAAAGAAAGTGCAGAATAACTAAATATGAACAATTTGAAGCAGTTTTTGAAGAAAAGCCAGTTTTCTCCAACGCTGGTCGGCCGACTAGCGTTGGAAAAATAAAAGTTTTCTTGAAAATTTCAGCACGCAAGGAGCCACGATTTTACAGGATGCTTTATACAGTCATTCCCTAACAATCCAGTAAAATATTTTGTGATAATTTGATCATTTTGTTTTTTGATGTTTGCAAATGTTGTATCTTCCCTTTAAGGAATGCATTTCACATTTAGTTTAGCATTCCACAAGTGATCTATATAAATTGGCTCACATATTAAGTTGCGGTTTGGGGCAGAGTTAATAATATGCAAACTGGAAACAAATAATTTACCTGTTGATTTGCAAATTGATCCAGTACATTCATGGTAGCTGGGTCCACAGAATCATCCGTGTTGGAAAAACCTGAAAAACGTTAAGAAAAGTAGAGATAACTATAAGCCATTTACAGTTTTCCTACTGAGTGAATATTTAAATCTTAAATTTGAAAATTGTATTCTTAATGAAACCAAGTTTGAAATTGGTCAATTGTTACAAAAACAATCAAATGTAAGACAGTTGTTTCAATCCAACCTTTAACTACATTACATTTGCAACAACAACAAAATAAAAATAAAAATGGGTGGGTGGGTGGAGTGTTAGACAACAAAATGTTATGCGTCTGATGGTTGTCTCGCAAAGTTTGTTGTAACTTTTTCTTGCAACTGGTATACATGTATTAAGACAAAAAGGATGTGATTTGGTCGGTAATAATGAAACAATCCTTCTGATTGGTCAGTTGTTTCAACATAAACATCATGATTGGTCAAGTTTTACAAACAAATGTTGTGATTGGTCCCTTGGTCACAACCCCTTCAATTATCAGTTGTTACAAAACAAGCATGGTGATAGAACACTTGTTTTAAAACAATCCTTTTTATTGGTCAGTTGTTATTATACAAACCTTGCGATTGGTCAGTGTATCCCTCAGAGGGCAACTGTGTTTGAATGAAGGCTGTGGTTCCATCTTCGAGTTGAACAGCTTGCAAGTTTTCACCTGTGCAGGAATATCAAAGATTTGTAAAGTAGAATTCATTATTACTTTGCTCTTCTACGAATATTCTTCAACTAGCAAGCGTCACTTTCATGAACATGCTAACCTGAAAAATTTGTTAACCAACTAGAGGGTGAGTCAAAAAAAGCGGAACCCAAACCCAAAAATTATATTTCATATTTTAAAAAAATGTGTAGCACCAAAAATCATACCGACTGGAAAGCCAATTTCATAATCTACTTTTAGATGAAAAAAATTAATGAAATTGCTCAATCCATTCAAAGAATATCACCATTTAAACGCAATGACCCTAAAACCTCTCTCGTCCAAAAATGCGATTTCAAGAATCGTCGTCACAATTGTCTTCAAACATCACCAGCGATAAAACCTCATTTTAAAAGTAAAAAAATGTCAAAGTCCTTTTGAAGGCTCACCTAAAAAAAAAAATGGATTTTATAAACCATATTGTTTGCCTAACCAGGGTTGTTAACAAATATATTGTGTACTACAGTTGTTGATAGTTGTTGATACAAGTATTTTGTGTCATTTTCTTTGTTGTTCGAAACAGTCCGAGTTCACAATAAATTGCTTTTTTTTTTGGACGAACAGGTTTTCGATTCATTGCATTTAAATGGTGATATTCTTTGAACAGATTGAGCAATTTCAGTAATTTGTTCATCTAAAAGTAGCTTATGAAATTGGCTTTCCAGTCATTATCATTTTTGGTGCTACATATTTTTTTAAATATGAAATATAATTTTTGGGGTTGGGTTCCACTTTTTTTTTACTCACCCTGTAAAAGCATTTCAATACGTTTAAGTTTTTATACCAAGCTGCTAAAAAATACGAAATGACTTGTCCCTCCCAGACTGAAATGTGCCAAGCCAGTTCGGTGCCCGAAAGGTCGAAGCTTGGCGGATAACTGAGCATGTGACAGTAAAATGGTCGATTATCAACGAAATCTGTTGGGAAAATTAAGACCCCCGGATATCTTAGAATGGACTACATGTACCTTTAGGTTGGGATCTTAGGATGTAGGCAGTAGAGCCATCTTCCAGCTGCACTGCTTGACCATCTTCAAAACTGGGTGCTGAAAACAGGACAACAAAGAAGCTACAGACTTATCCGGCAATCGCCTGTATTGCAATGGCACCATGCTCACGTGCATGTCAGATGCATTTGTAATTTAAAGAGGTTGTGGAATGCTCGAAGACATTTCCGTCATTTTTCGGGTATATGTAGCCTAAGGTGTGATGAAATAAAAACGACTATTGTTTCTGTCATGAAATGAGTACAAAAGGTACTTTTGAGAGCTGTTTTCAAGTCTTGTCATGCCTGTTTCGACGCGAACGTGCAATTTGTGTAAAAGTCGTCGTTGCGGGCAGCAAACAAAACACAATCGTGACATAATAAACAGGACTCCCGATGCAGAGTAGCATAAACGAGTCCTGTTTATTACGTCACGATTTCCTGTGTTTTGTTTGCTGCCCGCAACGACGACATTTACACAAATTGCACGTTTGGGTCGAAACAGGACCTGAAAAAGAGCTCTCAAAAGTACCCTTTGTACTCATTTCATGACAGAAACAATAGTCGTTTTTATTTCATCACACCTTAGGCTACATACACCCAAAAAATGACGGAAATGTCTTCGAGCATTCCACAACCTCTTTAAGAAGGCAATTAATATGAAAACTGAGAATGTGTAGGAGCACTGAGTGCCTTGGCATAATGGCATAGAACATGGTGTCATCGCAGTAACGGCGTCCTAACAGGATTAATTAGAACAACACAAGAGCTTTTGCACACAGAATGGTAAATGGAAACTGTATATCTCCCAGAAGACGCATTGTGTAAACTCTGTCTCGCACAGCTGGCCACTTCGATCTGTGGTCAGCTCAGCGGTACTGGCCCATTTATATACAATTGTAACAATCATGTTGGCTCACTCAAAAGCATTTAATAGTACGTTGAACCATGGTTGAACAGGATTAAGAGACACAACTGTAGAGTGTTAATTGGTATTCAGAAAGGCCTCAGACAGTTTAGCTATTCCTATTGGTCGAGAGCCCGTCACGTGGCCGGTCTTAAACGGATGATAAAGACATGGCTAGCTGGTCTTAAACACTTTTCTAGTGTCACATAAAATGTGGACTCCTAAAAATCCAGTGCCTCTTACGGTACCGTTTTATTGGTTGAACGTTCACAATCCTCACGTAGGCATGCGCAACACTACAAGCGAGTCAGAATTTTATAGTTCTAAATTCAAAACGTAACGCCCCAGGTGCGTTCTGCGCGACATCGCACAGAACATTCTACGCGCGCGTCAATCTCCATAAAAGGGTTGTTTACATCTTACTCTGACATCTTACATCTTACAGCTGAACACTCCATTATTTTGCTAGAGGGATGTTTCAAAAAGCATGAAGTGAACTTGTTGAACAAAATCGGGATTTTTTGAACGAATTATTTGATTTTTTTTTTACCGAAAAGGTATTTATGAATGGGAATAAATATGTGCTCGGTCAGTATTTATCACTCTGTTTAAGACCGCTTAGAGTCTGGGTGCTGATAATTACCCTCGCCTCCGGCCCTAGGAATTATCAGCACCCAGACTCTAAGCGGTCTTAAACAGAGTGATAACTAGAGCTCAATGTCTGTTTGCAACAGAACATAGGGCTTTTCCGCATTATGATTTTTTTTAATCAATAATATGCCCTGAATATTCATGAACATAAAATCTGTCAAAAGAATTTTGCATTTTGCATGTTGCGTTCGGGAGATATGGCTAAAAGGTCCAAACAAATAAATATTCATATAAAATCTCAGGATGACGACATCATGACGTCACCTCATTTTTAATCTATAACACATCCTGGTATAGCCACATACCAAGTTTCAACCCAATCGGACTTACATTTCTGTAGATATAAGACTTCACAATATGTACGTAAATTTTCAAAAATCAATAAAAAAATTAGGTGATGACGTCATCGTGACGTCATAGTCTAGGCAGAATTTTTGTATGAGGGTCTTCCTTGGCTGTAACTTTGATGACGATTCCAGATCGCCAAGTTATAAAAATGGTGGCTTGAAAACGTGTACACATAAAAGTCAATGGGTTAAAAATCCAACAGCAGAAAAACTGCACCTTTATATACGTGATTTGCCTTTAAACTGAAACTTTTTTATCAAATATTACTTGATATGCTGACTCTTGGGAATATTTTCAATCAAATGACAGGCGAAAAAAAATACGATTTCTTTTTCCTTCTCATAGTAATTCTCAGCCGAAGTTCAGAACTACTCAGTAAGATATATCAGTGTTGTATAGGGAAAGACTTGTGGAGAAAGCTGTGTACAAAGTCTATGAGAAAAATTAATTATTCATGAATCCATAATAAATCATTTGATGATGACGTCATCATGATGTCTTAGTCTTGGCATAATTTTTGTATGAGGGTCTTTCTTGGCTGTAACTTTGATGACGATTCCAGATCGCCAAGTTATGAAAATGGTGGCTTGAAAACGTTAATAGGTTACAAATCCCACAGCAGAAAAACTGCACCTTTAAATTAGTGCTTTTCCTTTAAACTGAAACATTCTTATAAAATATTACTTGCTATTCTAACTCTTGGGAATATTGTCAATCAAATGACAGGCGTAAAAAAATACGATTTCTTTTTCCTTCTCATAGTAATTCTCAGCCGAAGTTCAGAAAATCTGTCAAAGTTAGCCGAAAATCGGCTAAAACGGTCACTGTGGACAGGATTTGACCTCAGCAACACGTGCGCTGCAGGCTGACTGACATACGATGTATGTGCCTATGTACAACGTACGTGCATGTACATGTACATGTACATTGTGGACGTCCTGTCCTGTGCATCTTTTGAAGCAGAGGTATTGTCAACGTGAAGTTTTAGGCGTGCGCAGGGTATGTTCGAGTTCGCTTATCGCCTCGAAACTTTGAAATGTTTTAGACCTACCCTTCAATCGACAATTAAAGTAAAAACAAATATAAAAACTGCCATGGTTGATTTTTCAGGAATTTTCAAATGAAAAAGGGTCTTTTTATTATAACTTCTGGTCTGATGACGTCATTTGCCTAAAACTTCCCACACGTCTTAAGTGGGTCAAGGTCATTATATACACCAATATTTAGGCGATTCCGACAAACTTCGCCACAGACATCTATTGAAAATACATTTTTGCTAATTTTCAACCTGTCGGTAGAGGGCGCTCGAAGATTGCATGACGTCATCGGTAGATGATTTGAAGAATTCTATCGGCCAAGAGACTAACACTGTTAAAAGCAAGTTCATATCTATTACCACTTTCAAATAATAAGCCACTTCCGGTTTGGGCCTTTTTCGACCGGAAGCAAGGGTCACGCTATTGCACGCACACTGAATGAAATGAAGACCTTAACCTGCTCTACCACTTGCCGGCAACAGAATGCTGCGGACGCGTACGGTTGATTTCTTATGCATTTTTAAATATTAAAAGTGTCACAATTTAATTGCCTATAAATAAACACAGGATGACGTCATCATGACGTCATCATTCCACACTGTTGTTTGAATTAGGGTCTTTGCTTGGACAAAGATTGGTGTTAATGAATTTCTGGCAAAGAGTCAAAAATGCCCTTTGAAAATCGACAATTATTTTTTTAATTTCTGTGTACAAAGTCTATGGGAAAAATTAAATATTCAAAAATCTATAATAAATTAGTCGATGACGTCACCATGACGTCAATCTTCGGGACACATCTTTGCTATAGGGGCTATGCTTATGCTAACTTTGAATGATGTATGACAAACATTAATGCCAAAAGTGGCGTGTAGAATAAACGTGTACAAAGTCTATGGGGTTTTGGGAAAAAAAGAAGAAGAGGAAGAAGAAGAAGAAGAAGAAGAAGAAGAAGAAGAAGAAGAAAGAAAAAAAATCAGAACAAAAAGAAAGACTTTTCCGCAACAATGCGGAAAAGCCAAAAACTTCCGGAGCACACATTTATTCCCTTATTTATATTTGGGAGAATGAAAAACAGGTGTGTCATTGAAGTGCTAGTGGCAAGCCATTCTCGTTGTTCAGTTAACTTAATCAGTACTCGCGAACAATCACTACTCGTGATTCCCTGTTACTACTCGGGCTGGTACAAGTAATCGAAGAGTTGAAAGCCACCAAAAAAAAAAAATCCTCCTAGCCATGCCGGCTAGTCTTCCCCATTTTTCCTTCTAAAAAATATCCTCCTAGCCATGCTGGTTAGTCTTCCCCAATTTTCCTTCTAAAAAATATCCTCCTAGCCATGCTGGTTAGTCTTCCCCAATTTTCCTTCTAAAAAATATCCTCCTAGCCATGCTGGTTAGTCTTCCCCAATTTTCCTTCTAAAAAATATCCTCCTAGCCATGCTGATTAGTGTTCCCCAATTTCCTTTAAAAAAAAAAGTTATTCTTCTAATGGAAGTTATACTTATAGCTCTGATAATAATATAATACCTTCAACTAAAATAAATAATTCAATTCCAGGCAAAAAAGATTTTTGTTCGTCTGTCGTTTTACATGTTGCCATCTTTGTGTCTGTAAACATTTGTATCCCCTCGTGCCGAGCTTGGCAATGATTGGATCTTTATAACTGGTCGTCAAGCTCATTTAAAGGCACTTTCCGAACGGTTTGAACCCCCTTTCTCCACGAGGATCGTCTGATGTATCGTGAGGTACGCCTAGGGACAGCTATAGACCTTATGTTTGTAGCAATACAAAAACAATTGAAAAACCACCAGTAGTGCAAAAACAGATCACAAGTACTCAAGTACTCAGGGTACTCACACCAAATGGTTATCTTAAGGGCAATTCCATGGTTACTCGTGTTACATTTTCGTAACGCGAGTAACAGATTTTGTGCATCTTGTTTATCATACATACATGTAACACATTTTTCTGGATGTCCTCTTTGGTGCTTAGGTAGGTCTAGGTCCACTCTATCTACATGGGGATAACTGTTATAAAACCTTTTCAGTAAGGTAATTACGGTCCAAGGAAACTCAAAAGTACATCAAAAATGTAACGTGAGTAACCGTGGAATTGACCAATCACGGATGTGATGTCTTACAAACATGGACAAAAGTCCGACAAGCGAGGACAAAAGTCAAACATGCCTGCATGTACGTATGGCTAGAGATGGTGTGTGATATTGAAGAGGTGCACATGTTGACCAGATTGGCCACTACTTACTCTTCTCAGGTGTAGGTATTTGTTGGATGAAAGCAGTAGAGCCATCGGCAAGCTGCACTGTTTGACCGTCAACGAGATCTGTGAAATTTTTAGTAACCATCATTTATCTGAATGATTCCTTTATCAAAACATATCCACCGACATTTACTGAATTGAATTATTTCTTTACAAAATGTTTTGCGACAAGGCAAATATTTGGCACTCATAAAGACCAGATTCATTTGTGCGTAGTATGCAAGCCCTTTTGCAGAAGGTTGCAGACCCCCCCCCCCCCCACACACACACACAATTGGAAAACATATACAAATTGTAAATTCATTAGGAGTAAAAAATAATTTGGTTTAAAAAGCAAACGGCAGCAAAAGCTGGCTGCAGTGCAAACAACCCACAATACCTTTCTGTTGAATAATGGCAGTGGATCCATCCGAGAACTGTACCGCCTGTACATGCAGATTTTGTCCATCACCGAAGGTCAGACTGCTTGCATCTGCCACTGAGGAGGTTATGGTGCCAGTGGGTAAAACCTCAGCCCCAGCCTAAAAATGTTTTAAAAATTAGGCAAACTTTCAAGTTACAGCTTAGTTTAGTAGGCATTGTCATGACATTCACCACTCACTTTAACTCAAAAAACTGTTAAACATGAAGGCCCCAAGCTGTGGAATTCTCTCAATCCGTCTCTTAAACAGGTGTCAAATGTATCATTGTAAAACGCAAATATAAAGCCCAATTAATTAACAAATACGTGGTAGAATAATCTCATTTTGTAAGACCAAATAATTTTAATTTTATTTCGTATTACTAGCTCTGTACCAATAGTTTTTGTTATTTAACTCCTATCGTTGTACATGTACTTGTACTTAATTGTAACTGCTATTGTAATTGTTCTTTATTACAGTGGGGGTCTCCACTCGACAAGCTTATGCTTTTTGGAAACCTCCATCCATCCATACACAATAATTCAAATGTTAAGTAGTATTATATGTACATGTATGTGTTGGAAAAAATTAAAGATTTGATTGATTGATTGATTGATTGACAGATTCGATTTGAGAAAATCACTTGCAACGAACGGCACTTTAATTTGAAGAGGAAAATCAATATCCATTAAATGATTCAAATACAGTCACAAAACCAAGAAAACTTTTCTCTTAACTCTTGGCACACTATCTTCCAAGGTTCATGCGTTCGTGCATGTTTAACTCTAGCTACAAAAGGCAGCTAATGAGCAGGCATGGTGAGTCAGTCCAACGCCCAACAAAAACACAATATTCACCCTGCAGCGCGCGCTTAAAAAGTCTTATCAGCGGTGATGGAGTGGATGTTGACTTTCTACTGCAGGAGGGTGAGTAGCTGACTACCCGCCATCAGGTCTTCTGTCCTTGTTTACCAAGAGAGGCTGAATTTAGGTGAGGTAAGAGTTCAGTTGTCTGACAAGATGGGCTATTTGCTATAAGACAAAGTTTTTTGCATCTGCAAATCTGTACGATGTCAGTATTGTTCAGCTTTAGTTAGAAATTGTCATCCGTCCTATTGTGTCCTTCGCAAATCATCCTCCTCAGGAAGGAGCTATACGTACAATCGAGTCTGTCCCTCTCATTGATTTAGATTACACGTTTGGCAAGGAAAAGTTAGACAGCTTCGCACCACTGAGTTCAGAACAAGGATCCTGGTACCCAAGAAAATTGAGTACATGTGTAGTCCGCAAGCTTTGATTTAATTTTCCATCTGCAACAGCAATCCTTAGGATGACTTCAGCATCCAAGGTCGCTGTTTCATCATTCCTTATGTCATCTCTTAAGTAACAGAAGACCTCAATGTTTTCAACAGGCTTGTTGAGGTTGATGATGCTCATGGGGTAGATGGTCTGTTGGTCGGCAATAAAAAAAAGCTCTAAGTCATCAAAATACTCTGGCCAGTCAGTGGTATGCTCACTGCACTATCCGGTTCATTAGTGTGACGTCAGTTCAGCTTAAACCACGCCCACTGGCCATTCAGTAGCATTGGAACCACTGGAACCGGAAGCTAACGCAACTCGAGTGTTTATCAAATGGGCGCTAGTAATCAGTGGTGCGCGCGTGTATGACGTTTTTACTAACGAACCGGATGCATTCCGCCCACCTGCTACCCTCTTTGTTGCGGTATCTTTGACCCGAAACTTGAACAGCAGAAATTCCACTCCCTATTGGTCCCAAAGATGAGAAAAGACACGCATGATCATAGTACAATGTTGAAAGAAAAACATTGTATAGCAGCGGCGAATCTGGTCTGCCCTGGCATACGATGTTTGGGCGAGGGCTTCCAGGAGCTTGAATACCAAAATCTCGATAGCCCCTGGTTTGAAATTGAAGCGCTTGTATAGTCGAAAACCAGCCCCTTTAAGGCGCTAAGATCGATTAACAATACAAAAGCCGGTACCTTCATGCTTTCCACGATCTGTTGCACACCCTTCGTAATGTACACGTGCTGTCAGCTGTGCCATGACCACTATTAAAGCCTTGTTGTTGGTCAAGTAGTTGTAGATAGTACCATGCCTTAATACGATTGATGATGATAATAATCATTATCTTGCAGAGGATTGACCCTAGGTAGACTTTAGGATTTTTGATGCTGTTTTTTGCAGCGCCTTTCCATAGTGCTTCTACTCCGCAGTGACCCCTGCTGGGTGGAATTTTCTTAGTTTCCTAGATTAGCGCCGTAAGATTCTTCAATTCTGACACAAGATCATCCGATTGCGAAGCATACATGTTTTTGAAGAATTCTGCAGGGATAGCGGATGCTGATTTGCTGTTTTTCGTTGCTCTGAGGACGCTTTTGAATTCTGCTACATCTGGCATTGTCTGGAGGGCCTGTCTTCATTGTTTTGTGAGTTGAGATCTCCTGTAGCTGCTGGATGTAGTTTGGAATTTCCTGCAGCTTGACTGGGTCTTGGTCGGGGGAGGGGGGGATTCAGTTAATGTGCTCTGCAAAATGCATTTTGAGCTTTTCAAGATCACACTTGGCTTGGTTCGTAGGCCAAAACATTGAACTGTTGAGCTTGATACACCTAAACAACTCCTCCGCTTCTCGTTTTGTGGCATACGGGTTGATTTCATTTGCTTCCAAAGGGAGCTTATTTTGCAGATAAGAAACTCGTTGCTTGAATGATTTGATGACACTCGTGTAGCTTGGCCATTTGCACACCAGCTTAGAGCATTGGTCCAGTACCTGATTCTGGACCATGTCAGTCTTCCACAATTCTGAGTACCTGTCAGATTTCGGATGCTGCGGAATGGTTTCAGTGGCATTCGTATCCAAGACATTGACAAGGTCGCTGGACTGACCGTAAGGTTGTTGTTTAGGCCGCTTGAGACTGCCGAAACACTTCTCTGCCGGACGGCCGGGTCCTGTAGTGTCTTGAGGTCTAACCTTTGGCACTGTAGTGTCCCGAGGTCTAACCTTGGCTTGGAGAATTGCTTTTTTGTAGAACTTACACCTACCACGCCCCGTTGATGGGGTCATCACCGTAGCCTTCAGTTGCTGGAGAGCAGTGTCGAAGTGGCATCATCCCTAGAACCTCCTCCTGGAACATCCTTCTGTTGCATTTCTCAGCCTGTTCTATACATGTAGATGTTATCATCGTATGTATGTGCTCAGAAGGTCTTTTACTTGTCCCTTCCGTTCACACCTTCACTCGCAGCACACATTTTGCAATCTTCTCTCATCCCTTCACTATATCTGTTCCAAAGGCCAGTGCTGTGAGATATTCTTCTAGCTTTTCACGTACTGCTGCACTTTGCAACTCCTTACCTGTATCCTGCTCTCCGCCATTAGGTACGAGTTATGAATGTTCAAAAGAAAAGTGGACACATCTTTTCTCTCTGTAACTTTTTTTCTCTTAACTTTCCTTTGTAGCTTACACTTGAGTGGCCCTCTAGGCCCTGTGATTGGCGATAAATTAAAAAATAAAACAAAATAACCAAAATTGTTATGAGAATCCCTAAATTAACACACGTCAGGTGTGTTAATTAGGCTGTACTATTTCTGGGTTCCCTTCTTTTTGTTCAGCCTGCTGGGCAAGCATCATTCAAATGACATCCTGGTCATTTCCACACACCGTGAAACATTCATCCCCTTCCCCTGAAAAAGTAATGGCCATGAACATCCCTAACCAATTTAACACACACCTCAGATGTGTTGGGCTGTTCTATTTCCAGGTCCCCTTCTTTTTGTTCAGCCTGCTGGGCAAGCATCATTCAAATGACATCCTGGTCATTTCCACACACCGTGAAATATTCATCCCCTTCCCCTGATAAAGTAATGGCCATGAACATCCCTAACCAATTTAACACACACCTCAGATGTGTTTGGCTGTTCTATTTCCAGGTCCCCTTCTTCGTGTTCTGCCTGCTGGGCAAGCAGCATTCCAATCACCTCCTGGTCATTTCCGGATGCCACGCTGACCACTGGCACTGCAGCCACCTCCTCCGCCGTGATTAACTGGTCCTCAATCTCCATGGTAACAGGCTGATCACTGGCCGGCCTCGCTCAGGATAAGTCTAGTTGATAAAAATTAAAAATGGTATTTTTAGACTTCTTTGAATTCTGTCAAGTTGTACTGACATTGACAATTAATTATTGTAATTGAATCTGACAACCATAGTATTTTTGTTTTCATAACAATTTGGTAGTTTTGTTTTGTTTCTTAGTTGAAAATGTTGTATATTACCTTTAATTCTGATCAACAAACTAAAATTTAACCAAGCCAGGGCAAGAGATCTGTTAGTGATGTGAATGTAATACTAATAGTCCCATCTTTCACCGAGTTACAGACGTTTCCCTTCTCATGTAGCACACTTCTGAATGTTAAGTTGCAAAATCCCAGTAACTAGGACTCTAGAAATTGCCTCATCATTTCAAAATGTCAGTGTAGTGGCTAACGCGATTTCCAACTGCTATCAATCATTTTGTCAATACGGAACATCTGGTTCCCTGACCATGAGTCTTCAACGTCAGGATTTTTGGCTGCTGGAACCAGACTATCAACCGAATAGTTCTCGGACTATATTTCCCTTTTAAAAAAAAATCTTCCAAAGCCACTGATGACATAGAACTTAGAAGCAAATGAAATCTACTTAAATAAAAATAACGAAAAAAAAAACACATAACACTTAAAAAAAACTATTAAAAGTTTAAAAGAACAGAAAAACATTTGCAGCGTGGGGGTCGATCCTGCCCAGAACCTTCTGCAGTATTAGCTACACGGTACCTTTATCCAATCGAGCTACAAAAAGCATTCTGGTTGGACAGGCAGTTGGCAATGTTCTTGTCACAACGCCGTAACGATAGCAGTTTAAATTTGTGTTACCGCTGTTGACTGTTGTATAACGATAGCCATATGTTTAGGCAAAGCAAAGGCAATTGTAATTGTTTTGTGGAGTTTCTCAGTTCGTAAAGTAGCCCTAATTTAGGCACTTTACGAACTGAGAAACTCCACGATTGGGTAAGCATGGTAATTAATCAGGATTTTGAGATGAAGGAATTTGGGGTAAAATTTTCAATCTATTCTAGTCATGGCTCATGCTACTTGCTAGTTCTCAACAAACAGAATTTTGGCAGTGTGATCCTGCATATATTTTTGTCCTAGGCCTAAAGTAAAATTATTTTTACACGAAATATGTGACACTGACAGTTTTCTTTTAGAGAATTCTTTTTTAATTTGTTTCCTCCTCAGTTTCTTGGAATAATTTAGGTCTTGTCCCTTCACTTGGTCATTAATTTAGTGTGGAACGGCATGCAGAGCACCTGACTAGCTGTGCTAAAAATGTCATGCATTTCGTGCATATTTTTGCTTGCTTTCTCGAAACCCACCCGTCTCAAACAAAGAGGTTTGATCATGATTAACAGATCGATTTCTCCACACAAATGGAACGATCGAGTTTTTAAAAAATGCCGCTCTATTGTTCAAGAATACGCTTCGAATGTTCATTTCAGAATAGCAGCCGACGAAAGTGTTGTATTTTCAGCGGAATTCTGGGACACGGGGGCTAGGATTTCTGGGTAGGCCCAAAATGCACTGCTGGAAAAAAATTATAAGCACCGGGAGCGTGGATAACATAGCTCCTGTGTTGCTCTCCCAATACACACTTATGTTTATCCATGGTACGGGGCCATCAACAAGGAGCGGCGCGGCACGGCATTGTGGGAGATATTACCTACAATTCCGTGCAATTTTCCGAACTTATTTGCATGTTTGGGTGTATTTCAACCAGGAAAATGTCAACAATTGTAAAAATCAAGGTATATTTATAATCATCCAAACAGAAAACAAGTAAATGAATTTCATGAAGTCGATCAAATTTGTCCATATTTCTCACCTGTTTCTTGTTGGCTGTTTTGGCGCATTTTATTTCTTGCGAACGATTGCGCAGCACAAATTACGCATGCACAACAGTGCGCGTGCCATGCCAATCGACCGGGGGTGTCACTCACTCATTCATATAGAGGAAATAAATCATTTAAAAATTGAATAAAATATTTTTAATGATACTATTTATCACACCTACTATCTGAATAATATCTTTAGCCTCAAAACTCTCCTATAACCATGGGTCTTATTTTTAAATTAATAATACGTCAAACAATAACACACAGTGGAAGCATAGGAGTTGTTCCCTGATAACATATCATTTACAGTAAGCAAAATTGTATTTTTTAAATCCCTAGAATCAAAATGGGATGCCCTTAAATCAAATAGATATCGACATCGTCCTATTGATATCAACGATAGGAATTATAATTGATTTATTTCGAATTTCTTTGCTTTACAGTGATTATATTTATTAAAATTTTCAGTTTTGTATCAATCCTCGGTAGTATAGTGGTAAGTATCTCTGACTGTCACTCAGGAGACCGGGGTTCGATTCCCCGCCGGGGAGGATTGCATTTTTTTTTTATCTTCTCTATTTTAAGTCCGAATTGCTCCTACTATTTTTTCTCATAATTAGCCACCTCTTACGGCAAAATTTAAATTTTTCTTCCTCAGTTTAAACAATTCATTTTCCTCTTCTTTAATATTTTTTTTTAAACGAATTTCGATTTGTACTTGGTTCTGCAATGTTACGGTTAGGCGTCTGCAACTTATGAATGGCTTTCGTTTTGCTCAAAAGTTGTCTGGTAGCGAATAATGCGAATTTTTTCAGGGTCACTTTTTGTTAGGGGGATGTTAAGCAAAATAATTGTGATCATCCCCCCTGCGACTGCGAGTGATTAAGCATTAAAACTCAAATTTGTCAATTGCCAGGGGAAAAAATGGGGGGGGGGGGTCCATTCCCAGCATTAATAATCGGCGCAGTAGAAATACTCTGAAGACGAAATTAAAATGACGTGATTATTCAGTGATTGATACAATCCAGAATCGAATGGGAGGTTCAGTTCAAAATCAAAAAAGTCATCTGGTGATAATCTGCTAAATAGACAAATTTAATTTCAAATCAGCGTAAATCTCAAAATTAATAATCGGCAATCATTATACTTGGGCTATTAGGCCAAAAAAAAAATAAGTCGGTCTCTGGTCAGCGCGCGCGTCGATTTTAATCATGCGCGTCGATCTTTTTTTTTTTTCCAAAATGTTCTGCGGTAGCTCCAACAGCGCCCTCTATTTCCGCACCTCCTCACTTTTGTTCACCAAAGAGCACCAAGGAATGGGAAATTGCTCCAAGGCAAATGATCGAAAGCACCAAGGACACCAATGTACACGAGGACACCAAAAAAGCAAAATAGTACCCCACGTTGTCTGTGCTTGGAAAAAAAAAAAAAGCCGCGTGGCCGCGTCAATTCCGGAACTTTGGTCTGACCAGAGACCGAATATTTTTTTTTTTTGCCTTAGCTTGAGTAACTCCATGCTCCAGCTCTAATGAGCTGGAGTTTACTCAAGCTGTACCAGATTTATTTTGACGTATTAAAAATCCGACAACATTTCACCAATTGAGGGCGCCCTCGCAATCCAACACCCACCATCACTGACGGAAGTACAAGCATGGAGGAATAAGAACAAGTAGACGCTGTTGTAGTGTCATGACTGTCGAGAAAAGGTGAATTTATGTGTTTTCTGCCATCGAAATATAATTATAACACTGAAGGAATTGTGGTAAACATTCCTTCTGTCTGTATTACCTCCATTTGGGGAAAAAATCAATACTTGATCACCACTTGCCATGCTTAACTGCCGCCGGCGCCAAACATAAACACATCAATTTTCACCTCACCTGGTCATGCTGGTCATGCTGGTCCTTTGATAAGTTGTGATTTCACCCAAGAGGAATGCGGGAAGACTCGCAATATGCGAAATATTTTTGAGGAAAAATTTGTTTTTAGAACACATTTTGGATGCACACGTCGTGCAGATGACAAAGCATGAACCGGCCATTGATAGTGTAATACGTCATTATGAATATTTATTTTCTCCTTAATATAGGCCTAGGCCCTAGGCCTATAGTTTATTTCAGTGGATACTTCAAATACGTCCAAAGATCTATCATTGCAATACGATTGTGTGCGTGGTGTAGTGGTAAATGTCTTGTCTCTCAAGCAAGTGTCCGCAGTCTGAATCTCGATGAAGTTAGTGACTGATTAATAAATAGGAATAAAGGAAAGGAGCAACATACAACAAGTTTCAACTTTGTATTCAAATGTTGGGTTGATTACAATGTAGGTGTCCTCATTACCATGTAGGTGTTATGTACAATGAGGGTGCCTTTCAGTGCAGATACATACAATGTACAAATGTGCAAGTCAAAAGATCCATGAAACTATGGACAGGCTGCTGCTACTGCTCCCCTAAACGCCTCATACATGTCATAAGTTGGTGAGGATATATAAGTGCTTTCAGGGAGTGCATTTAACCAGGCGACTGGGAGGGGGGGGGGATGAGTTGCAGTATACATGTAGTAGCAGTATAGAGAATCCCTGGGGTGCTCTTACTAAGTCTTAGAGAACCCCCCGGGAGTGCTCTAGGAGAACCCCCATGGTTGCTCTAAGAGAACCCCTGGGGTGCTCTAAGAGAACTCACTGGGGTGATATAAGAGAGCCCCTGCTGGTGTAAGAGAACCCCTGTGGTGCTCTAAGTGTACCTCCTAGGGGCTCTAAGAGAACCCCATGGGTGCTAAAATTTAAAAAAAAAACCTGGGGTACTCTAAGAGAACCCCCTGGGGTGCTCTAAGAGAATCCATGGAGTGCTCTAAGAGAACCCCTAGGGTGCTGTAAGAGAACCCCCTGGGGTGCTCTAAGAGAACCCCCCCCCCCCAGGGGTTCTCTAATAGAACCCCTGAGGTGCTCTAAGAGAACCCCCGAGGTGCTTTAAGAGAATCCCTGAGGTGCTTTAAGAGAATCCCCTGGGATGTTCTAATAAGAGACCCCACGGATGCTCTTAAGAAGACCAACACATTCAGCATAGTGTGGGATGCTAAGAACCGATGGGATGCTATAGAAGAACCACTGGGATGCTCTAAGAGAATCTGGGTGACTTGTAATAAATTATTTGCTTTGTTTGTATTAGGGCTATATTTTTCAAGACGCACAGTCACAGAATAAACGCTGTGTGAGTTTATGATGACAATTTGCACAGTGCATCAGTGTGGAGACTGGAAGTACACGAAGGCCGAGGATCGCTAAATCGTCATCATGGAAATGCTGAACAGGCTGAAGACTACCGTTGGGGGCTTAATTGGTAATCCTGTGGTCAGTCAGTATGACATTACAGTGGGGCAGATCGCCAGCGGAGGACTGGACTGCTTGTGGAAGATCTATCACGGTGTGAAACGATCAACTAAGCAGGTACTGTATTAGTGGATTAGAGTCGGTCAGTCAGTCAGTCAGTCAGGGGAGTCTGTATCTGATCGTTATGCACCTGCCAATTGTAAGAGGGACCCCATGACCTATGGCATGGTGAATAAAGAGTGCATCATGTTCTAGCCTAACCCTGCTGAATCCAACAGGATCCAGCTATGTCATATACCCGATTGAGCCTGTTGGATTGAGCAGTACACCCCTTGTGTACATTTCTGATGCAAAATGTTGGATACAGCAGGCAACTGAACCACATTATAATGCCATGTTGGACTCCGTTGGATTCAGCAGACAACTGAAAGTAAGGCACAGTGGATTGAGCAGGACACTCCGGTTGGACTCTGTTGGATTTCGCAGGGTAGTCCTGAGGGGTCAGGGTTAAGGTTGTGACACAGGGGTGCGTCAAGTCATGATTAATGGGGTGCGTCACTTTTCCTCAGTAGGTGCATCACAATCTGTGAAATGTGGGTCAAAAATGTTGCCAAATAGCATCAAAGCTGTATTGTTTGGTGCATCACTGCTCTGTTACAGGGGTGTGATTCCATAAAATGATGATCCACTATTGGACAATGATGCACTATTCCTGGGAGTCATGTGGTTCGTCATACAATTGATAGGTGCATTGATAGGTGTGGGAATACGTGGGTTTGAACCCCGACGAAGAAAATATTGCTTGTGTTCTTGAGCTAGACACTTTACTGCAATTGCTTCTCTCCACCCAAGAGTATACATGGATACCTGTTGAAGGTAGAGTATATCATTTGCAGCTATCCAAAAAGTAGCTGGCAAAATTATTAGCATACTTGGTTTAAAGATAGTAACAGCACTAAACTCCCTGTGAAATGATTCTTCCTGGCATGGTGTCATTTTGAAGAAAACAGTAAAAGAAGGTCATTTCCAAAGATGCGTCTAAGGATGCAGTTTTGAAAATTTCAGTTAGTAGTTCGTTTTTAATTATGCAAAGCCGTGAATGGGTGCGTGCAAGTATTGACACGACGCACGCGTGCGCGGTTGCTATTATTCGTGGGTTCATTGTGTGACATGGCGCAGCTGCAAATTCTGAATGAAAACGTGTCCCGGACGCTGATTTTGGGCGCAATTCAAAACATGACTGGACAACTTTAAAATCGAATTTGAGATCCTAAAAAATTGATTTCTCGGTCTATACAACACTAACTGCGCTGAAACTTCCATCAGGTTAGTTTTAAGCACCTGTCTTTAGATTTTGAGCAGTTCTTGCTTCAAACAAAAAAAGATACAAATGACAAATGAAATACTCTAAGTCAAATGACAACCCTTTCAGATGACCTGTTTTCAAAAGCATTCCCTTGTCACTTATTTCTTCCTTTCATTTCAGGAGGCAGCGATTTTTGTCTTTGAGAAGAAACTCCTGGAGCGTTTCCACAAGAAAGACCGTGAGGGTGTCCTAGAGGTCTTGAGAAGGGGCCCCTCCCAGTTGACCAAACTGAGACACCCCTGTCTACTGACCATCCAAACCCCAATGGAAGAGTCCAGGTATGTAAATGTTATTATAATTTTTGTTTGGACCAATGCAGATTTAAAAATTTACAGGTTGTTTATTAACCATCTTCATGTTTCCTTCAAATACATACATGCATGGGTGTATGAATGAAAGCAGATTCAACATTTTTACACCAAGTGTCTGGTTCTGAATTGGCCACTACCATTTTTAGGGAGAGATGGGGATAACCCTACTCTTTGCCAGAGTAGAGGAATTTGGATGATAGAGGTTACATGGCAAAAGTGCGTTACTGATTTCATAGGATGCACTTTGTCAAGGTCTTGGGCCGGACCTTGTGTTGTTTTTACTCAGCCATGGCCATGCATAAATATAGGCCTGGATTATGCTTGAAATCCTCTTGTACTGCTTCAGGATGTCACTGGCCAAGCCTCAACAAATTGACAGTCACTGCCGAAACATTTTGCAGGATTCAGGCAGTGGTCACCCATATTCAAGAAATAATGGAGGAATTTGTAGGATTGAGGCTATATGCTATTTTTCCATGAGGCCAATTGGAGGATTTTGCAGGATTAAGGCAACATCCTAGCAAAAACGCCTAGGGAGTTAGGGTAAACCAGTGGTCTCAACTTTAATGTGCAATGTTTTTGTTTTTGTTTGATCCTTTTATTTTTAATGAACAGAGACAGCCTTGCTTTTGCCACTGAGCCAGTCTTCGCCAGTTTAGCCAATGTGCTCGGTCGACATGACAACTTGAGCCCAGTACCAGAGAACATCAAAGGTCACGAGTTGTACGAAGTCGAGATCAAATATGGACTTCTTCAGGTAAAGGGTTTAATAATGAAAAAGAATAGTTGTCCAACTCAACGGAAGAACAAAATGTCTTTTAGAGTTTGGTGACATTATCCCTGAAGACACTGTTGTCTGAGGATGATCTCAAAATTGAAATACTTGGTGTAACCCTTTGGAGATGTAGTTTGCACCTGGAAGCACCTTGTACGAAAACATTAATAAGCACGCGAACCCGTTAAAGGGAATGTACAACATTTGCTTTTGCTGCAATTTTCAGAAATAAATGGATTTGGAGGATTAGTATGTTATATAGAATATTGTTAAACTGACTTGTTTCATGTTTTGGGCTTGTAGATGCTGGAAAAACCAAGAAAACCTATAATGTTCTTGTAGTCTGGTTCCCTGACCCCACTTAAGATGAAACAAAGCAATTAATACACTTTGGGGAATTGTAAGGTCAGAGAATCAGTCTAGCAGGCTTGTACCCCTTCACAGGTGTGTGATCAATTGCAAAGAAAGTCAGAATAACTTAATATGAAAAATTAAGAACAGTTTTTGAAAAAAAGCCAGTTTTCTCCAACGCTGGTCGGCCGACCAGCGTTTGAAAAATACAGTTTTTCTTGAAAATGTCAGACCACCAGGAGCAACGATTTTAAAGGATGCTTTAGACTGTCAGTCCCTAACAATTCAGTAAGGTATTTCGTGGTAATGCGATCATTTCGTTTTTTGATGTTTGCAAATGTTGTATTTTCCCTTTAACTTGGCAGTTTCCATGCATGGTTCCAGGACTGTAGTTTGTAGTATAATAGGGGTCGAAATTCACTCAACTAATTGCTGTAGCAAAGTTAGGTTGTAAGGTGGTCAGAAGACTGCAAACAGCAGTAATTTGAACTTGCTGGCTGGTCTTGTTGACAGGATGATTGATTATACATGTACATGCCTCCCTCTGCATTGGCATGGCAGGTACTACAGTTTGTAGTGCACGTTAGAGACACACTGCGTGCGAGCACTTTGCACGAGTAAATATTTTGAATGAGCACGAAGGCCATAGCGTCTTCGTGCCAACATCAGGCGCAGTTGGGAATGCGTTTGAATACCACTTCTAGTGGCCTCCCCCAACTCTCCTTTTGCAAGGCTGCATCCGAATCGTTGTTTAGAACTATTGTCTAGGTCTTTGCCCATTACAACTACATGGAACAAGTAGACAGTAGACGTAGCCGAAGCTCTGAATGCCCGTTTCAGGCACGGCTTAAAGGGAATATGCATCATTTGCTTTTGCTGTAATTTTCAGAAATGGATGGAATTAGGGGGTTGGAAATATATAGCAAATATAGTTACACTGACTTTTTTGAGGTTTTGGGTTCAAAAATGCTATAAAAACCAGGAAAAACAATCATTTTCCTGTAGTCTGGTTCCCTGACTCCATATTAGAAGAAACAGAGCAGTTTACATACATTGGGGAATTGTAAGGTCAGGGAACCAGTCTAGCTGGCTTGTACCCGTTCATAGGTGTGTAATCGATTGCAAACAAGTGCGATGGTCAATTGGGGCCAGTATTTGAAAAAAGCCAGTTTTTTTCCAACGCTGGTCGGCCGACCAGCGTTGGAAATTGATACAAAAATACCACTTTTCTTGAAAATGACAGTATACCAGGTGCCATGATTTTACAGGATGCTTTACACTGTCATTCACTAACAGTCCAGCAAGGTATTTCAAATTGATTTGGTAGTTTTATTTTTTGATTTTTGAAAATGTTGTATTTTCCCTTTAACTGTTAAGGGGGTCTTTGTGCACGGATCAGTGGATTCAATATTCCTGACCTTGATCGTGTTCAACATTCAATCATCTAACATTTACCCCTCATATGTTTGTACAACTCTCCAGCCTGATTGAATTTTGTATACTCATAGGTCACAGAAGGGCTGAAGTTTCTACATAACGATGTTCACATGATTCATGGTAACGTTGTCCCGGAGAGTATCATTTTGAATGCCAATGGAGCTTGGAAACTAGCAGGGTTTGACTTCTGCAGCCAGTCAATAACACCGCAAGATCAAGCAGTAAGTCCTCTTAACCTATCAGCACCTGTAGTGTACTAAATTGTATAACATCGTATTTATTCCCTGATTTTTTGTTTGGCTGGACACCATCTGACTCATGGGGGTGCTGTTCAGTGTGGATGATATTTGATGCTACTGAACAATAGACGGCGTTATATAACTGACATACAGATCCTAGTCATTTGATTGGTGGAACTCACATCACATGACATTCGTTATTGCTCCCATTCACGCCGCGGCTCAAAAAGTACTATCCGCCCATGGGGAATGGGAAATACTATTCAACAGTTAGGATCATGACGCGGTATTTGTGTGCAAATGCATGCTGGTGAGCGCGTTCAGCGTTGCGCGTAGCGCGTATTGTTCCAAAGAGCCAGCGCTACAGCGTTAGGTTCAAACATTTTCGTGATGGGGTGGTTTGGAAGAGAGAAATAGATTTTCCTTCAGTTTTGTATTGAAAAAAAGGTTCAAATATATCAAATAACAAGGATCTATATGTCAGTTATATAAAACAAATATTGATTGGCTTTAAATTGTGAAATGGGAGGAATATTATTGCTCGGTACAATCTGGACTTTTCCAGTTCACTCGGCTTCGCCTCGTGAAATGGAAAAGTCCAGATTTTACCTCGCGATAATATTCCTCCCATTCCACGCTGAGCCACTCAATATTTGTATACTATTTGTCGGGCAGTGGGTCATACACAAAAATTCATTTTGTTTTCAGACAGGTGAACTGTAAGTGTTAATTTTCCATTGCCTAGACTCTAAAGTCATTCCAAAAGACTGCAACGTACAATAGGTCTCTCTCAAATGACAGCACTGCCTACAGATTGTCGCGTGCATTGGCATTTTGTGCCACGCATCGCCTGTGTCGCGCCGTATTTCGAAGAAATTTATGAGCAACATGTGCGCGTTTAGAACATATTGCACACTGCGCGCACATGTACATGTACCTGTTGGCGTCGTATGAGAGGGGTCTATAAATCTATCAAAACACTCGGACTGTTTCAAACATCAATTTCAAATCTTCAAAATCATTGTGTTTAGAATCTCTCTGCAAAGCCAGTATGAAAGGGGCATATTAAAATGTCATTTGCTTCAGTGGGATCATGTGAATACTTATTCCCTAACAGCCAACTTTCCCCATGCGCGAGTGGAACACAGACTTCCCGGCTGCGGCCCAGCCCAGACTGGAGTACCTCGCTCCAGAGTATGCGCTAACGATGAGTTGCGAGACGGCTAGCGACATGTTCTCCCTCGGCATTCTGATGTACGCTGTCATGAACCGGGGCAAGACGCTGTTTGACTGCAACGAAAACCTGCAGACCTTCAAACGGAACTGCCAACAGGTGTGGTAGGCCAGATTTAATTGAGTAAAGCGTCCTCCACTAGGACATCAGGACATATGAACATTTTTTTCATCTGAGACATGCCAGTCTAAACTTAATTACACACTGTATAAGTCAACAAGAATCTGCAGACATTCAAAAGCAACTGCTAGCAGCTGAAATGCTTAACCCTAATGCTTCAAAATCCTCTTTGCCAAAGTGGAGGAATTTCGAGGATTAAGGTTACATGGCAAAAGTGCGTTACTGATTTCGTAGGATGCACTTTGTCAAGGTCTTGGGCCGGACCTGGTGTTGTTTTTGCTCAGCCATGCATAAATATAGGCCTGGATTATGCTTGAAATCCTCTGCACTGCTCCAGGATGTCACTGGCCAAGCCTTAACATATTGACAGTCACTGCCGCAGAATTTTGCAGGATTCAGGCAGTGGTCACCCCGCCAAGGACCATATTCAAGAAAAAAATGGAGGAATTTGCAGGATTGAGGCTATATGCTATTTTTCCATGAGGCCAATTGGAGGATTTTGCAGGGTTGAGGCTACATCCTAGCAAAAAGGCCTAGGGAGTTAGGGTTAAAGAAATGATCAGTTCCAGGACAGGTTTTTTTTAACCAATATTACAGTAAAATGGCTTGCTCACAGACACGCATATTTCCTACTTAAAAATTCTTTACTCATGAAGTCAGCGAGAACCAGCGAGCAATCAGATGCAAACTACAAATTCAAAAAATAGCCAAAGAAATGTTCAGTTCATGACACAGACTTTATCAGTGTTACAGTAAAATGCATTGCTCAGGGACACACATTGTCTCCTATCTCAGAGTCTTAACTATAAGTTAACAAGAACCTGTAGACTTTCAAACACAAACTATTAGATAAAATGCCCTACGCATTGTCCAGTTCTTGGCATAGAATTTATCAGGTGATATTACAGTAAAACGTTTTGCTCAGTGACAACTTATATTAAAAAAAAGTCAACGATCCTGCTAATGTTCAACTGCAACTACATTTGTACGTACCAGCAGATGCAGTATCTAAGAGAACTATAACAATAATGTGTATTTATAAAGCGCACATATCCATCAGTATTGGTGCTCATTGCCCTACATCATTAACACACTACATCAGTTACACGAACTGGAAATTTAATGAGCCAGATATCAATATTGTAGTAAAGTGTCCTGCTTAAGGACGCAATCACCATTATCCTATAGATGTATCTCATACATAGGGATAACATTATATTAAAATATGAAAATAAAAGTAACACAACTTCTTAGTCTCGTCAAAATATGACTTTGCAGAGTTTCAAAATTAACAGTTCCTTAAAATTGTTGATTTGTTTTTGATTTTTCTACGCCCCTTTTACAGCTGAAATGTTTGAACATATCACTACTTGGAAGCCTCAGCGATGGTCTTAAAGAGTATGTCAAAATGTTGCTGAATGCTACCCCTACTGTCAGACCAGATGCAGACCAAATTTCCAAGGTAATTTAATTCGATGAATGAAGACTGATGCATTTTATCGTACCAGACATCTTTTCACACTCATACAATAATTGTCCAATCTAGATGCAGCCCTAAGCCCGGCCCATCTTTGGTATGTGTACAATTCTCAAAGTGTCAGGCACTGAGTTTTACTGAGCTACTATGGTCAAACGACCAAAGGTCATAGCTATCTTAATTAAAAAGGTAATAATAAATGATAATAGTAATAACTATTACCCTGGATTGGAAATTTGGGAGACATCCCCATAGACTTGTGTACAACATTTTTCAAACTTAAATGTGCCCTAACCCAATATTCCCTTGTCCTTTTTCCACAAATTTCGGTATGTTTACTAATTAGACCACGAGCAACAAATATAACCTAATTGTGACAATAAAATTGTGCCTCTAAAGGGGGGCTGTGACAATAGGAAGACATGAAAATATCTCCCTAATGACCGATAACGTGTCTCCTTATTCGTACCTTTACACGTATAATAATTTCTACTAATGCTATAATAGGGCGACTTTCCCATAGACTCGTGCACAAACCTAAACTGTCACCTAACCCAACTTTACCTTATCCTGTCTCCACGAAATTCGGTATTTTTTTTACTAATTTGACCACGAGGAATTGATCTAGATGGTTTGCGACAATAAAATTCCTTGTCCTAAGGGTTGTTTTAACCATAGGGTGACACCAATTTGTCACCCCAATAAGGCGTGTCGCCCTAATCCAGACGCGACTTGAAAACTGTCGCCGTTTGCGGGATTCTGTAGATTACAACCATTCTTATATTGCTCATTTCACCATGAGGTCTCTATGCGCTTTCATGAAATCAACAATTATACAACTTGAACGGAAATGTTTTGACCCGGATTTTGAATTGCTTTGTTGTTTCGGTTTGTTTTACAACATCTGGTAAGTTGTTCCGTAACTGAACTGCAGGTTGAAAGATCTTCTCTCTTTTTTTAATAAACTGAATTTCAGATCCCGTTCTTTGAGGACGTGGGCTCCATCACATTGCAATATTTGGACTCGCTCTTCCAACGAGACAATCTAGCCAAGTCCCAGTTTTTCAAAGGGCTCCCAAAAGTCCTATCAAGTCTTCCAAAGGTAGGCAGGTTTTTTTTGTTTCTTATGGCAATATTTCAATTTAATTTTCAAACCTTTTTAAAGACAATCTCATCCCTGATACGCATTGCAAAACTTTCATGAATTAGCCAGTTTGGTATTCCCATTACGCATGTGCAAGTCAAGATTGGATGTTTTTTCCTTTCGGGATAAACAATTTAGTGAATTGACTGAATGTGTGCAAAATCATGTGGTACCAGCAACATTACAGAAATTGCCTTGTTCTGAAGGAAGCTCAACATTTCAAAAAGTTTTGACAGCAACAAGTTTTTCAGTGTTTTGCGAAGAGTTTTTCAGTGTTTTGTTCCCCCCAGCTTAGGTGCAAATGAATGTTTCTATCGTCTTTTTGTTGCATCAGGCATAAGATTTTTCAAATTTTTTTCTGAAATCAGACTTATTGAATTTGTGAGAAAGATATTATTAGTGTAGAAAGATATGCATCTTTCAGACCTTTCATCGATTTCGAGACATTGTTTAAAATTGACAATCTCATCCCAGTTGCTTGAAAAATTGCAAAATACAGATTGGGTTACACGTCCCCCCATAGACTCATGTGCATTTATCTGCCACGTTTATCCCGAACTAGAAATTGCTGAATCTTGGTATGCATATGCGCAGTTGGAATACCTATTTGGCTAATAGTCATAAGTGAAGTTACTTGCTGTAAATTATATAAGAAGGAGAGTCACTCACTTCCTTTATATTTTGGTTTGGCTGGATCACCGATGGATTTTACGGCAAAATAACGGAATTAGTGAATACAAACAAATGAAAAAGGATTTTATTTTGTTTGAGTATCCTGTAAGAGTCTTGCGTGAAGTTTCGTGAAATCGGCTGCATGAGATAATAACTGTTTTTCCCATTCGTACAGCGAGTGGTGCATCAGCGTGTCCTTCCCAGCCTCAGCAAGGAACTGGTCAATCGTGACATGATCCCGTTCGTTCTGCCTAACCTTCTACACATCGCAGACAGCTGCACCGACCAAGAGTACGTCAGGCTGGTCCTACCCGAACTCAAACCTGTCTTCAAAATCCAGGAACCAGTCCAGGTACGAAAGGAAATGATAGCCTTGTGACTGACTTGCGATTTGACTTGTGACTGACCTGAGCTTGTAATCTGACTCATGACTGACTTGTGATTTGGTTTATGACTGACTCGTGATTTACCTTGTGAATGACTTGTGATTTGGCTTGTGATTGACTTATGATTTACCTTGTGATTTACCTTGCGATTTACCTTGTGAAAGACTTGTGATTTGGCTTGTGATTGACTTGTGATTTACCTTGTGAGTTACCTTGTGATTGACCTTGTCAGTGACTTGTGATTTGGCTTGTCATTGACTTGTGATTTACCTTGTGATTTTACCTTGTGAAAGACTTGTGATTTGGCTTGTGATTGACTTCTGATTTACCTTGTGAATGACTTGTGATTTGGCTTGTGATTGACTTGTGATTTACCTTGTGATTGACCTTGTAATGACGTGTGATTTGGCTTGTGATTTACCTTGTGATTTACCTTGTGATTTTACCTTGTGAGGGACTTGTGATTTGGCTTGTGATTTGGCTTGTGATGGACCTTGTGATTTAGCTTTTGATTTACCCAGTGATTTCCTTTGTGAATGACTTGTGCTTTGGCTTGCGATTTACCTTGTGATATGAGGTGTGATATGATTTGTGACTGACTTGTGATTTGACTTGTAACTGACTTGTTAAGTTGTAACTGACTTGTCACTTGACTCGTTACTGACTTGTAATCTGATTGTGATTTTACTTGTGACCAACTTGTGACCTTCTTGTGATTTGCATTGCGACTGACTTGTGATTTCACTTGTGATTTCACGTGTGATGGGCTTTAGTCTGGAATATAGTTGGCGTAATTCTTTGGTTGTGTGGTCTGTGCAGGTAATGCTGATCTTCATGCAGAGGATGGATATGCTCCTGACTAAGACGCCTAAGGACGACATCAAAAACCACGTCCTGCCACTAGTCTACAGAGCACTGGAAGCACCCTCACCACAGATACAGGTAAGACCATTTTCAGACAAGACTCTGAGTCATACTGAACTACACTCAACCAAAAAAAAATAGTCCCCCCCTTAATACTTTTTTGTCTAATTCAAAAACTACTGGGCACATCTGGCTCAAATTACAACTGATCACTGCAGAAATTCCTTAGCAATCTAGCCATACTCTTTGTTTGGCCAAAAACAGTGATAATGTGTACAAAATGATGCAATTTATGACAAGTGGTACAAAAAAAAAGTTGCACTTTTGTACACTTGCAAGGTGAGTGTGAACCCCAACATGCACGTATACAAAAGCGCAACTGTTTTCAGTATCACTTGTCATAAATTGCGTACATTTGTACACATTATTAGTATGGCTGGATTGCTAAGGAATTTCTGCACTGACCGGTCATAATTTGAGCAAGATGTGCTCAGTAGTTTTTAAGTTAGACAAAAAAGTATTGGAAGGGGGGACTTTCTTTTTTGGTTGAGTGTACATTATTTCCAAAGATTTGAATTAAAGATGCACTCCCCATTTTTCGTTTAAGTGTACAGTCCAGGTCTTGGATGTTTTCCATTAAACACAACAATGCAGCTAAACTGACAGACTGACTAACAGACCAATATGCCCTAGATATGACAAGCTTTCGTGTTCATTTTGTTCAAGTTTTATTCCTTTCATATATACAGGAGCTTTGCCTAACAATCCTTCCCACCTTTGCCGGTATGATAGACCAAGCTTCCATGAAACATTCCATCATCCCACGGATCAAGAAGCTGTGTCTGGAAACCGACCGCTTATCGGTAAATACATCTTCAATCCAAATAAATTCATCCATCTAAAATTATGTATATAAACTTGACTTCAGGAAAATCAGAGTCCAATATGTGTTCACAAAACAAAAGCTTGGGCCTCTCAACCTATAATCTGACAATCTTTAAAAGTTTTGGCATATATGACTGCGGCTGTGTCTGAAAATGGGCATTGTTGTTTATAGCTATGGCTGGCTATAACATGGCATTTTGCAAACACTAAAAGCCATAACCTTAAACTATCCAATTCAGACATGGCCTGTGTTTTAATAGAAAAAAATTAAAACAGACAAGATAGTCAATATTTAGAAAACCAAAATTTAGCCAGGACAAGAGGTGTGGGCCCTGCAACATTTTGCTGTTGAAAACAGTCCCATTGACCAGTCAATATACCTTGTATATTTACCAGTTATTATATTGACCAGTCAATATATATTGTATATTGACCAGTCAATATACCTTGTATATTGACCAGTCAATATACCTTGTATATTGACCGGTCAATATACCTTGTATATTGAACTGTCACTATACACGTACCATGTATATTAACCAATCAGTGTACCTTATGTTGACTGGCACGTGAGTTACAGAAGAGATTTCAACCCTCCAAGTAAGTCAGTCTTCTCATTTCTGTTGAGCCCTGCATTTTTTGCTGATAATCTGACCTTGTGCAATGCAATATTCTTTTCACTTCAGGCGTGAGACATACACTTCATTAATAATAAACTTGTTTTCCTTTTTTAAATTAAACTCAGTCCCGAGTCGGTTCCCTGGTTTGCACTGGCAAGCTGATGGACCACATGGACAAATGGTTCGTCTTGGACGAGGTGCTACCTATGGTCATGGCTATTCCCTCCAGGGAACCTGCCGTCCTAATGGGCGTATTGGGTAAGCATGCACTTTATCTACATATTATGAATATGAAATAACTTGGCTATTTCCTCAAGAGAACGTACCATCCTTATGGCCATATTGGGTAATTTTGCACACATTTAAGTATTATAACTATTTTAATAGTATAATTCATGGCCATGGCTATTCCCTCCAGAGAACCTGCCTTTAGTAATATAATGATATCGCTTTCTTTTGAGATGGTGAAGACATGGACTGGCAACCTTATTTGGTCAACTAATTAGCCATTCATCCAAATATATGTATAGTTAACGCAACATGTATTGTTTGAATATTTAAAAGCATTCTGGCTTCTATCATTTTGGAGGGGGGGGGGGGCGGGCAGGGGAAATGTAGACAAGTTTATTCCCTATTTACTCTTATTTTGCATTTGATCTTGAAAATGTTTTCAATTTCAGGTTTTGGATAATTTTTATACAAGCTGTGTGGGTTTTTGCATATTTTTGCATAAATTAGGAATCATCAAGATGGCGATCAGTCACAAGAAGCTCGGTGTCACTAAGGAGCTAGCCGCCACCAAACTGCTCCCATTCCTGTTTCCGCTTTGCATCGACAACAATCTCAACTTGAATCAGGTGAGAAACCTTGCAGGCTTGAATCAAGGCTACGGTTGCACCTAGGACCAGTCTCAGACCGGTGTTCAAGTATCATGCCATATTTAGTGCAACCAAAGTCGACCAGAATAGAATTTTGGTTTCAGACAGGCGAAATCTCCCAAAGTCCACTCAGAATAGTTGTTTTGACCTCATTAAGGCAGCACGTCATAGAAATTTGTACCCGGAAACCTTGCTAAGTTGTATTGTAGGGAGCTTATTTTATCATTGTTATTTTTGGCTGTTCAGCAGTGTGCGGAAAAGCCTTTATTTTTGTTCAGATTTTTTTGTTTTCTTTTCTTCTTTTTCCTCTTCTTTTACTGCTGTCCCAAATCCCATAGACTTTGTACACGGTTTTTGTACCATTTTTGACACTTATACTCAGATCTTAATCAATCTTACATAAAGACCATATAACGAAGATATGTGGGGAAGATAGGCATTATGATGATGTCATCACGTGTCATGTAACATCATCTTAGAGGTGCACATTTTCAAGTCCTATATCTAAAGAACTACCAGTCTGATTGGGATGAAACTTTGTATGTAAATAAACCAGGACGTTTCATAAATAAAAATGGATGTGACATCATGATAAAGTCATCATGTGATTTTTATGCAATTTTGATTTTTTTGTATAAATTTTCATCATATCTCATGAACAACACATGCTAAATTGAAAATTCTTTTTGTAATATGATTGTTAGGTCATAAGTATATGCACAAAATTTGGAAAAAAATGTGTGACGTCATCATGACCTAATATCGATCGTGATTTTTTTTTTACACATAGAAGGGTAGGCTTGATCGTCATGAAACTTGGCGTGGAGAAGATAATGTTACTAGTATGCATGCCAAATCCGAAGTGGCGTCGCGATGATGTCATCGGTTTATTTTTTTATGATTTTTTTTCAATGTTTCAGATTTTTTTCTACTTACAAAATTGTACGTTGTCTTCATAAACTCCAAAACTTGGCACAGACAAAGACATCTTAGTAAATGTGTGCATTGGTAAGCGACATCATGATGACTTCATCACACTTCACGTGACGTCACACTAAGGTTTATTATTTAAAGGCCTATATCTACAGAAATATAGGTGCAATTCTGTTATAGGTGAAAATTGACGTGTTGTCATGATGATGTCATCACATGTCGTGTGACAACACATTAAAGGTGTATTATAGCCTATATCTACAGAAATATAGGTGCAATTCTGCTGAAACTTGGAATGTATATAGTCAGGGACGTGTTTGCAGTGAAGTTCATTCAAAAACATCTGCCGAAAAGTCTTGTGGTCTGGGCCCAATTTCATAGCGCTGCTTAACAGCCAACTTTGTGCTTACCGAGCCTCCATCTATTTCATAGGGACCGTTAAGCAGTAAGCACAGCAAAAGCACGCTTAACCCCTGAAGAATACTTTGCTTAAATCAGTGACATAACGATAGAAATCTCCATGCGCGCACAACCGTTAGCATGAAATAGTGCTTAACTCCTTAAGGACGGGAAGCGGTCATGGCCGCGGCCGCGGCCGCTAATCCTCATTGGAATGCAGTTGCCAGCTGTGGTATGCCGTGGCACACGGCTAGTGGGTAGTTCCACAGCTGCTGCTTTTGTGCAGTCCCGCTACCACACAAAGGCTGTGCAGTCATGCGGGCCACTTGCTCTATGTGTGGAGGAATGTCCCCATTACACCCCGTCCTTAAGGGGTTAAGCAGCAGCATGATTTTCTGCTATAGTAAGCACCGCTTCTCTGCTTACTGTTAAGCAGTGCTATGAAAGTGGGCCCAGTTCTCAGACAGACACACAAACCTCTCGTTTTTTTTTTTTTTTTGCAGTTTAATGCCTTCATGTCAGTCATCAAGGAGCTCATCCGCCATGTGGAGAATGAGCAAAGAGGAAAGCTGGAACAACTCAACTCAATCCAAGAAGAACAAAAGTTAGTCTGTTTGTCCACACATGTGTTGCTATTGTTTGCCATCTCCATTGTCATCTTTATTGTTACCTTTAAAGTCATCTATGTCAAATTTGTTGTCATGGTCACCTTTTTCATTATTGCCATCTTTGTCATCGTTTTCGTTGGAATGTTTCATCTATAATACATTCTCTTTTAATCTTCACTGCCATCTTTATTGCAACCATTGTTATCTTCATTGTTAATTTTGTCATCATGGTTATTGTCATTGTCAATATTGTCACAGCTGCCGCTGTCGCTGTCATCTTTTTTCCTTCATCTTTTATCTGTTGTCATCTTTGTCCTCATCTGTATTGTGATCTTGGTCATCACCTTCATTCTCTTCATTTTCACTGTCGTTTCTGTTTCTGTTACTGGGGGAGTGTGGCCAAGTGGTTAGGGTTTGTGACTCATGATCAGAGGGTCAGGGGTGTGAATCCAGCTGCTGGTCATATGTTGTGTCCTTGGGCAAGGCACTTCACCCCCACTTGCCCCTCTCCACCCAGGAGTATAAATGGGTACCGGCATTAGATGGAGAGTAACCTGCCATAGACTAGCATCCCATCCAGGGGGAATAGAAATACTCTCAGTTGTTTCATGCTACTGAAACCGGAGATAAATGCCGTTCTGATGGGCCACATTGGCTCATGACAGACTTTATTCTTTGTTTTACTTTTTCTGTTATTTCAATGTTATACAAGTTATACCGTCACCATTGTTTTAAGTAATGTCATTACTGGTCTTTTTTCAGATGGTGGAGATTGTAACTTTACAGACTGTGAAAGTGCACCTTCAATACTGATTGTTACTGTCTTTGATTGTTTCAGGACGTCAGTCGATTTCAACCAACGGCTTCAGAATCAGACCAAGACGGAGGAAAATCCCTTCGCAACAATGGGAATCAGTAACGGCACCACCCAGGCAGGATCCATGGTCAGTTTATAAAATTAGTTTTTTTGCTGTTGCCATTTTGTACATGTTAACCATTCAGCCCCAAACCCAAAAGTGTGAGTTATGTTTAAATTCTACAAAGTCAGTGCCTCATTGTTTTGGAATATGCACAAGATGTTTAATTTGGTGATTATCATATCGGCTTAGACTATAGACCATTTTATACTGAAATTTGCAAAATAAGAATTTGTTAATATCTTAATGTTTGATTCTTTTGACATCAGATGGATGACATGTTTAAGACATTCGGCTTGAGTGAGTACCTTGGGGATGCCACTAACAAAGTTGAAGCTATTAATCGGGGAACCAGTCCAGGCAGCTCCAAACCGGCTCAGACCAGTTCACCATCATCGTCGGCATCCTCAACCGCCCCAAAATACAAACAGCCAACCCAGGTGTCACTGAGTATGGAAGAGAAACAAAGAATTCAGAGTGAGCAGGAATTCCAAGAGAGGGTGAAGAAACAGAAACCTTTAACAGCTGGAGGAAAGACTAAGTTATCAGAGCCGAAACCGCAGGCCAAGGACCTGTCTCGCATGCTGCTTGACTCATCACTGAACACCAAGCCCAGCTACAATCTAAGTACATGTACAACAAACAGTGCAATTGGTGGTTTAGGCTCAAATCAAGCCGCCACTTCATTTGGCAGTAGTGGCAGTATGGGAGGACAGACATGGAGTATGAATTCCTCCATGGGATCTGGAGGGACTGCAATGAAGACTAGTCAGGCATCTCTCGGTGGTGGAATGGGGACAGGTTTTGGGGGATTGTCAAACAGCCAGTCACCATCAACTCAAAAACCCAATATGGCAGCCTTCGATAATTTGCTGGGACCGTCACAGAAGCCAAAACAGACTCTGAGTCAAATGGCACCCAAGTCATCGACAGGAACACAAGGCATGATGGGAAACCAGGGAATGATGGGATCCCAAGGGATGATGGGAAATCAAGGGATGATGGGAAACCAGGGCATGATGGGAAACCAGAGCATGATGGGAAGCCAGGGCATGATGGGAAGCCAGGGCATGATGGGAAACCAGAACATGATGGGAAATCAAAGCATGATGGGAAATCAAGGTGCAATAGGAAATCAAGGCATGATGGGAAACCAAGGCATGATGGGTAACAGCCAGAGATTCATGGGTGCCAACCAGGGAATGATGGGTAGACAAGCGCAAGGCATGATGGGAAACTCCCAGAATTCCATGGCAGGACAGCAGCAAAGCATGATGGGAGGATTTGATCCACTTGCTGGCAGTCGGACAAAGTCACAGCAGCAGAAACCAGACAGCCTTATGGGATTCTTGGGTTGAAAGTTGATATTGCATATTTAATTAAAAAGAACCAGTCCAAGTGGTTCAAAGCAAAAAGTAATCCCCATAACAACATAAAACAAAATTGCCTTTTTTAAAAAGTGATTTGCTTTTGTTGTAATTTTCCGAAATGGATGGATTTGGGGGGTTAGTATTTTATAGCAAATATTATTACACTGACTTGTTTGATGTTTTGTGTTCGTAGATGCTGGAAAAACCAAGAAAAGAATCATGTTCCTGTAGTCTGGTTCCTTAACCCCACTTAAGATGAAACGGAACAATTGATAGACGTTGTAGAATTGTAAGGTCAGGAAACCAGTCTAGCTGGCTCACACCCGTTCACAGACGTGTAACCAGTTGCAAACAAAATGTGGACTGAATTAATTTGGTAACTTGGGGCAGTAGTTGAAAAAAGTCAGATTTTTCCAATGCTGGTCGGCCTACCAGTGTTGGAAATTGATACAAAAATACCACTTTTCTTGAAAATGACAGCGCACCAGGTGCCATGATTTTACAGAATGCTTTAGTCCGTCGTTCACTAACAGTCCAGTAAAGTATTTCATAATAATTTGGTAGTTTTGTTTATGTTTGCAAATGTATATTCCCTTTAATCTGCCTTGAATGAGCATTTTTACTGAACATTCAAATAGAAAGAATCAGATACAGCGGTACAGTGTATTACTAATTTTCTCAATATTTTGTAAATGCACTTTCAAAACTGAATTCCAACAGCTCCAATGAGTCTACTATTTCATATTTATTCAGTTATGTAATGTTTACACTCATTGAGGATATATAGATAGTCATGAAGGTAGTCTGCAAATGCTGCAATTTTTAATCCATGAGGATGCTTATGTTATCACTGATCCCTGACAGCCAGCAAATATTGCAGCTTTGCTGCACAGTTCACAATGGCAACTTTTCCTTTATAGAGCTTTTTAATCTCATGTCTAATGTTTGCATAGCCACCCAACTGCTGGTCTGTTCACGTTCGAATCAGTCTTTAAACAAGGCTGAGTTTGCTGTTGCAGACATTTGTATAAATGATATGGTCTGGCTACAAGTTGGAAAACCATGCACAGTAATAAGCATATAAAAGCAATTTGCTTTGTAAAACTGCATTGCATTTAAAAAAGTAAATTGTACCAGTAAAATGATAAGGTATGCAAAGGAGGCTACAATATTTTGAAAGGTTCAACCAATTTTGTGTCAGCAAATTTCAGGCTTGAACCATTTCTACACTCTGGTTGGCTGTTCAAAGGTTTCCAGCACAGCTCCGGATTAACATTTTCAGAAGTGCAATGTCCAGCAAAATTCTCAGCTCATACTTACAAAGTCCATCATAAGACTGGATCGTTCAAAATGATTCCAAAGCCAACCGAGTTAGTTTTCAGCTCTGCAATTCTTATAAGCAGTACATATTTAGATATATACAAAACAATCCTAGTTTAATTTTGGCACTACATTTACACTTTTTAGTGTATAGTATTGTTCATGTATAGCTATTGAGCTTATTTTTTGTAGCCCGTAAAATATTTAAAAGTCGCGTTGTATAATGCAAAAATTCGTTGTCTGCGTGATAACTGAAAAAAGTCATTGCTTTTATGTAGGCTCTGGTTTATTGTTAACCCTTGCTCCCTGGGCACTTGTCAAGAAGCTTCAGCCTTTCAGGTGGAAAGTACTCACAAAATTGCAGAATGTAGATGAGCAAAAATATAAATGTAATGTTCAACAAAATAATGTTCAATAAAATGTACATTTGTCCTTGGTAAAAGCACTTTTGTTTCATAAAATTTGCATGTGTCCTTTGGCGGAAAGAAACAAACTTTTGATGTAAAGACTGATAAGTGATCCTGCATCTAAGTTCCATATATTTACTCTAAAACTTAAGTAAATATGTCAGCTGCATGCAGTTATTATTGTGAATCGAGATGCATGTACATGTTAGTATATTTTTACATGGAAAAGAGGGGCCTACATGTATATTGCAATATGAATGTGCCTATATGTACTCTAATGCGCAATGTGTAATAATGCCATTCCATATAATTGGCGAATGTTTCTGGGGAAAATCTCTCTTATGTAATGATTTGGCGTTTTGTAATCATCAGTACTCTGTTTCTTTGGAATTATTTAGTTCTTAATTCTTGTATAAATTGGTGGTGAACAAAATATTGGTAATATTTATATTTTAATGCATGAATAAAGACTTGAAAAAGTGAACGAATAAATTGGCATTCGATATATATATGTATAAACTATTGTATGGAAAGAGTGAAAGATTTTATTAATATTTGAACATCGAGTAATAAAGAAGCATGCCTTTACATATTCAATAATGTGTATATCAGAAATTGTAGCCACTGCAGTACGGGAGTGACCAGATCGAGTAGTTTTTTTAACCGTTTTTAATAATATACAAAAAAGTGTGTCTCAGTTTGGGTTTTATGAAAGAAATATCAAAAGGTTTGTCCCCTGTGGCATTCTGTCGGTTATTTTATCATTCTCAAATTACTTTTAAAACATTACCAGCTAATTTTCTCCCGTGCCTGGATGGCTTGTAAGCCAATAAATTCACAGGGTCCTTGAATCGTTGCGCACGGCCTACTACATCATGTACATAAAATAATCGATTGCACAGTTATTTTCCAAGCAAACCCAATACATTGTACCGCTATGTACGCAAAAAAGTGTTGACAGGTGCGAAGTACACGCGGAGGGTGATCAGACGCGTCTATAAAGTTTTTGAGGGGTAATTTTTGTTACAGGCGTTTAACGGTAAACAGGAAATGGCCCTAAACATTATAGTCGTAATTTCTATGTAAAAGAGGCAGTACCTTATATACATTTTCAACAAGTAGTATAATTGTCAACTGCGTTTTGTTGTAAATGTAAACAAAGCAATACATCCACTTCTTCCCTCTGTATAAATGGTATGTTCCTGTTTTATGTTGGGCAGTATTACATTGTGTGTAATCATAGAGCTAGTATAGCGAAGTTCCTTGCTCTATTTATTGTCAAACGTAACGTACACGTACGTGGTTGGTGCAAAAGAAACTTCGGAATTTCTGTTTTGGTCAACCTGGCCGCATGTAAATAGGCATTAATTGTTAAAACTACCATCAGCATGCAGTTCCTTAGATGTTTGCCTCACTCAAGATGGACGTCGTTCTTGTCTCACCACCGGAGGAAACTTTTACCAGCCGTGGGAACTCGACCGGAAAACTGGACTGGAACAACTTTACCGCGGAGCCTCGGCACGGCAGCAGGATGCAGCGCCGGGCGCCAACGGGAACACACGGCCGACCTGAGTGACAGTTCACGGTGGACTTACGATGAGGTTTACCGGAGGTCGCTGCACGAACCAGAGGAGTTTTGGCATGAACAGGCTGAGAAAATTACGTGGTTTAAAAAGTGGGACAAGGTACTGGAGGACAATGGGTCACCTTTCACCAAATGGTAAAATTAAAATAAATTAACCGTCCTGCTCAGGATCTTTTGAAAGCCCCCTCCCCCAAAAAAACCTACAGCAACAACATACATGATGTAAATCAGCCATCATGTAGCCTTTCCATTTTGTTATTTTGATGCCGTACCTCTTTGAGTTTTTTACACCAATTTAAGAAGCCCAGTTTAGACTAAAATAGTTGAATATGTGGGCTTGCAAGTTAGTACATGAAATATAGGGGGGGGGGGATTGTTTTAATTATTGAATATAATTAAAATAAAGTTGCATTTGTCATCACTGTAAACGGTTTAATATTGATCTTTTTTTTTTTTTATAACTTTTATTAATTGAAGTTAATCTCCATGCATGTATCAAAGAATTGTAGTGGACGGGAAGGTTCGCATAATGCCACAGGACGATATTGTTGACTCAGAATTAATACTAACTTTAGTTATGATTGATTTATTCCGAATTACAAAAAGTGGAAATCACATTGTTGGTCAGCCATCTTTGATTTATACATCCCAGCATCCGTTGTCAAGTTTTGACGCCATGAACGGCCTTTTGTAGTCTTGTGTCATGTACGTCGTTCATATGAGTCACTATGTCATCTCTTCACATTGCTCGGTCTTGTGGTGCCTGTACTGCCCCCCTCCCCTTCTCCCCCACCACCACCAGAAAAGTCACCTACATGTACATGTAGTTGTCGGGTGTTTTCTGGGAGGTCGTTGACACTCGATGCCCACAGGTACCTGTTGGCAATTACAAGATGTTTCCATTAACATAATCACAGTTAAAATGCAGAACGGCATTGTTTGTCGTCGTGATGCTTTCGCTTCTGGTAGGATTTCTGCATTCTGCAGAGGCCTCCTCTCACCGTCTCAGCATCTTATTTCTCTGAAATGCTGATGAGATTCCATTTGTTAACACCGCAGCTGACAGTCAAACATCACAACACACGAGGGCCCACACAAGAGTGAGCGACAGAATTGAGCACAAATTATGCAAATTCTGAAACATGGATGTCCCGCAGGCGATGATCATCAATGAGGGAAGAGCGCATCATCGATCCCCTTGATATTACGATTGACCCGTACAACCCAGTTGGTTTGTGGGTGGTACTAGGGGTGCATGTACCGGGTATGAAGACCTGATCCACACCCCATTTGTCACACACAGTTGCCATTGCTCTGGAGATGAACTGGGAGCCATTATTGGACAGAAGCTTCTTGGGGGCTTCAGTCCTGTTTTAAGGCGTGCGATCACACCCCCACGCCATCACACGCCTAAATGCTTCCTGAGAAGTGCGAATAATCGCACGCCTGAATCCCTCGGTACCGCACACCTCGGCATACATTTACGGCATAATTACACTTCATGTCGGTGAAGAGAAAACGGCTTTATTGTAAACCAAGATGAATATTATGAAAAAAATACCAGATTGTTCAGTCCCAGCTTGGACCGCAGAATCACACACCTAGAAAATCACAAGCCTAGAAAAATCATACGCTAGAAAAATCCATGCGTGCGTTTTTCCAAACACCTGTGATTTTCAAATCAGAAGGACTGGGGCTTTGTAAAGTCAAAAGAATTCACGGACCATGAGGGACACCACTGCCTTTCCTAATGCCTGCCATGTGGGAAATACCTCATTATTACTCCATTTTGAAAAATGGTCTACCATGACAAGCAGATACATATGCTCTCTGTAGCTATTTGGAAAAGGTTCCATCAGGTCTATTCGCACCACCTTCAAGGGCTTCTGAGTGTGTGAATGTGAGATATCATCAGACCCGTTGGTTTCCTGAACACAGGCACATCTGTTTGCATGTTTTACAGGCTGTCACAAAGTTACGCACATCTTTGTGTGAGCAAAGGTTGTCTCTAGAGGCGGTTCAGGGTCTTGGCATGCCCACTGTCGGTTTGAAGTGGCAAGCATGGAGAACATCTGGCTCGCTGCAATGCCTTTGGCACACCAAGTTTCCTTTTCGTCCTATCGGTAGTTTAGTGGTAGAGGACCTCATCCTTCACATGGAAAGCACCTGACTTGTCTGCCTTCAATTTCATCAGGGTCGGGTCACGTGCCTGGTCTGTCTTGAACGTTGCCAGCTGGAAAGGGCAGAGACTGGGTGTTCATCCAAGCATCTCCAACTTGGAGATGCTTGGATGAACACCCAGTCTCCACCTGTCTGCCACTGAAGTTCCATTCAGTTCTGCCAGCGTGTCTTCTTGCACTAGGTGCAGGTGTATACACAGGCAAAGTCTCAGCTAGGCTATGGTTAATAGTGACACACATCATGTGGTACCAGACAACCATGACATGCATGAGCTCTGGACAGGGTGTCTTGCAAAACATGGAGTGTACCCGGTCGGTCTCTACATGCATCATGTCAAAGCACAATTCTTGCAACCGCAACATCCAGCTGGCAAGTCAGCCATCTGGCAAATGGGTCTTCCTGAATTACCATATATTAGGGCATGGTAGTTGGTGATGACTGTACAGTGTCACCCTATCGATTTTTCAAGAGCCTTATAACATCTGCAAGACACTCGCATTCCTGGCCATGCTGGCCATGAGTGAACGGCTGGCATACACACATATGTAAGCTATACATGGTACACATGTCCCTATCTTTCTACCCGTACATGAAGATATATGTAGCAAGACGGCATCCAGTCGGGTGCAGCTGGCATTGGTGTGCACCATAAACAGTTGGGTTAAGTCAGGGTAGATAGGTACATGTAACTATGGGCTCAGGATTGTCTTCAGATTTGAGAAGGCAGATGCACACTGCTCTGTCCAGTCCCACTTGGCCGTTAGGTGTCGCAGGAGGTTCAGGGTTTCTGTGATGTCAGCCAGATGAGGAATAAAATAGGTAAACCAGGTCAGTCACTACATTGTATGTCCTGTCATCTCATTGTTCATGTTGATCCCTTTATAACTTTTCTTCTTTTGCTTATTTTCTGTCTCTCTTTTTACCCATACTTGGCCAGGTTTATTGGTGGAGAGACGAACATTTGCTACAATGCAGTCGACAGACATGTGGATTCCGGTCACGGTGACCAAACGGCCATCATTCATGACAGCCCAGTCACAAATACAGTACAGAAGATAACCTACAAAGAGTTGCAGCAAGAGGTACAGAAATCTGTATAAACTGAATTGTTCTCGCCTCCCAGCACCTCAAGCTTACTTTAGAAGCTTGTTCAGGTGGGCCTCAAACTCACGTTCGACCTCCTGGGTTTAGATGCCACTCAATTTTTGTTCTCTTTTTTCAGATGACCACTCATTAAAAATATTTTCATAACCTGCATTTACCAAACTGTTTAGCATGAACAAGTGTAAATAAAACAAACCTAAGTCAGATTTAAATTGGAACCCTGACTACCGATGTACTGAGTAGACACTGTACAGGTACATCATTGTCATTAAATGTTGGTGGCAAAACCTGTGAGGGCACTCTGTGCAAGGGGTCTATGCATAACACCTGTTTTAGATGGGCGTTCCACAGGAATTCCAAAACAATATGGTTTTTGTGGCGAACCAAACTGTACACGTGTATACAGTTTCAATTGACAAGACTCGGCAGTCATTTAAAACAATTAACATGATTTGACTATATACTGCATCAACACTGTTCAATCCTTTTACAATGTACTCATAGTCACTCCTGTGTCAAACAAACTTAATTTAAATCTGAGGAATACTGATGGCCCCAACTTGGGATCCGTGCAAGTCTGGAACACAGGTCTGAAACGGGTGTTAACGTCTTGTAAAATCAGGTTGCCAAGTTGGCGCAGGTCTTCATCAAGCAAGGGGTGAAGTACGGCGACCGTATCATCATCTACATGCCTATGATACCCCAGGCCGTTATCGCCATGCTGGCTTCGGCCCGCATCGGGGCAATCCACGGATTAGTGTTTGGAGGATTTGCATCCAAGGAACTCGCCGTGCGGATAAACCACGCCAAGGTACCCTTCTGAACTTTTCATTTTTAAGATCTACATGCTCCTTTACGATCACAAGACAGTTTTTCACAAATTCAGACTTCAGACGCCTGAAAATGAAATAGTTTTTGCTTTTCTAAAATTATTCATAATTTTTAAGTTGAACAAAGAAATTGTCTGGTGCAGGGGTTTTAACCTGTGACCTCTGGATTGCCATTCCAGCGCTCTACCAATAAATAAGCTATCCAGCCCTATATTGGCGGTGCCTCATTTTGTCACTGTCTTTGTTCAAGGGGTGCTAGTCAGAAGGCATTAATTAAGGCATTTAGCTGTAATGTAGCCAGGGACCACTGCCAAATTCACAGTGCTAGCAACATTAGCAATGCTGCAGATCTGGGAAATAGCAAATGGGATCATTCAGAGAGGACGAAGTTTTTTTTTTTAGATAAACCATATTACCACAAGGTAATACTTTTCCTGCCCATAAGGAGCAAGGCAGTATTTATTATCAGTTTACATTGATATTGTATGTATAAAACCTGTTAATTTATGAACATCTTATTTGAAGTTATGCAACCGAAATAGATTGTATGTTTTTTATTGCTATTACATGTATTTACTTTTTCTGTAATTTGACAGCAGTCTTGGGTGATCCTCTACAGAAGGCTTTGTCCTTCTCTCGGATGTCACCCCCATTCATATCAGTATTCTACCCTTGATACAACATTTGTATTTACCTATTTTATCATTTTGTGTAGCAACTTTTTTGTATGAATGGAAATTCATAAATACCTCAGACAGTTTAGCTATTCCTATTGTTCGAGAGCCTATCACGTGGCCGGTCTTAAACGGATGATAAAGACATGGCTAGCTGGTCTTAAACACTTTTCCAGAGTCACAATAAAATGTGGACTCCTAAAAATCCAGTGCCTCTTACCGTTTCATTGGTTGAACGTTCACAATCCTCACGTAGGCATGCGCAACACTGCATGCGAGTCAGAATTTTATAGTTCTAAATTCAAAACGCAACGCCCCAGGTGCTTTCAGCGTGACATCGCGCAGAACATGTTACGCGTGCGTCAATCTCCATAAAAGAGTTATTTACATCTTACTCGCCAGCTGAACACTCCATTATTTTGCTAGAGGGATGTTTCAAAAAGCATGAAGTGAACTTGTTGAACAAAATCGGGATTTTTTGAACGAATTATTTGATATTTTTTTATGGATAAGGTATTTATGAATGGGAATAAATATGTGCTCGGTCGGTATTTATCACTCTGTTTAATACCGCTTAGAGTCTGGGTGCTGATAATTACCCTCGCCTCCGGCTCGGGTAATTATCAGCACCCAGACTCTAAGCGGTATTAAACGAGTGATAAAAACCTCCGTAGCACACATTTATTCCCTTATTAAAACAAACAAACAAACAAGGGGAAACTGACTAGGTGCATTATTTCACAATTTTTCACAGGGAAGTACACTGTACAGGCCCCAACCACCCTGCCATTGTAGCACCTGAAACCGACCAAACACTGAATGGCTTTTATGGATTCATTTTGGTTTACTTTCAGCCAAAAGTGATAGTGTCTGCATCTTGTGGTGTCGAGCCGAACCGTGTCGTGGACTACAAGGAACTTCTGAACAAAGCAATCAGTATGAGCGACTTTACACCGGAATGTTGCATCATCTACAACAGACCAGATGTAAGGAGTGTTTATAACTGACAACAATAAATCTGAACATTTGAAAGGACATTCATAAATACCTAAGACAGTATTCTTATTGGTCGAGAGCCCGTCACGTGGCCGGTCTTAAACGGATGATAAAGACATGGCTAGCTGGTCTTAAACACTTTTCCAGTGTCACAATAAAATGTGGACTCCTAAAAATCCAGTGCCTCTTATCGTTTCATTGGTTGAACGTTCACAATCCTCACGTAGGCATGCGCAACACTACCAGGGTGTCAGAATTTTATAGTTCTAAATTCAAAACGCAACGCCCCAGGTGCGTTCTGCGCGACTTCGCGCAGAACGTGCTACGCGCGCGTCAATCTCCATAAAAGGGTTGTTTACATCTTACTCGCCAGCTGAACACTCCATTATTTTGCTAGAGGGAACGAATTCCTTGATTTTTTTTTTTACCGAAAAGGTATTTATGAATGGGAATAAATATGTGCTCGGTCGGTATTAATCACTCTGTTTAAGACTGCTTAGAGTCTGGGTGCTGATAATTACCCTCGCCTCCGGCTCGGGTAATTATCAGCACCCAGACTCTAAGCAGTCTAAAACAGAGTGATTAAAACCTCTCGAGCACACATTTATTCCCTTATTCGAAATGTTCAGATTTAAAGTTGTCAGTTTAATCACTACTTACTTTTACAATTAAAGTAGAGGACCAAGTCCATCAAAATTCATCACTCACTCTGCTTCACATACATGTAGGCCTACCATGCCTACATGACATAATGAAATCCCCCACTGAAGTGCTGGTGGACTTTGATGGACTTCAGACACTTGTGGCTTATAATGACAACAGCATGACTGGATGGTTGGCAGGATTCATCAAATTCCCCAGCAGTTCTTGGTTCTTGGCTGGTTCCTCTCCTAAATACTCCACGTGGGAGTTTATACAGGAAGCCAGAAACACCGGGGCAAACCCCTTCTCTTAGCGATAAGTGTTTACTTGGTTCTTTTACATGCATTTATACAACACACACGGGACCTACGGCTTAACGTCCCATCTGAAGGACGAAGCAATAATGGTTAAGTGCCTTGCTTAAGGGCACAAGTGTCCGCCGGTAAAACCAAGGATTTTATAGAAAGTACCTGTAGTTAATTACCCTGCACATCGCAGAAAGGAGTCACTGAATTTGTTACTTGGGATTTGTCATTCTAAGACGGTGACTCAAGTTCAGTCTAATCATTATGGTTATTAAGGTTGAGTCGAGTCAATACGAGTTGCGTTCTTGCTGGAGTCAATGTCACTGACATTTAAGCTGCATCAAGGTTAAAGGGAATATACAACATTTGCAAACATCAAAAAACAAAACTACCAAATGATTATGACATGTGTACCTTACTGGATTGTTAGTGAATGACAGTCTTAAGCAAAATCATGGCACCTGAAAAGTGTTATTTTTCTATCAATTTCTAACGCTGGTCGGCCGACCAGCATTGGAAAAAAATGGCTTTTTAAAATACTGCCCCCAATTTGCCATATTTAATTAGTTGGTCTGCAATCCATTCTGGGGTTGTGGTGCGTGTATCCTTTTGACAAGGCACTTTGTGTCACTCATTGCTTCTCCCCACCCAGGAGTATCTATGGGTGCTTGTGTGGGCAGAGATGGTTATTGTGATTGATTCTAGCTGCATTGTGCCAAAATGGCTGCATCGAGCTGACATTGTATTGGGAATGTTTCATTGCCCAATGATCAGGGTTAATAATAATGTAAAGCGCTTTGCTATTAAAAGTGCTATGTAAGAACCTAGATTATTATTATCATAATTATCTCATTCAGTTTCATCCTGTTGATTTGATCGCTGATCGCGACATTTGCTGGCACGAAGCCATGGCACGAGCAAGAGGCCACGACTGCGTTCCTGTACAGGCCGCTGACCCAGTTTACCTGTTGTACTCCTCTGGAACCACAGGCCAGCCTAAGGTCAGTATGGTTCTTTTTTCTTCTCTTTTTACACCCCCAAGTACCCCATCAACGGCCAGAAAAGTAGAGTTGGTGGTGACCTAGACTGGTTCCCGGTCCATCCACTGCGTGTTTTGAATGTATCCAAAGTTATTGGAGGCAGGGATTAGTCTCGGAGACCATTGCAAGTTTAATTCTGAACGTATTCGCGCGCCGACGACGCCTGACGCTCACGCAAAGACGCGGTGGCTATAGCTTTTGCACATTTAGGAAGTCGTGTGTACTTCGCGCGCGAACAGTAAGTACGCGGTGCACGCACGCAGTGTGTCCCGTCCACGGAGCTCTCAAAAGAGGTAAAAACGTGCCGTCTTTTGTTGGCGCACGGAGCCTATAGGATCATTTGCATTTATCCCAAAAGCAAACTACCGAATTATTATTAAACAGCTTACTTAGTCTTAGATTAAAGATCGTCTTACGAAGACGATCAGAGCATACTGATCGAAACGTCGAGTTAACAACCAACTGGTTCTTTTCAGAACACATCTCAAAAGAGATTCTTCCAAATGGTGTAACCGCAAACCCTCAATAGTTTACACTTCTGTCACACATAGTTTTAAATCTTATTCATAAATACCTCAGACAGTTTAGCTATTCCTATTGGTCGAGAGCCCGTCACGTGGCCGGTCTTAAACGGATGATAAAGACATGGCTAGCTGGTCTTAAACACTTTTTCAGTGTCACATAAAATGTGGACTCCTAAAAATCCAGTGCCTCTTGCCGTTTTATTGATTGAACGTTCACAATCCTCACGTAGACATGCGCAACACTACCAGCGATTCAGAATTTTATAGTTCTAAATTCAAAACGCAACGCCCCAGGTGTGTTCTGCGCGACATCGCGCAGAACATGCTACGCGCGCATCAATCTCCATAAAAGGGTTGTTTACATCTTACTCGCCAGCTGAACACTCCATTATTTTGCTAGAGGGATGTTTCAAAAAGCATGAAGTGAACTTGTTGAACGAAATCGGGATTTTTTGAACGAATTATTTGATATTTTGTTACCGAAAAGGTATTTATGAATGGGAATAAATATGTGCTTGGTCGGTATTTATCACTCTGTTTAAGACCGCTTAGAGTCTGGGTGCTGATAATTACCCTCGCCTCTGGCTCGGGTAATCATCAGCACCCAGAATCTAAGCGGTCTTAAACAGAGTGATAAAAACCTCTCGAGCACACATTTATTCCCTTATTAACAATCAGTCAGTTGACTGATTCTTAAAAATAATGAAAGCTACATCATGTACATGGATTTCAGTAAAATTGTGTTTCTGGATCAAAAGGTCGTGTGTGGTTGTTCAGTGTTTTTCTCGAAAAGTGTTATCTCCACCATTTCCACTGAGCTGAAACTTCAACAGGTTAGGTGATGAACATTCTTCTTCGGATTTTGGAGTGGTGTTTTTATTGGAAATAAACAAAATACATTAAAAGCAAAGATCTTTACGTCTTTAAAGGTGTGCATTTTGCCAGATTTTGCCAAATGCTCACAATGTTTTAAATTGTTTAATTACCTTACATACATGTACATGTACGTCAAAGGTTAGGGTCACAGAAAGTCCACATTATGTCTTGCACTTGCGGAGAAACCATTGGGAAAAAAGTGTTTGTTTACATCTGTGGCTGCAGCCTTTTTATGCCTTTACACCTTACCTATGGGCTACATACATTTTTGTAATAGTACATTGCTATAGAATAATACATTATAATTAGGCAAACAAATAAAAATTTCTGCTTCCGGTTACCCTACCTACCCTATTTTGACAGCCCCTACCCTAATTTTTTTTTTCAAAAATGAGGATAAAAACCTAAAAACCATCAGTTACATGTACTACCTTTTACACTTTACTACACGTAGACACATCCATATGAACGTACACAAAATAAATTGGCCCCCCCCCCCAAAAAAAAAATTCCCTACCCTCTTTTCAAATGCCATTGGGAAGCAGAAGGTTTTTTTTTTGGCTTATCACTGTACATAAATTATGTACACAAACATGTGCAGCATATGATACCACTGTTATGCATATATATGTATACTAAACACGTACAGTGTAAACATTCAGTTGTTGATGCCATTCATTGTATGGCACAATTGTTACATGTACTACTCCATTGACACTTCACTAACACTGGGTTATGAACCTGTTGCGTGTCACAGCCTTGAACTCAATCTTGAAGAGAGATTTGTTGTCATGACAACCATGAAAAGGCCTATTGGGTGCTGAGGTGGCGGACGTGCCACAACTCACTTTTACAGTATAAAAATATAACATGGTTTGAGGGTGGATAGTGATATTAGCTCCCTGAGGTATTGGAAGTTGACAAGCTAGGAACTAGTTTTTCAACTTCCAATACTGAGAGGAGCTCATTATTTGCAGGGATCGAGGTCCTTATTTGCAGGCAAGTTTTTGTTGCTTCGTGAAAACTCGGATGTCCAAAGGGCCTTTTTCCTAATCTGACCCTGGCTATTTTGGCACTTTGCCCATAATTTGTGCAAATATCTGGGTCATCCCCGAAAGTGGGATGATTTTGTTTACTTTATGTGAACTTTGAATGTGTGTACATACATGTGTGAACAACAGCAAGGGCGGATCCAGAACACAATTTTGGGGGGGGCCCAAAAAAAAATTGGTCCCCCCAAAAAAAGTGGGTCTAAAAAATTACGGCGTGGGGTTCGGGGCCCGTGAGGGCCCCGAAAAATTTTTGGATTCTAGATGCTCTGTGGTGCGATCTGAGGCAATTTCTGACCACTTTAACCAATTTTTTTTGAGGAAAAGATGGTGGTGTACTCATTGCCTGCCTTTATTGCGATGTCACATTAAAAAAAAAAAAATTGGTTTCGTTTTGGGGGGGGCCATGGCCCCCTTTGGCCCCCCCTGGATCCGCCCTTGAACAACAGTAGGTTCTTGCAAGGGGGGGGGATATTTTGTAATTTTCAGAGGAACAAATTATGTGGGAAAAATTAAGAAACTAAATACCAAGTCATTTTTTTTCCAAGTCAAGTCAAGTCCCAAGTCAAATTTGAGCAAGTCAAGTCAAAAGTCTCAAGTCATTTTATTTCCAAGTCAAGTCAAGTCTCGAGTCAATATTTCACAAGTCAGTAAAGTCCCAAGTCAATTTTTCAAGTCAAATCAAGTCTCGAGTAATTTTTTTTTTTTTTTTTTTTAAATTAGATGTATATATATACTACGTACGGGAACCAGTTTATGTGTTCGACGACGGAGCAGGAGTAGAGATGGGAATGGGGTTTTATCAAAGCGTGCATCATTTAAGGAGGTTTAAAAAAAAATCATACTTTTCAAAAATCCTCTCTCAAACACCTTATTTGTGTCTAAAGAGTCTAAAAACACATTTTGATATATATAATATTTTCAAACTTGTTCCATCATGTTGAATGTTTGAAGGACGTCTAACAAAATGTCCTTCCGAACGTTTTCATTTAATGCATGATGTGAATTCTTGTTGCTTTATGGCGGATTAGGGGTAGCAGCCGTTTCCAGTCATTTAAACCCTAGTTGCATTTAGCATGCTGACAGTAAGCATGGTAAGCCAGTCAATGTGTACTATGGGCTCTATGGAATGGCCGCTCTATAACAACGGATGGTACTCGGACTGCGCACAGCACAAACTTCACCTCGCATGTCGAGTATGATACGTTGTCCTTAACACACGCATAGTGCTAGTCATGTACATGACGTGTGGCAGCTAGCTAGGCTCAGAATGCCCAGCCATCGCGTGCTGGTTTCTAATTCGCTATGTACAGCCTGTCTCCAAAAAAAATGGTACAATCAGAAAAAAAAAATTGTTAAATATGAAATTTCAAAATAAGTCATTCTTACTTGGCATAATATTAAAGAACAAAGACTGGGCTTTCCAATAGTGTTTGTTTGATCTTATTTGCTTTTGTCAATTCAGAGATATAATCAATTTAGTGCGATACACCAAAATCGATTTTGTGCCACTTTTATGCATGGGCAGAGTACTGTGCCATGCTGTCTTGAAGCTCACAAAAGATTGCAACTTGGCAAAAGAAAAAACTCGATTTTTGTGTTCCGCAGTAAAACTGGATTGACAAAAGCAAATGAGATGAAACAAAAAGTATTGGAAAGCCTGGTCTTTTTTCTTTAATGTGATGCTCAAAACGACTTACTTATGTTGAGATTTAATATTGAAAAAAAAAAATAGTTTTCGATTGTACCATTTTTTTTTAGACAGGCTGTATATTGCATTCTTGGCAACCGATTATAATTCTAGTGCGCACAAACGCCCTGAGGTGATTTTTTTTTTTGTTGTAACTTTAAGAAACGTGTTAATGTCAGCAATTCAAATTTATTCAAGTCAAGTCAAGTCACAAGTAAAAAAAAATAGCGACTGAAGTCCGACTCGAGTCCGAGTCAGCAACTCGAGTCAACAACACTGCTAAATAGTTACATGAATTTGTTAGGTAGTGCCAAGAACAATATTAAACAAAAAGCTTAATATCCCACTGACAACATGGACAAAAACAAAAAAAACTCGATATTTTTTTCCCGTGGTAGTGCCTACGCATTCAGCAAAAGAAACTGATAAATGGCGCATGACATGTTACCAAGTCAAATGCAAGATACCGTACCTTCACTCATCTTCACTATTCATTTCATATTTCATGCGAATATGAATGCTAATATCAGGCCTTTTAGTGAATTTGTGAACATTGCAGCAAATTTTGCCAGAGTTGGAAAGTGCTCATCTTTCCAAATTCACAGCATGAATCTCACTATTCTCAGTGGCAGTGCAGTATGGACCGTGATAATGTCACACTGCTGTGGCCATGGATCGACCAATCAGGAAGGAGGAAACAAGTTTGCTTTTAAAAAGTTAACTCTAATTTTTGTTTCATTCTCTGTAGGCAATTGTAAGGCCCAGTGGCAGCCATGCTGTGGTCCTAAACTGGTCCATGAAGACCATTTACGGGATCAACCCGGGCGAGGTAAGTCTTGAGGGTTAAGTCACCTAGCTCATGCATATTTATAAGCCATTCTGGTAATTTCATTGGTCGATATATATTTCCAAGAGCCTTACTGTCCTACTTAGTTTGCTTGAGAAAGAAAGCTGACCTGTTTTTCATTTAAATTGTTTTCTTTTGTTTTATTTATTTTGGCGTTGTTTAATTTTGTTTAATTTTTTTTCCCCAGGCATGGTGGGCGGCCTCTGACTTAGGGTGGGTCGTAGGTCATTCCTATATTTGCTGGGCTCCGTTGCTGACCAGATGCCAGACGATAGTTTACGAGGTAACTGTGTCCACATATCAATTACTTCGTCGCAGAGCTGACATGCCGACGAATATAAAGCGAAAACCCTGTCTGGAGTAATTCGCGTTTGAAGTTGGACATTTTTCTGGGCGTCGTATTTTACCCCTAATGTTTCGATAATAACCCTTTTAGTGTATATTCAAAATAAAATAGGAAATGTAGTATCCATCAGGTCACTTATTTAATCAGAAAAGTTGTGCTATATGATTTTATTTGATCGTAAACGTATTCGTCAACGTTTGCGTGCATACACGGCCTCCGGCGCAAACTGGATAAGCAGATTTGTGTGGTTATGCTTACTATACTTCTGTATTTCAACAGCTCAATGAAATTGACCAATTTTGTGATATATATAATTTAATTAATTAATTACCCGGTACATGCAAAGGCCTATGATGTTGAACTTAATATCATCAGCTTGTCTTTTGCAAAGAGTTACCACAAATAGGCTTGTGCTGTGTTGGCTTTTGAGAGTCAACTGCATGCCATCACAACAATACCGCATCTCCGTATTCGGTATTTTTCTGGACAGACCTTAATGCCATCTGAATTCAATTATGACATGCGGTAAATGGGAATCTGCAGACAGGCAGCATGCACAAAACTTTAAAAGCCGTGCTGGATCATAACTAAGCACAATTGTCACCTTTTCTAGATACTGCGACATGACCACAAGAAATTTAAACAGTTATCCACGTGATGTTGATCTGGTCACTTTGTTTCTGTCAGTTTACCCTTTTAAGGGGCTTTTACTCACATCATTAAGAAGGGTAAGATAGGTTACCCCCGGTAGGTTATCGGTACTGTAGAAATTGGCACCTAATTACCTCAGTGCGGGGTGCACAGCGGTTGATAGGTTGAGCCTTGGGTGGGGTAGCTCAGCACACAGTACAGAGACTTGATAAGGAGACAGGTGTAGACCGGATGAAGTTACTCACAAGACTGCCTCGTGGCTGGCCCACGCACAGGAGTGCCAGACCAGCACGACACGCTTGAATGGTTTATTATGTAATCACTACAGTATTTCGGTAATTTGATAACATCACTCGTTTTTGTCCACTAACACAAAAATATTGTCAGTATCTGGTATTTTTTGAAATAAAGTCCAAGCCTTATCACAAAACTGTCTGGCTTATAGGGTAAACCTGTGGGCAACCCAGACCCAGGTGCTTTCTTCCGAGCCCTTCAGCAGCATGACATCGCTGGTATGTTCACTGCCCCCACCGCGCACTGATTGCATCTGGGTTCTCTTAAAGTCCAAGCCTAATCACAAAACTGTCTGACTTATAGGGTAAACCTGTGGGCACCCCAGACCCTGGTGCTTTCTTCAGAGTTCTTCAGCAGCACGACGTTGCTGGTATGTTCACTGCGCCCACCGCCCTGAGAGCCATCATGAAAGAAGATGAAACTGGGGAATACGCAAAGAAATACCCACTAACAAAGTAAGTGGATCATTGCAGAAAGTGAAACGGCAATCACATTAGTCCTAACCCTCCAGTGTATTTTGTCCAGAAATCTTGACCAACAGCAGCATCAGGAACAGTTGTGGAAGTGGTAAGCTGCAAAGAGTAACAACATGCAACAGATAAAAAAAAAGTTACGACGTGTAATGAAAGTTGCGATGTGTTAAATGCGTCGTAAGTTCCTTGACAACGGCTTAAAACACGTCGCAAGTTACGACGTGTCTAGTGGTCATCGCAAAATAAAAAGAGTCCCTTTCTTAGCTAGTTTAATGCCATAAACATTATATAAATGAGATAATACCGAGGCAATGTGTGTAAAGTTGTAAATAGAAAATTCATGGAATAATTATGAATTAGACTGAAATATAGCAGTTGAAATTTCAAAGTGTCTATACAGTCCACTGAGAGCTTGTTTTCCTTCAAAATTGCATCGCACGACCCCCATTTTGTTTTACGTTTTAACAAATTTCGAGCTGAGATCCGACGACTGTTTGTTGAATATCAGACGACTATTTACTGTACGCTGACTCAAGACATATAACAGTCACCGAGTTGTGCTATAAATACACATACGACGCGTCGCACTTACGACGTGTTTTGTGAAATAGATTGCCGGACGCGTCGCAGCTGCGACGCATCGTAGGATACGACGCGTCGCAGCGCTGCGATGCATCGTAAGTTACGAAGAGTTTGGTGAAATCGAGTGCAGCCCAAAGGTTCTGTTAAAGCATCTCAGACCACACCTCGCTGATTCCATGAAGTTTCTCTTTAATATAGCAACCCATGTGAGGCTGGAATGCTCTAAGAGAACCCCAGGGATGCTTTGAGAGAACCCCAGGGATGCTCTGAGAGAACCCTCTGGGGCGGTGTAAGAGAACCCTCTGGGATGCTCTAAGAGAACCCTCTGGGGTGTTGTAAGAGAACCCCAGGGATGCTCTAAGAGAACCCTCTGGGGTGCTGTAAGAGAACCCTCTGGGATACTCTAAGAGAACCCTCATGGGTGCTGTAAGAGAACCCTCTGGGATGCTCTATTAAGAGAACCCTCTGGGATGCTGTCAGAGAACCCGAATACTGTATGGAGAAACAAGGCAGTTACAATTGGTTTTTTTCTTGCGATCGTGGTTTCATGAAATTTCGATACTAGAAAGTTGTTTTGTTTTGTTTTTTGTTTGTTTGGTTTTTTTTTCTCAATATCCTTGCAACCATGTACCGGTACCAGGCTGTCCTACACACAATGCACACTGTGTGGGCCGGCTATCATAAGCCACGTACGTCACCTACACACACCCGCGCCAAAGCCACGAAGTCTGACACAGTTTCACAAGGTGCAACGATCGGAGTCTCGCATCCGGTCACACAGGTTCTCTGAGAGACGTATTGAAAGAAGATATTGATCTGCGATCATGCCACATCGGTGGAGTGTCATGGCTTAGCGGTTAAGAACACCGAACTCACGTTCTGGTGTTTCAGAGGCAACAGTGACGTGGGTTCGAGCCTGCCGGCGGACACTTGTGCTCTTAAGCAAGGCACTTAACCATTATTGCTTCGTCCTTCGGATGGGACGTTAAGCCGTAGGTCCCGTGTGTTGTATAAATGCACGTAAAAGAACCCAGTAAACACTTATCGCTAAGAGAAGGGGTTTTCCCCGGTGTTTCTGGCCTCCTGTATAAACTCCCACGTGGAGTATTTAGGAGAAGAACCAACCAAGAACCAAGAACATCATTAACCTAAGGATTTGACATTGTTTGACCAGATTCCGAACCCTGTTTGTCGCGGGCGAGCACTGCGATCAGGAAACTATGCACTGGGGCAAAGCAGTCTTCAACACCCCAGTGCTCGACAACTGGTGGCAAACAGGTATGGACAAATTGCCAGTTTGTCAACTTTCAAATAAAAAGAAATTGGTGAAAAAAAAAATTGGTTCCCCTCTCAGGAATAATAAGTTTCCCCTGTTCCATTCCAAAAGGTCGAAATTCATATTGTATTTAATGCAGGATTGTAAGTCCTCCTATAGACCTTTATCATGCTGCCGCCATTTCAGTACTGTTCCCTGTATCCAATGACAGAACTGAATGATAATGTGTTTGTGCAAAAAGGAGCCAGACTATTTCTCCTCCCAGCCTCGCTTTGGTTGAGTTGATTTGAATGGGGAAAAAATCAAGATGGCCGCAACATGATAATAGTCTATTGTTGCCCATTTTCAGGGTTTTTTATTCTTCAACAAACACCACATCAAAAGTTGTAATCTGACAATTTTTTGTTATTGTGCTTAAATACAAAAAAACGCCTGATTAAGACTTTTTCCCTACGAGGCTATATGAAAAATCATATTAATACTTCAGGATTAACAACTGTAAGTGGTTATTTTCTCAAAATCTTGCCATTCACCATCTGAATGGGGTTTACAAATCACATCACAGTTCTGATGTTTGTAATTCACAGAGACGGGCTGGCCCATTACTGCTTCCCCTGTTGGTCTAGGAACGGACCTACACCCACCGCATGGAGTCACAGGAAAACCTGTACCTGGATGGAATGGTACACTTCGACGGATTAATTAACCATAACCCTCCTCAATCCTCCAAAATCCTCTTGGCATTTTTTTAGTGGATTTTTGAGGATTGAGGCTGAATGGCAAAAAAAGTGTGGGTTTGATTTTGGAGGAGGCATTGTGTCAAATTCATAGGCTGTGCCCTGCATTGTTTATGTTCAGCCATGCATAATTGAGCCCTACGTTATGCTCGATATCATGACATTCTGAATGTCATTGGCATTGCCTCAGGGTACATTAACAGTGACTGTTGGAGGATTTTGCAGGATTGAGGCAGTGGTTCCCCCCCCCCCCCCCCCGAATAAATTAAAGAAATAATGGATGATTAAGGCTGAATCCAATTTTACATGGTGGCAATGGAGGATTGTGCAGGATTGTGGATGGTGCTAGACAAAAGGGCCTGGGGGAAAATTTGCTCACCATTTCAGTCGTAATACTATGACTTTGATGGAGTTTGGGGTCAGGAGATGGAAATGTAAAAGCTTGCTCAGATGGACTTGAACCGACGACCTTCTACTCACAAAGTGCAGATGTTATATTCACCCTTCTATCCATCACAGGTTCTATTCTGGATCAAATATTTTGACCAGTTCTGTTTAAAAGAAAATATAACTGATGGAGTTTTAATTCTGGGAGATGGAAATTTACAAGATTAATTTACAAGCTCGCTCTTTTTCATCCGTTGTGGGTTTGAGTCCCACCCAAGCCACTATTTTGTTTTTTTCCCCTTATAATGTACATTGGTGAAGGGCAGACCAAAAATTAAACTTATTGAACCTTTTTTTTTGTTAACACGATGTGTACACTTTTATATTTTTAGTGAAAGTCTTGAACGAAAACTGTGAGGAGGCTAAGCCAAATGAGCTGGGAAGAATCGCAGTCAAGTAAGATTATTTTTGTCTCCTTGGCTTTAATTTGTGCCAGAAGAAAAAAGAGTCTGGGGTTACGTATTCCAAATTTTGAGCTAATTCTGTGTGCAGAATAACTCAATATAACGTTGAACGAAGAAATTGTCTTGAGCGGAATTTGTACCTGCAAGTTACAGAACACTGTACCAGAACGTGAGATATCGCAGATTCAAATCCTGCTCTGGTGAATTATTTTGTCCAACCTTATATTGATTTGAAGTTGGTCAGTTTCCCAAGTGTAGTTTATGTGATGAACAAAATAATGTATCAAATTTAGAATTTGTGTTTGACTTGTCTGAAAGCGTTGGGAGACAAGGGAAAAGGGAACGAGAGAAACGTCCTAGAACAATTTCTCAAGGGGAACCCAAACAATGTTGGGAATGCACAAGTTCGATCAATGGCTGAGTGAGAATCGAGCTGTAGTCTCCGGAAGGGTAAACCAAAAGAAATTCCTGTGCCAAAACATTCTGCTCAAAGCAACCACGTCAAAGTCAGTGTTTTGAAAAGACTTTCCTTTCTTACATAGTATTTCTTTATGATGTTATATTTCCGTGAAGATTGCCACTTCCCCCTGGTGCTATCAACACACTTTGGGAGAACGACGAACGCTTCGAAAACCTCTACTTTCAGAAATACCCGGTAAGTCAGTGCAGCTTTTTCATTCCCTCTGCTCATGAACCATTGAGGGTGCTATGTAATCGGCTGACAGAGAGCAAATCATTGGACTGGAGGCCTGACTAAAAACCATGGAAACAAGACTATTGGTTTACGTATTTCGAGTTGGACCCAAAGTCTTGGTTTTTAAAGGGCACTATATTGCAGTGACTTAGCCAGTCTATCACAGTCAGTCAGTGAGTCAGTGAATCAGGGGTGAGATTTGTCAAATATTATCCAGATTTCCATACTGTAAAGTTGCTTGTTGGCTGATTGTGCAAACTTCCTGAAACAGCCTTTTTTTTCCGGTTTTTTTTTTACTTAATTCAGTAATTTTGCCCATAGCATTTGTACACGTTTATTTGTTCCTGACACTTTAGGCACTACAATCAGTTGCCTTTATACCTGGCACACACTTATTAGCCCAACTCCGTGAGATGTGTTTCGAACATTGACGTCAACATGACGTTATCATGAGTCACGTGGCGTCACATTAAAAGTGCATATTTTGAATGTCTACATCTACAGAACTACAAATCCGATTGGGTTTAAAATTTGGTATGTACCTAGACATCATGTGTGCTAAATCATGCGACCCTTCCTACTGGTCCAAACCGGAAGTGCCTTATAATTTGAAAGTTGAAAAAGATGTGAACTTGCTTTCAACAATGTCAGCCTCTGGCTAGGTTGTACTTTACAAACAGAATTAACAATGACGTCATAAAATGTTAGAGCACCCACATCCGGTCACACAGGTTCAAAAGAAATGGGTATTGTAAGGGATGCCTAGAGAAAAATACAAACAAATACTATAGACTCCTCAGGTGGGCCTTCAGTGACCCTAAAACCCTTTGCCAAAAACCTTGTTTTTAGGGTTACTATGACACAATGGATGCAGGATGCCGAACGGAAGAGGGTTACATCTCGGTCCAGTCAAGAGCTGATGACGTCATTAATGTAGCTGGTCACCGCATTGCAGCATCTGCAATTGAAGAGGTGAGCTCCATTGCCCGAAAGAGGGCGAGGTGTGGCTTACCTGAACAAGCCAATTTGAGATTTCACTTGTCCATGGGCCAACCACTGATCTGTATATAAAGACTGGGTGGCTAATAAAGAGCCGCACAATGAATGAATTTGACGCCATATTGGTGAGACCGGCTGGTGATCTACAAAGGACAAGTTGCCGTCTTTATAGACGGCATGATTTCTTTTGTAACGTTGACTTATATTTTGGCCACCACCACTGACCAACTGACCAAGGTTTACTACAATTTTTCTAACGTCGTGGTTACTTTTATAATGCCGCAAATCACTTTTCGGCGTTTTTGAAATAATAATCACTACGGAAATGTGTCCCTTTTAGAACATCATAATATGTGTACGTGACCAAAATGCGCGTCAACTGTTGATACAACGCGCGCGTATTTACGCGTAGAACGTTCGTATTATACGCGGCCATCTTCGTGAGACTAGGGGCGAATTGGTCAATATGCAAAGTCTACTGTGTGAATGTTGTATGCATATCCGCTATCCAGTCTTTATATAGAGATCAGTGGGGCCAACTCTCCTTAACAGCATTTAGATAAACGATACACATCTTAGTCCAATAGATGTTAAGCTTAAAGTTACATGTGGATCTGATATTGTATCCAACAATTCTTTGCTTGGAGGAGACTTTGATTTGGCTTTCGGATGCATTGTTCCAAAAGTTGCCTACCAGCTTCTGCTATTTTGATGAGGGTACCCCAACATTTTTGAATGAGGAGACTTTTTTTCAGGAGAGTGTTTTCAGTCTGTTTTTGCCAGTTGTCTGGTTGTCAATTTCAATAAAATTTCTGTTTGCGTGTGTGCATGAGTATGTAAACACCGGCAATCGTGGACCTGGGACAAAAGGGTTAGGGCACAAACAATACGTCCACTATTGACCAAAAGACCACGATTGAAATTCGTGTACAAAACCAATGAGAGCTGTTGCTAAAAAGTTGAGTACAAACAAAGGAATGCGGATCAGGGACAATACCGGATTGCCGGTGTAATTGAGGACAAGAGTCCAATCGAGGACGTCCTTGATTGAAAAGACGTGTTCAAACCCAGTGGGAGCTGTTCCTAAAAGGAGGAAAAACGGTGCCAAAAGTATGAACAAAAGAGGAACAATAGAAAATCTTTGATTTACACTAAAGACAAACGTGTGTGTGTGGGGTTGGGATGGGGCGGGAGCAATTAGGTGGCTCAAGCTTTAGCTGGGGCATGCCCCTTCGCCTCCCTTGGGATCACCACTGCTTTTGAGGGACACGTTCCATTAACCCTAACTCCCTAGGGGTGTGCAAAATCGTATTGAATTTGTAGGATTCAGGACTGTTACGGCTATAAAAAACAGTTTTTCAAGTTCAACAAATATTTTCGACAAAAATAGCACCCGTCTGTCAAGTCACACCTTACCAAATACATGTAGAATTATATTAGGAGCAATTTAAGTTTTTGTTTTAGCCGGGGAAATTTATGTGTGTATACTAATTTTCCTTAGTTATTCCACGGATCCTCTACACAAGGATAAACGACTTCCCCAAATTTTTGATAAGAGGCGTGATATGGCACTTGTGCGTCGTGCGTGCGCGAAACTCGGTGCACCACTGCAGTCTTTCAGTGTTCAAATTTCTGTCAGGACGCCAGCTGTCGGCAATCGTGGCGCGCGCACATTGTTCTACATGTTCTATGCGTTGTTCTATGCACGGACGCGGCATGTCACGCATGTAGACAAACCATTTCGCACATTTTGTACGCGAGCTCAGTTAAGTCTTTTATCCTTGTGTAGAGATCCGTGGTTATTCGTTCCTTATTGTTTCGAGCATTAACCCTTACTCTCTGAGGGTAGTTTACTGCATGTCAGTTGGTTATGCCAATGCCCTCCAGCTGCAGTTTATTGGCAGATAGTTAATCTTAACAGTGAAGGCTCCAATTGGCAGGAGTTGGAGGCCCTGGAGGGTGCCTGATACTGACCAGCTGGGGGCACTCACTTTGTTATCAGAGGACTCTCATTGTTCTCTGTGGCATGTATTGGAGTGCCTGTCCAGTTACCCTTGAAATGACATGGCAGATATTGGAGGGCCATGCAAAAAACATAGGAGATTTTCTTGAGGCACATATTGGCATGCGTTGGAGGGTCTAGTAGGGTAAGGGTTAAACCTGTGACATTATTTCCAGTTACATTAGCTTGGTGTGAGTGTTAGTTTCTGGATGTTTCTTTTTTAGGCCATCATTGATCAGGGAGACGTGGTGGAATGTGCTGTGATTCCGCTGCAGGATGCTTTGAAAGGTTTGATTCCTGTGGGACTGGTTGTCATCAAAAATGGTGAGTAACGGGCAGCTGAGTTTTCCGTTTCTAAAAATACATACTATTTGGCAAAGTGTATACAAAGTGTATGAGCTCCGTGCGCTACCAAAAGAGGGCGCCCTTTTACCTAGCAACGACGTCCCATGGGCGGTACATTTCGGTGGTTGACGCGCACCGTTTCTTGTGTGTGACGCGCGTACACCAGGGGATTTGTTCTATGTACACGCAGTGGCCGCGCACCCCCAACTGTAGTTCCTTTGCCGGTGAGGGGGTACTTGTGAACGGAGCGGATACAAAGTGTATACAAGTCTTTTTCTCATGATGCACTGTATGTTGGTTGATGCAGAATTTGTGACAGCAGCAAATTGTCAGTTTTGAGCAAGTTAGGGTGAGGACCATCAGTCAACTAGTGGTTGATTTGTGACGTAACTTACGCCTGCGCACTAAAGCAACTTGTGAATGCCTGTAGTCAAACAACGGTCAAAACGTCATCACGAAACTTCCTGAACCTGGTTCCCCATTGTGCTTTATGATATGCATGACTATAGAGTACAGAAGTGTGACGTCATTTAGAACCAGAAAGTGTAGTGCAATCGAATGGAGTACGCGCGTGTGTTGGTTCACGGGCTGAATCACGCGCTAATGTCTTTTACACACATTTTGTTCGCGTGACGTATTTACTTTGGTACTCTATTGGCAGACTTGTATTCGAGTCACAAAACATCGAGTCCAAGTCCGAGTCCGAGTCACATTTCTCGAGTCCAAGTCCGAGTCACGAGTCCTCAGGTCGAGTCCGAGTTCACGAGTCACAAAGGTCGAGTCCAAGTCCGAGTCACGAGTCACCTCTAACATTGTATTGGAAAAACGTACATTTTAGGGAATTCAGAGATTCAGAGTCACCTTTGATATAGTATTGGAAATAGGTACATTTCAGGTGCTGTAAATTTCCATTTTTTTTCCCATAGCTTTTCTCTAATTTTCTCTGGAAATGAGGAGTTCATTTGCAAAAAACAGTTATAAAGGCAATTCAGACAAAACTGGTATTGGTCTCTTTAATCAATATATCGGTAATTGGCCACGGCCATGCATGCACCGCATCGAGCGCCCTGTACATGTATTGCACAGTAAAGAAAACGATCGACTTACATATTTGCGCGTGTGCAGTGCGGTAATTTCCGTCGAGTCACAAGTCAGTTCGAGTCCGAGTCCGTAGCCCCGAGTCTGAGTCCGAGTCCGAGTCATAAGTCAAAGTGACTCGAGTCCGAGTCCGAGTCATTAAAAATGTGATCCGAGTCACGAGTCATACAAGTCTGTCTATTGGTAACCAGCAATGGAACCGTGCCCTGTGGTCTGATTCCAAATAGTTGACTAGAGTAGTCCAACCATCCTTTGTTCTAGCAAAGTTAGTCAAACTACGGTTAACTATACTTAGCAACTGAACTTGTTAATGTGGTACCCGCTGCTATGTACGTCAGATTCGAACCAGCCAACCGATCCCGTTAGCTCGGTGGTCGAGCGGTAAGACGTCTGCACTAGACATGCTAGAAGGTAGGAGGTCGTGGGTTCGAGTCCCACCGAGTGATTTTTTTTTCCAACTTTCACTCTGGAGGTAACACACTGAGTATACAGTGTTTATTCGTCAGTGAAGGGCAAAACCTAATTTGATGAACTTGTTCTCGTCTTAATTGGGAACTTCACTTTCTGTAATCTCATTTGTGACCCAACCAAACAAAACGAATCACAAAATGCCAAAATTACTTTTGAATAAATACATGTAAAAAATACCTTTTTTTGTCCACAAATATTTTGTACGTTTGTACAGTGAAAATCAATAGGAAAAGTCAATATTTTCACCTACATAATGTCTGCACAATGTCTGCACATTGTTAAAATGTCAAAATGAGTGATACGTTGATTTGTTATATCGTGTACTTGGATACTGTAATTTCATTAGTCTAGAACGGCCACGTGTCCATTCTGTAAAAATAGTTTTATTGGAGGATTGTGCAGGATTGAGGATGGTGCTAGCCAAAAGGGCCTGGGGGAAATTTTCTCACCATTTCAGTCGTAATACTATGACTTTGATGGAGTTTGGGGTCAGGAGATGGAAATGTAAAAGCTTGCTCAGATGGTCTTGAACCCACGACCTTCTACTCACAAAGTGCAGATGGTATATTCACTCTTCTATCCATCACAGGTTCTAATCTGGAATGAATATGTTGACCAGTTCAGTCAAAAAAAAAATTGCAACTGATGGAATTGTAATTCTGAGAGATAGAAATTTACAAGATTAATTTACAAGCTTGCTCTTTTTACTGTTTCATCTGTTGTGGGTTTGAGTCCCACCCAAGCCACTTTTTTTTTCATTTATTTTCTTCTTCAGCTTTCAGACACTCTTGAGTATGCAGCATTCTTATAATGTACATTGGTGAAGGGCAGACCATATATACTTCATATATACTTCATATATATGCACTGCTTTGCATTTAAACTATCTCGTATACAATCTGTTCAAAAACTAAACCACATACAGTGCGCTGCATATAATTGCGCGTGTTGCGTGCCCTGGCACTCGTGACTAAGAACTGCAAACACTCAGTCTCATCATGTCCGACAGGAAAGCCTGTTTTTTTATCAAAGGGTACCAGTACACCGCATTAATTAAATTTATTACTTGCATAGTAAATTACTACAACCATTTATCTTTTTGACATGGTATAACAAAATAATTGTCTACTCTTGTGATGTCGGATACAGTCAACTCTCATTATAAAGAGCACTTTTATAAAGAGGTTCTGCTTATAAAGAGCAAATTCTGAGGTCCCAAATCTCAGGTTCTCTTTGTGTTTCTTTGTTTCGCTGTCCTTGTATAACAACATTGCTGTTTTAATGGGGCAATTTGGCTAGTCCCATCGACCTTGTTATAACGAGAGTCGACTGTATGTAGTTTTTAACCCCCTTGGGGAGCATAGCCCTCACAGCTTCGCCCCGGATGCCATGTGCCAAAATGGGTGTTAAATACGGCATATTCCACATCACAGCAGTCAACAATTGTTAAATGAAGAGCAGAGTGTGCTGTGTATACTGCTTTTTTTTTAAAACAAAAAGGGTAACATCTGGGGAACTTAATTATCTTCTCCTAGGCGTGGACAAACCCCATCAGCAGATCATCAAGGAGGTTATAGATGCAGTCCGCAGTGGCGTGGGTCCGGTAGCCGCCTTCAAGAAAGCCTTGATCATCGGCAAGCTGCCAAAGACGCGGTCCGGCAAAATCCCACGACAGAGCGTGGCTGACATGGCGAACGGAAAGCCTTTTAATGTAAGCAAAAGCTTTTTTGTAACTGGCATTCCAGAGTCACATTTTTGAACAAGTCATCACATTCAAATTTTGAGTCGTCTTTAGTCTTGTCTGACAACAGCAGTCTTTAACAGCAGCTCATAACCTTTTATTTCAAATTTCAACCTTGCTCTTGATTTTAAATCTGAGTGCCTTGTGATTGATTTGTGATTGTCTTTAAGATTGACTTGTGATTGTCTTTAAGATTGTCTTGTGATTGTCTTTAAGATTGACTTGTGATTGTCTTTAAGATTGACTTGTGATGACTTATGATTGATTTGTGATCGTCTTTAAGATTGACATGTAATGACTTGTGATTGATTTGTGATTGTCTCTAAGATGGACTTATGATGACTTGTGATTGATTTGTGATTGTCTTTAAGATTGACTTGTGATTGATTTATGATTGTCTTTAAGATTGACTTGTGACAACTTGTGATTGATTTGTGCTTGTCTTTAAGATTGACCTGTGTCTTTAAGAACGACTTTTGATGATTTGTGATTGATTTGTGCTTGTCCTTAAGATTAACTTGTGATTGATTTGTGATTGTCTTTAAGATTGACTTGTGACACCTTGTGATTGATTTGTGATTGACTGATTGTCTTTAAGATTGACTTGTAAAGACTTGTGATTGATTTGTGGTTGTCTTTAAGATTGACTTGTAATGACATGTGATTGATGTGTAATGAACTGGGATTGACTTGAGTGACCGACTTAAGATTCACTACTCAAAATAATTTTCTCTTAAAAGAAAAAAATAAATGTTGTTTCAAGAAAATATTTCTTGTCTCACTCCTCAGACACTATTTCTAGGGAGTGAGACAAGAAAGGTTTTCGTTAAATAAGATGTTGTTCTAATTTTAAGAAAACTTTTGACTTGATTACAACTTGATTGTTAATAACAAACCAAAATGTTTCTTTTTCAGATCCCACCAACTATTGAAGATGCATCAGCCTATGGTATGATCCGTGAAGAAATGGTGAAAAATGGCATCCTCAAGCAGCAGAAACCGGCTTGAACCAGCAATTGTAAGTTGATCCGATCCACTAATCTTTTCAGTCGTTCATTGAAATGGGGGAAATGCAATAAAAGAACCGGATAAGTTCTGTATCAACCAGCACAAACTGGTTCGGATGGGTTCCTATAAGTCATCCTGATTACTACAATATTTTTCTACAATACAACGTTATGGGGAAAACAATTGAAGAACTAGTCACATCCAGATTCAGCCAGCCAAAACCGGTTTGAACTACATGTAGCTGCTGTAAGTTGATCCACATATTCACTTATTTGACTTTATACAATGCCTAAATAAATTCCTGCCGTCTGATTGGTAGGTCGTTGATCACATGTCATTGAATTATTCGTCCCAACCCACGGCCCAGCTGCACCGCAAATATAGAAGTTCCATTCCCCGGTATATGGAAGTTCCATTCCCCGATAAATGGAAGTTCCATGAAAGTTCCACCTTTGGCGGCTCTGACCAAACAGATGACGAGGATTTATTAAGGTGTTGTATAAAACAAAAAAATGAACGTTTCACTTTTGTGCTGTTGAAAGAGTAATTTCATTCAGTGACAGATGGAATGTTTTATTACACTTGGTTTGGCCTCGTGGAATGGAACATTCCATCTGTCACCTCATGAATTTATTCCTACCATTGCACTCATAAACATTAAGTATTTGTATAATATTGGCTGCATCAGTTGAGGAGGAATGAAAGTGTGGGGGAAAGGTAATCAAACCCTTTACATAATAGTAGGAGTTCAAATGATAAAAGAAATTCATAATAATTCATTGTGGGAAATGGATTATGAGATAATATTTATGAGATTTACTTTTTATTCCATTAATTTTGCTGCAAAAATGAATAGTTTTAAATGTACTATACAGAGTCTAAGGCACACGTTAAAATCATGTTGTTGGGATATAAAATGGAACCCATGATCTCTTTTTAAAAATAATCATAATCTAGGGCCACTCTGTGAGATATGACTCCAACTAGCACCTAAGGAAATTTGCTGCAGATTGTTCAAAGCTTTGTACATGTAACTGTGCTTCCATTTTCTCTTAAATATCTACCAATTTTACAATCTACATGAACATTATTTTAATAAATGCCTATCTCACGTATATATATTTTTAAAATTCTGTCAATCATGCCAAGTAATTGTGTGTTGATATGCAGAGAACATAACTGTAACAACTTTTCTCCACGAAAAAACTGTGGCTTTGCAGTAAACAGTTAATTATATTTTCAGGCTTTCCCACGGTTGTTTATTTTCCTTTGTACCGTATTCATTACTTTTGCTTTTGTTTCGATTTTGTGTGTCTGATGTTTTTGCTTTCTTGATTAATTAAGCAAATTTTATACTGTAAATATATGTTAAATTGGTAGTCATTTCTATTGAAATTTTTCCAAATAATGTTTGATTAAAAACGATATTTTTTTATTGATTATTAAGATCAACAATTTGAAAAAAATTAGTTTTGCCAAAAGTCATAACAGAATAATAAATTTTATGAAAATACACGTACCCTTATATCCAACACTAAATTCATCTACCTTTTACCTAATAAATATTTCGGCATTGCTTCTGTAATGACACAAATACGTGTACAGGGTGAGTAAAAAAAAGGAAACCCAAATAGCAGGACCATTTTTTAATGAAGTTCTGCATGTAGGCCTGACACTTTCAAAATGTAGAATATGTAAGCCCAATTAATAAGCTTTCTTTTAGTACAAGAAACATTCAAATCACTCATGTACTTTACAAGTTACGGAATTTTAAACACATCAGAATGTATGTGAATTGTTTTTCGTTTTCCTGAAAGAACACTTACCTTTGTTGCGATCCGTGGACAGAACCTTAAAACGGTGTCTGTGTTAAAAATTCTGTAATTTGAAAAGTACATGAGTGATTTGAATGATTCTTGTACTAAAAGAAAGTTAATTGATTGGGCTTTCATACCCTAGATTTTGAAAGTACTACACATGCTACATGCATAACTTCATATATATATATATACGGTCCTGCCATTTGGGTTTCCTTTTTTTTTTTTTTTTTTTGACCCACCCTGTACATGTATATGCAACCATATACTTTCTATGCTTGTATATCTGCCTGACATACAATGTAATTGCATTCAATTTCTAATGAATTTTAATGAAACAATCGAGAGAAAAACCATCATTATTAAAATATTTTATAATTTTACAAAGACAGTACAATGTTCAACTATTTAGTTTATAGATTTTACGATTATTATGGGCTTCTGGAACAGTACAGCCTATTTTAAACCTTCCTTGATTCTAAAACAGATTTGTAATAAAGGACATTTATGACTGGAAAAAACAAAGGTTTGCCGTAATATCAAAGTATGTAAGTTATTTTGCTATTGCATAAACTTGGATTTGGAAAATCATAAACAATTTCTGTACCAAACATGTTCAATACATACAAATGCATATCTTGAGTGTTTCAAGTCATCCAGTCTCAAGTGACAAGCTACATGTATTCAATTAGCTGTGACAAAAGCATTCCTTTTGTCATTGTCATCTCCTGTCACTAATATAATAATAACTAGAGCTGTATGTCTGTTTGAAAACAGAACACAGGGCTTTTTCGCGTTTTACAAATGTTTATGTTTTGTTGGTCCTTTTGCAGTCACTGTTTAGAGTGCTTCATGCAGTTAAAGGTTTGCTTAGAATAATTCCTAAAATATAATTTCATCACATGACGCCACATGCCCTGCAATGACGTCATCTTTACAATACTTGTCAATGCACATTTTGTCACTGTGGTCTTGGTTTGTATTAAGTTTGAAGTCAATCCGATGAAAGGAAGTGTTCAATTTTGAAAGCGGAATGAAATGGTACATATTTAAAAAATCATATAAAATCAACTGCTGACGTCATGGTGACGTCATTTTGGATTTTGCGTACTAGTACCATTATCAATCCAAGTTTCATGACGATCGGATTTTGCATGTTGCGTTCGTGAGATATGGCTTCAAGGTCCAAAAATTTAAATATTCATATAAAATCGCATGATGACGTCAACATGACGTCACCTCATTTTTTTACCTATAACACATCCCGGTATATACCACATACCAAGTTTCAACCCAATCGGACGTACAGTTCTGTAGATATAGGACTTCAAAATATGCATGTTTGTGATGACGTCACGTGACTCCTGATGACGTAATCATGAGTCACTCTTCGGGGGACAACTGTGCCATAAGGACAATGCATATGCTTAATTTGAATGATGTATGACAAAGTTCAATGCCAAAAGTGGCGTGTACTAAATTAAATTAAATTAAATTAGGACTGCAGTCCACACAGCTAGTGCTTTTCAATTTTGAAGTGTTTTTTGTTTGTTTGTAGACTCGAACATTTTAAAGATGAGATTTTGACTGCACGTTATAGAGCAAGGGTTTATAATAAATGTGCATGCCTCTGTTGTCCCTTTTACAGTACAAGATACATGTGCATAGGTTTTTTTGGGTGTTACGAGGCTTGCAGACTCACAGGCATCACGCAGTCTTGAAAAAAAATGTTCGTATGTGACGTGACATGAAGGAGATAACGCGAGCGCATATAAGGCATGCTGCCTTCGAAATACGCGCTGTACGCTTTGAATAGTCAATCAGCGTCGTGTTTGACATGGCCAGGGTTGAAGGAATGTGCATGCAGCTCATGGAGTTGAACCTGAACTGGAGGTATAATTGGCTTGCAATTTGACCAGATTGAATCGTGATGGATTTGACTACACCTTGCAGGATCCGTTTTGTATAGTGGTAATTTCCTTGCCTTTTACTACTGTGACCAAGGTTCTAATCCCAACTGAGCCAACATGTGGATTATGTGCTTAGTTCCGACCTGATTCCATGGATTTCCCTGGAATGTCATTCCAAGGTTTTCCTCCCACCTCTAAAACTGGAATTTGCTTCCTCATCTTCTACCAAGGAACCTGGCAATGCTGAATAACACAGAAACAAATGTCTTGGATTGGTTAAAAAAAAGAGCACCAGTTAGGGTCTCTGTACACCACCTTGTCCTATTGGCATGACTTCGTAGGTCTCTTCCGGCTTCGGAGGAACCGCTCTGGGAACTGTTTTGGGAACAAATTTCCGGACTGTTTTCAACTCCCCACTCGTGGTCTTAACTTGGACCATCTGTGATCCTGTTTGGGTTGGAACTGTCAGCGAGGAGGTGTCCTCATAGACGTCCATATTGTGCATCACACTGCGGTTGTCGATTGAGGTGGGTAGTTGTGGAAGCGGTTTCCTGTAAGAAGCCCCTTAAAAAAAAAGAAACCAATATCTATTTAAAATTGTCAATCTCAATCGCATTGGTTGAGACCATTCACATTATGCCGATTTATAAGAGTCTACCGACTCTTGAAAAATGTTAAGATGATTGAAACTTCTGTGAACCATTCTTGATGTCATAGTGAGTCATCTTGCAGAGGCTGATGAAGTCGACAGGGGTCAAGGATTTAAATGGCAGGGTTGTAGTTAAGTTATAACAAGTCGTAACAAATCGCAACACGTATAAACAGGTCAATCACAAGTCATCACATGTTAAACAGAAGGCTATCACAACATGTCACAATTCATTACAAAGTCAATCACAAGTAGTCAGTCAAAAGGAAATCACAATTCAGTCAAAAGTAAATCACAAGTCAGTCACAAGCCATTACAAGTCAATCATGAGTCAATCACAGGTCAGGTCACGTAGCCTCTCAAAAGAGCTGTGATTATGGCATATACATGTACCTGTTCATAATTGGAACTTGTGACCAGTGTTATAATCCGAGCTATAGTTTTGATCAGATTGGTGATGGACATGGGATTGACATGGGATTGACATGTGATGGACATGGGATTGACATGTGATGGACAAGTGATTGACATGTGATTGACATGTGTTTCACATGTGACTGACTAATTTGCTCCAACTCGAAAAACACATATAGTTTTATACACAGATTTTCACAATAAACTGATAACTCACCACTGCATCCTGGAACAATAGTTCTAGGCGGAACCTTTGGTTCATTGATTTCTTCATAGCAGCACCTTTCATCTGCCACATCACGGGGTTTTACATCAGGGGCGGTCTTTTTGACAACAGCCCCTGGAAAAGATAAATTGGTAGCAATTACTTCAGTAAAAGTTGAAATTGAAATTAAACAAGTGTTGGTTGGATACAGGTACGTAGACAACACTTTAATTAACAGTCCTGAATCCACCAATAACAACATGATTTTCCATACACCCTAAGGTGTTAGGGTTTATGACATAAAGTAACAACTTGCGAGAGCTTCTGCAACAGCTAACACTTAAACAGATACAAATTTAAAGGAAACCACTGCAGGGCAAGAGGTTTTTGTACAAGTGAGTTCTCAAACACATTTATTCAAGGTAAACATATACTTCTTTTACTTCTGCAGCCTCTTTTGGTGTGTTACAGAATTGAGAAAACTCTCCACCGCTTTGGTATTAAAGATAAATTCATAACCAGCTCTGGCTTAATTACCAGAACTTTCTGCCTCTTGAGACCGATTGAATGTCCTCGCTGGAACCTCGGGGCCACTTATGGGTTCGTAGCAAACCATATCGTCATTTACAGCTGTAGATTTCAGTTCTTCTGGGAAGGGTGGAATTTTCTTCTTGGAGGTGTCTGATGTAAGAAGTAAAAATGATAGGTGACATTATGATTAGTGGCATCTTTCATGTCCTTTAAGAAGTTTAAAGGAGGTCGCCTAAAGAAACAACGTTGAATTCCAAACTTATCTGCTTTATTGACACTGGAAAGGAGATAAACGGAAGGGCAAAACCTAATATTAAATTTATATCACCCCGACGCAAATTCCATCTTATGAATAGTTTCAATGTGGTACCCGCTGCTGCAACCAATTCGAACCGGTCAACCGATCCCGCAAGCTCGGTGGTCGAGTGGTGAGACATCTGCACTAATACATGTAGGTGGTCGTGGGTTCAAGTCACACCCGAGTGATAATTTCCAACTTCAGGAGGTAACACACTGGGTATACAGTGTTATACGTCGGTGAAGGGCAAAACCTAATATTCAATTTACAGGAAATCTAGTTCTGCAGTTTGGAATATACTAGAACCTCCATATATCTGAATCGAGCATTTGTCAAGTAGAGGTGTAATTTTTTTTATTGAAGGTGAAAGGGTTTAATTCTTAAGATATGCAGTCCTCTTATTGTACACCAGAAAGGAAGTCGTTTGATGAACTTACTTCGTGGAATCTTTGACAAGAGACCCCTGATAGCAGAGCTTTTCAGGATCTTCTCCACAAGCTGCCTCCCACCTGGTTCCTCTTGCATCATCTCTAGATCTTTGTTCTCCTGGAGAAGGATCTCGACATCGTCATAAACGGACTCTGGGATTGATCCAATTGAAGAGGTACTGTGGCGTCGTACTTCAGGATCTGCTTCCTCCCTTCCTGTTGCCTTGAGTATTTTCTTCATCAAGATGTCTTGCAAAGCTTTTTTCTTCAATTGGAGGGATGCTGCATACTGTGGATGCTCCTCCACTGAAGGTATTTGATCAGGTTCTTGATGGCATTCATAAATGACTTCTTCATCATGTTCTCGTTCATGCTGAATCTGATCACTGGCAGACAGGATGTCAGGAACTTTTGGAAGTGAAACGGTTGAAGGCTCAACCTGTTGGGAACCATGCGGCATCTGAAGTCTTCCTTTTCTCATCCTGACAGATGTGGTACGCTGCGGTGGAGTTGGGGCTTTCAGTTTCTTATTGAACGTCGTCGTAGGTCTAATGCTATGAGGTTTCTCCATTGTCCAAAGAGGTCCAACTTTGTCTTTGACGTCAGGTTGTAAGTATGGATTCTCCTCATTAGCGGCTGCTTCTATCGCGTCTTCGTTTGGTGACAGAAGTGGGATCGGGGGTGGTTGCTCTTCAAAGCCACTTTGCTGTTTTGCATCTTGACAAAGAGTGCTGTTGCTTCCATCCTCTCTTTGGGGAGGGGCACCGGACTGGGATTTTTTGTGTTGTAAAACATTGTGTGCTGTGTTCCATAGAGTGGGCTTGGGGAGCTGTGTCAGAGGTGGCTGGTAGAAGTACCCTGTTGGACTTGAAGCCGGGCTTATAATCCTCTCGGACCCAGAGCTTGTGAAGTGCAGATTCTGGTTGAAGGGGCTTTTGTGTTGCCGTTCTGCATCTTGGCGGACAGTTGTTTGATTTTCAGCGTCCGGTATATCTTTCTTAACCTGATGGACTGGATCGTTTCTCTTGATAACAGTTTTGGGGCTACTTCTTGGACTTGGAACAGGTATCCGATTTCTCTCAGAAGGTGCCTCATATGAATTCTTCCTTTGTAATCTGGGGCTGCTCTTAGCTACGCCCTTGTCTACAGCACCTTTCATAGCTTGGTTAGCATCATCGTCGATGATTTCGTAACATCTTGGGGGTTTTGTGCTCCAGTCCTGTCCTGGATCATTGTTGTCTGTGTTTTGGATCTCTCTCGTTAGGATGGTCTGGAGCTCTGGCCAGTCCATATCTCGGAAAAGGTCAAGGAGTCTTCGTAGCGCTTCACGTGTTGCGACCAGAGCAACCTGTATAACCAACAAAGAAACAGCCAAGTGAGTAAATAGCAAGATAATATCTTTTATTATTATTTCAGTATTTAAGCCAGATTTCTTTTACAGGAATGATAATAATGAATGCCGTTGTGGAGTTTTCAATCATAACCTCATACAACCAAACGTACAATTACAAGTTCAATTTACTGTAAAGTATTTTATACACAACTTCTAGGTAACCATTTGGTCATTAGACAACATCAATATTGTTCTCACATAGATACCAATATGCTTCTAGATAGCTTTAAGGTACAATTGTATATCATGCTGAGGGACACAAGTACCATCTGTAATCAAATCCATATTTGGAAGACTGCTGTCCCATGCAGACTTGTCAAAAAGTTATCACTGTTTAGAAAGAAATGTTTTCAATGGCTGGCCGTTTGCTGTCAGTCTGCCCTACAGGTGTTTTTTATTCAAATAGACCTACCTGTTGTCCAAGGTACCAGTTCAGGAGAGCCTGCCCGGGGCAGAGGTATCTCTCCCTCAGGCAGCAGATATGAGGAGCTGAGAGACCCATCTTCTGTGCCAAGAGTTTCCAGCCACGACCTGAGATCACACTGACCTGGGAACAAAGTGGAGATTTAATCTAATTAAGTATTTATTTTCTCAGAAGTCATCAGTCACTGGAGTCAACCACAGGTCAGCTGAAAGGCATCCATTGTTAAGTATAGTATAAAAACTATTCAATTGAACAGTGACAGATAAGGCATTACTTGTGACTTAATATTGACTTGTGACTTACCTATAATTTGGCTGCAATTTCGGAGCCAGACAGCTCGTAGTAGGCCAAAACAAATAGTTCTGCTTCCGATTACATGGTATCTGAAAATAGGGTGGGTAGGTATGGAGGTGTCTGCGTGTAGTCAAGGGTAAAGGGTAGTAATTGATGGTTTTCGGGGTTTTTTCCCTCATTTCCCCCCCCCAAAAAAAAATTAGGGTAGGGCTGTCAAATTAGGGTAGGAAGAGTAACCAGAAGCAGAACTATTTTTTGTTTGGCCTAATATGGATCAACTTCACATTGAGCTTTCTTGGGTGTGACTTGAACACAAGTCCTTGCCCTTAAATCTGAGTTTGGTTATTAGGTCTACACGTTAATGGACCCTTTCTGTCTGTGAAAAAACTTCGCATATACTAATTAGATCATATAGGTTTTTTGTCAGGTGCCCTATCGCCGTTTGCGAGTTAGCCACGCCCCTTAGACAACACTTTGGAATTTTACGTTAAGTTTTGTTTGTCTGCGCGTTCCGCGTCCATTTGTATAAATTCTACAATATATTTTACAAGCTGCGTTGACCATGACGCAATCGACCTATGGCCGTTTGCGAGAATAGCTACGCCCCTTAGACAACCCTATGGAATTTGTGTACGCAAAGTTTTGTTTGTCTCAGATGTTGCGCGTTCGCGTTCATTATTTTGTATATCATGTAATTGGACAATAGTTCACAAGCTGCGTTGACACGATTCTTCCACGATAAGTTAAATAGCTATGTCAAACTCGGTCACAGGCAAAGATCCTAAAGCGCCGCTATAGGATCTTTGGTCACAACAACTGTGAGAAAGTTGGGCAGGGCTTATGGCCAAATCCGGAACGGTCTTTTCCTCCTTTCCAGCTAGACACGCTTGAATTATATTACGAAAGGCCCCCTTCAATGGCAAAAGACATTTTGCCAGCCGTTGTTCAGATCATTCTGTCAGGTGGCAGTTGCTTTTTACAATAGCGTGCAGAATAGTTTTTCCATTGAGGGGGCCTCGAGAGTGTACAGTGCTCACGTATCCGGATATAGTTTCATTCGGGATATGGGGTATGGCATCTCATCCAGGATCTACCCACCTCTAAATGAAGGGATAGCTCCCCTAGTATTTTGTGCCTGAGACCAGCTGGTGGTTTGAGCAGCGGTGTGAAGGTGACGATGGATGCCTTCTGGTTAAGAGGCACCCTTTGTGGAACCGTTGGGGACATTTGACTGCCAGGCAGCGAAGGCAGCCTGGTTGGGATCACTGGCGCTGTGGACTTGAGCAGAATTTTTAATAGTGAATAATTTGAATAACTGAGAGGTGACTTGGGAAACTAAAATTGCCAAAATTGTAGGATTAAGGTTCATTTTACAAATTTGGGTCCAATCGTTTTCGTGTCCCTGTTACATCTCATATAAGATATTGTTAGTTTAGGACACATTCTTTAATGCCATCTATCTCCAAGAGCGATTTTGTAAATAAGCAACAGACTGCTCCAAAATAGTTTGAAGGCAATTTAATGATATTTGCATGGCAAATTACACAGGTCAGGTGAACAAGGACACAACAATGTCACTTTTGGAAGTCGCATTTTGGAATGCCCTTAAAATAAACTGCTTATAGATACCAAGTCACAAAATTTGGTATTGTGGTCACGTGATGCCCCTTTCTACAAACTGTTCTATGATCTCCTGAAATGCATATCTCTTGAAACATAAGTGGTTTAAAAGTGTTAACCTTTGTTATATAAATGTGCGGAAATTTACACTACAGAGTTGCTTAGGTGTTTGTTTTGCCTGTTGGATTGCCAGCTAGCTTGAAGTTACAAATATTATGGTATATTATTTTTGTCCTGGGAACAAGGTAAAAATTCATCACACGTAAGCCTACTGCTTCTTCGTCCACGACGGCCACAAACTGCACGGTTTCGGACTCATCCTCTTCCACCTCGTCCGCATAGCCGCCATCTTGAGACACCTCAATGGTGCAGCTGGCCACGCGGGGGGTCTGTGCGGATGCGGAGCCCCCTGTGTCCCGATACAGTGCGAAGGTGCAGGACGGTAGACAACCGTCTTTTCGATGCTGGGAGATGAAGCGCTCAACTGATAACCTCTGTGGAAAGAAAATTCGCGTGCAAAGTTCTTCTTAACAAGTACAATACAATTAATCGAAATACTCACTTCGGGCTTAGCTTATTCATAGAGCAATTATTAAGTCCTTGCCTGGTGCCAGAATTGTGGCAATATGGTATAGCCCACTCCGGTAGGCACTACTTTTAAGCTTGAGATTTTGCTTTGATTTGTTAAAAAAAAAAAAAGATAGTTTATTTAAATCCCATGACTTATCGAGTAATAAGAAATGAGTGTTGAACACTTAATCTAGAAAAAAAGGAATATCGGTAACATTATTCATGCTTAATTTAAAACATAATGCATGCTTAATTTGAAGGAAAAAAAATTCGCATTATTCAAACTGAAAAAAATACCAAGGTAGGCCTATTATGTTAATGTTAACGTTAATTTTAAGCAGGGTACCCGCGTTTAGCTATTGTATTTATGCTTATATTTCATCGTGTTTCATTTTCTTGAGTGATTCAATCGGGCCTTCTCAGCATTTCCTCCTTTGTCTGATGTAATAGATTTGTTTTCTCTTTTGCCCTTTCCAGGCCTTTTATTATTCGCATTTCTCCAACATTAAATATTAACAACAAAAAATCACTTAGTTACACATTGAAATAATTCTCTACAAACTTAAATCACAGAAGACAGACTTAAATCACAGAAGACAGATACATTGAAATTTGATAAGAGTGATTCAGTAAATTTAAGTTCATTTACAAATGTCGTCCAAAGAAACCCAAGGTTAAGAATTTTCTTAGAATAGTGTGTATTGATGACTCTTCATTTGAAAACAGTAAAAGAGGCAATTATTATAAAAAGGTTGACATTATCGAAATTTGTGTCGTTAGTTCTATTACCTAGCACAATCTCTTTGAAACTGATGTCTTTCTTAAAACTTAGAATTAACAGATAAAAAAGTGTGATTTACACGTTTCCAAAATTGAACGAGATGTTTAGATCGTCATACTCATTACAAATGTCGCAGTTCCATGAGTTGTTGAGATTCCACCTGGAAAAATTCGATTTAGTAGGAAGTAGGTTGTACAGGACCTTAAAACAAAAAGCTTTATATTTATTTATCGGCACTTTTTTTAATTTTAAAACTCCAGACTTGTTTCCAGTTAAAGTCATGGGGAAGCTGAAAAACAGTTTTCCAGTAAATTTCACTTTTACTAACCATACACTTTTTTCTGATGTAATAGATGTGTGCAGGTTCCAGGAGCTTTCAGCGAAATAAATTCCAATCACTTCCTGCTGTCATTGCTTTTAAGTATACAGTGCGAGTCAAAAAGAAAGTGACCTACAGAGAAATAAATGTTTACACAAAAGGTGGCTCGTTCCATTTGATAAAAAATAACATAGAGATAAAATACATATTATTAACTAGTAACTGTGAAAATTTCACGTAACTTGCTTACTAAGTGCACAAATTATGTCTATTTTAATACAAACATCACACAATTTAGTGATGATCATTTACCGTTTAAATACAATGAAACAAGGACGTTTTCCTGAACGAAAATTTGCTCAGGAAAACAGACAAAAATCACCATCAGTATTTCAGAAAACAAATTCTGATATTCAAAACACAAAATCTGACAATGAAATAATGTCTCAGTCTTGAAAAAAAAAAAAAAATCTCGTTTGTATCTTAATGCGTGTAATGGCTGTTTCTCCGATCAGATCGTGCAATAACTTCAAATGGAATTCCATGGACATGCAGCTGTAAAAATTGATTTCAGTTAAATATTCAAAACTTCTCATAGCATGGATCAATTTCAGTATTTTTTTTCCAAGTGAGTGGAAGACCATGCTCATTTATTATGCTTCGTTGATGTGTCAAATTAAATTAATAATAATAACGGAGTCTTATATAGCGCACGTATCTACCAACAATTAGGTACTCAAGGCGCTGGAAATTGTGTCAATTATTAAAGAAAGGTAAATAAAGTTTATGAGAAATATGAGACCCATTATGTAGCACCTTATAGTGGTTTACAAGATGGTGCGGCGCACATTTCTTTTAAAGGGTATAACAAATCATTAATCCTCATCCAGGTCACTTTCTTTTGACTCAATCTCTATAGTGCGCTCGAAACGGGGATATAAATAGCAAGATCAGTGTTGTGTTCTGAATATCATTGCGAAATGACGTCAAACGAAAGTACAAATGAAACTTGTATACCTTGCGTTGATATGAATTTCTGCCGTGCTGGCAGATTTTGTTTCTTTTTCGGACAAAGCTTTAAAGGTGAAAACAACAACCCCGAAAAAAACTGGAGCCAAAATGCTACTACCAAAATGAATCTTCCTTGTCTTCAAGAAACGAAGTGGGGGAGTGGTAATTTGGTGAAAATTTTACAAAGATTATGAAATTGCTCGGCTTGAGTTTCAATGCTTATTAACAGAATAGTTCCCATGCTCACATGTGAGTGAACGAACATTCTGGGGAAATCATACACATTTCGCGTAGACGGGACTCGAACCTACAACCAACTGTTAAAATGCATGTGTCTTAACCATTCAGCTATTTGGCCAAACATATTTAGATCCAGGCAGCCGCGTACCGTACAAACGAGGTTGTGGAGGTCGTGGGTTCGAGTCCCGCCCTTATTATTGTATTTTTTATTTTTGGTTCTACAGAGTAACTGATCTTATGCATAGAATGTATTAATTTACTCGGTTGGTAATGAAATTTCTAGTTCTTACTTCCTTATCCTTTGTCAGCATAGTCCAGCCTGGTATCACGTGACTGGCCGTTACCCATACTGCTCTGCGGTATTTACTGATCACGGCCATGCGAACTCGGTCCAGCTTACGGAAGCGATCTCGCCCCTCTTCGGCAACAATGCGCTAAAGCAATAATGGACAAAATAATGGTGTAAAACGCCGCTATAACGACCACCGTTATAACGAATATTTGGCTATAACGAACATCCCCTTTGGCTCCCAAAGTATTAATTTATATTATATTACACAATCACTTTAACAAACGACCACTACAAGGTGACCCCCCAAAAATGCAATACATTTGCCTTTTTTTTCTTCAAAAACCTGATGTGTGTATTTTTATGTTTTGGATATCAGATCAAGGCTGAAAGTTTTTACTTCAAATACTGACAAAATCACGAAAACAGTGCATTGGGTCCGGTTGCTGAGAAAATACCGGTACTAATTATATCAACTCCTTTTTTGTCCTTCCCAATGACATTACCATAGTTAGATTTACACTGTACCTATTTGTGCATGAAATGCACGTGGCGCAGTTGTGTCCTAATCCTTACAAACAACACAGCACACAATATGACAAAAGTACAATTCTATTCGACCTAACTGGCATTTCCTCAACAACCCAATGTGCTGTTTCACAGTGATTTTGTTTCAGTGTTTGAAAGAAAAAAACCTCTCAGCTTTAAGCGTATATCCAAAACATTCACAAATCACGTTTTTGAAAAATAGGTAAATGTTTCAGGGGTAGTATATTTTTTTTTTTTGGGGGGGGTTCACCTTGTATAACGAACATTTTTTTCAGGACCCCATCATGTTCAATATAGTGGCGTTCTACTGCTTGATTTTCATTGATAATCGTAATTACGAACGGAGAAGGTGCGGCTAGAAATCGGTCAGAAGTCACCGACCTTAGCCGATTCTTTACGATTCATCTGTGCTCAAGTCTGTTCCATCTGTGCTCTCACGGTTGTGTGGGAATGGAGTATTTATGTAGCACGTGAAATACATGTGATGTCGTAAATCGTTGACGAGTAGGGGGACGGGGATGTATCCATACCGCAAAATTCTGCAATTTATTGCCCGGCCGTGGACCATTGGAAAGTTATTATTATCTCAGAATCGGCATTTTGGTTTCTTACCACAAAATCTGGTGCGATGATCAAAATGACCTTTCATATGGTCAACACGTGTGGGGGATAATCCCCCAGGGTTTACGCCCATGGGTTTTTTGTACTTGGCATTGGCAATTTTATAGTCAGGATTTGAGGAAGTTGAGGGGGGAGGTTGTACTACGACGATTAACTGTACATGTATGTTTTTGAAAAGAATTGCTTTTGTACCTGTTGTTAGCAAAATCGCCGGGTACTACGATTTAGACCCACAGTATTTTAACACAGATCTTATAGTAACGGGACGAAAAGACAGATTAAAAGTTGAATTGTAAAATAGGACCACAGTCTATTGTTTACCTACAATTATGGCTTACCTGCGTTTCCGCATCGGAGTCTTTCCAAAATATCACCCTGATTTGAGCACTTCCGGTCCCCGCTAGCTGCCTGCCGAACACGCCCACCCGATAGTTCAAGAACTCATCCGAAGGCTGACTCGCGTACCGACCTCGGAACTCTTCGGTCTTTATCGGCGCTTGAGATACGACAGTGAAGCTGCCTAATTGGTTGACCATCATCGTGCAGCGATTGTCGTCCACGGAGAAGAAACAGTCCAGAATTTTGTCCATGACCTGCTGTTTGGGTTTTTCCGAGGGGGAGGTCTGCTCCGATACGATGATCTGATGTCTGGCCGCAGCGCTTGTATCTTGGGTTTTCACGGGGAAGGATAGAACGACATCACTGGAGAACTTGAGGCCTGTTTTACCGCAGACAACAGTGGGGCTGATGGGTTTAACTCCCGTCTCCAAGTCCAGGAGAGCAGTGGGCGGGTCAGGATGGATGAAGATGAAGATGGGTTCAGGGTTGTCCCCCACGATGGCGTGAGGGGTGACATAGAGGGTTATCTTGTGGTTGGGGAGAGGGAGGAAGCCGCCACGGTGGTCGAACATCCCGCATGCAAAGCGGTCCGTGGTGAAAATGATTCGGCCCTCCGCCGCTTCGGATGCATAGTGCTCCATGGCCGTTTGGCACTTCCGGAGGACCTCGTCAAGGGCCGGGTCGGGAGTGTGTATTTCCGTCAGGAACTCCGTCCTCCGACGAGAAGCTGGCATCGGGTTTCTAAAACACAAAGGTCCCTCAATTAGAGCTTGGCTCGGTTTTGCGTCGCTCACATCCTTTTGTGGCGAGTGGCTCGTTGCCTCTGATGAGCCCCAAGGGACATTAGAAGCCCTCGGGTTGTAAGTGACCAGGGGTTTCCGAGCAGGTTTGTGGGGGGTTCTGTTCAGCCGCGGCTGTACCGTGGGGGCGTTCCCCATGCTGCCTTGCTGAGGGTGAGGATGATCTAACTCTGATCTCTGTGGCTGAGTACTGGGTACACCTTTGGACAAGGCGGAGTAAATAGATGGGCTTGTAGTTCGGAGCTCAGCGTATCCAGAAGTCTTGGTAGGTACTCTAGGTGTGTTTTGGTAGCACACTTCGGATCCCGGATTCTCCTTGGATGGAAGAGCTGGCTTCAAAGGCAGCAAAGGTGCTACAACGTCTGAAGATCTGCCTAGTCCCCCGATCGCTTTCCCCTGCACCTTGCTGCTTCTGAAGGAAGGCTTGATCTCCTTGAAGTGTTTGATGTTTTGGTAGTGCTGATCCAACTCAGGTTGGAACTTACCAACCGGAGTGACGTACCCACCAGCGGTCTCTGTGGGGGTTTTGTCCCGTGGCAGCGCTAGCGGCGGCGATCGCACGGTGTCGTAAACGGCCGCCAACTCAACAGCCAGCCGTTTTCCAGCAGATGATGACATGTTTTCGAGATTGCCTGGAAGATTTCATTGATCACCAGTAGGCTATATTTTGCTTGGGAACGCAAAACCTGATTTAGATTTGACTGTCGAGTGAAAGCCAGAGCTTGTCCCTGACCGCGATTTTTCCCAATCCACTATTTGATTCAAACTTAAAAATTGTCTTTCCTGTGTGTGTTTACGAGGAAACTTTACAAAGATACACTTTTTTTATATGCTGGCCGAGAAAGATCTGGATCATAATAATTGTCTCTCTCATGCCAAGAGAGAGTTTACACACTACTTATGTATACTTTATAGCGAATGTTGAAGCTCCTTTCATGAACAGTCGACATGGAGGTAATCTATAAAACCATGGTCCACCCATATTTTTACGCCTGCGTGAAGTCAGAAAAAGACTTGGTCATCTTTCTCCTTAACATTAATGTGACAGTTTAACAGAGCGCCAAAGGCGTAGATCACCAGGAAGTGTGTTGGGTCTAATTCCGCTGCTCTCACAAAGTGTCCACAATTCTAACAGCTCGATCCGTGCAAGTGCAGATGGTATCGGCTTTGGACTTCCCAGATGGACTGCATTTTTGTGTAGGTCTATTCGGCGAAAGTTTTTTTTTTCAGTTCCTGTGCCGAATCGAAGTGCCACTTCCTTGTTGCGTCATGCAGTAAAACCCCCTCGGTTTTTCTTGTTAGACTTCGATGGCCGATGGGCACTCTCGCAAGAGTTTGACGACTTTGGGTTATGGTGTGCATGTATTTACGAAGCAAGAAGTCTGCACATCATGACGTATGCTGCGTTAAACATTATTTATTCACTCTCAAAACGCTGGTTAGAATTTTGTTGGCTAAAAAAGTTACATACAGTTTTAACCAACGTTGTGTAAAATTGTCCAAAGTTTGCCCAACGTTTGCCCAACGTTGGGCATGTGTTGCCCAACGTTGGTTAATTCTTTTTAACCAACCGTTGGGCTGTTCAGCTGTTAAGCAACAGTTGGTTAAAAGTATTCCTTTTACCCAATACTGGTTAAATATCCGAATTTAACCATCCTTGGGTAAATTGACTACTTTTAACCAACTGTTGCTTAACAGGTGAACAGCCCAACGGTTGGTTAAAGAAATTAACCGTTGGGCAAAATATGCACAACGTTGGGCAAACGTTGGGCAAAATTGGACAGTTTTACACAACGTTGGTTAAAATTGTAAGCAACTTTTGTAACCAACAGAATTTTAACCAGCGTTTTGAGAGTGTTGTGCAAAATGGTCGCATTAGTTCCTTGTTGCAATTCGTTTGACCTGTGTTCGAAAGTAGGACTACTCATTCCATAACACTGTTAGTGTACGCCTATACTTAGTGCAGATTGGTTTTCAAACAATAATGCCAAATTGCCAGTAAGTCAAGTGTCGTGTGAGCCTAAGTTCACGTAAGATTTATTTTCACTTTCAAGTAGGCCTAACTGAGAATCGGTTTCAGATTTGTGAAATTGAAGGTGCTATCAAAGCATGCAATATTTTTTTTAAAGAGATGATTTCATGGGTATAGAGGTGTGGGGTTTTTTTGGGGGATAAAAAAGGGATGTAAAGAAAGACACATTATTTTATTTTACACATTTCCGAAAGATAACCTAAAATAGTGCTACCAAATGGGGGGGGGGGGGGAACATGACAAAAGAATAAGCCTATACGCCAGGAGGAAATTGACTTTGACAATAAAGTATCAACTAAAGGAACGCTATAGGCCTATTAGGCCTAATTGATTAATTGTAACACTAAACGAATTTTATAAAATCATAACGAGTTAATAAACAATGCACAAGTGTCTCAGGTGGTACATGCACACCCCCATTTCTCCACCCTCATTTCTCCAGCCTCAAAACCTTCCGAAAAAAAAAATGATCAGTCGTAAACTTAGTACAGAAGAGGAATGTACGAAAGCCCATTAGCGCTACTGCAAGTATATATGTTACAGATTGTGTAATTCGTTATTACGGATTATTAATTCGTTATAACGGATTATTTAATTCGTTATTACGGATTACTAATTCGTTATAACGGATTATTTAATTCGTTATTACGGATTATTAATTCGTTATTACGGATTATTAATTCGTTATTACGGATTATTTAATTCGTTATTACGGATTATTTAATTCGTTATTACGGATTATTAATTCGTTATTACGAATTAGGTCTGATGTTCTCACACGTGGAGAGCACGTGACCAGGGGCCTGTGTATATAGGGCCACTTTTGAAATTTATATGTTGCTGCCAATTGATTTTTTCCGGATTCAAATCAATGTAACCAAAGCGAGGCTGGAGGGGAAAATATTTGGTTCCTTTTTGTACAAAAACGTTTTTATTCCAGTACTGTTATTGCGGCAGCGTGAGAGTGCACACCGGTAAATAGGCTTAAAGGGAATATACATCATTTGCTTTTGCTGTAATTTTCAGAAATGGATGGAATTGGGGGGTTGGAAATATAAAGCAAATATAGTTACACTGACTTTTTGGAGGTTTTGGGTTCGAAAATACTATAAAAACCAAGAAAAACGATCATTTTCCTGTAGTCTGGTTCCCTGACTCCATATAAGAAGAAACAGAGCAGTTTACATACATTGGGGAATTGTAAGGTCAGGGAACCAGTCTAGCTGGCTCGTACCCGTTCATAGGTTTGTAATCGATTGCAAACAAGTACAATGGTCACTTGGGGCCAGTATTTGAAAAAAAGCCAGTTGTTTCCAACGCTGATCGGCCGATCAGCGTTGGAAATTGATAGAAAAATACCACTTTTCTTGAAAATGACAGTATACCAGGTGCCATAATTTTACAGGATGCTTTAGACTGTCATTTACCAACATCCTATTAAGGTATTTCGCAAAAACTTGGTAGTTTTATTTTTCGATGTTTGCAAATGTTGTATATTCCCTTTAAATCCACCCGCCGAGCTCATGAATAAAACTTATACCGTCCCTCAAGTTTAGACTAGAGAATTCTGAGAGCCATGAAATTGGGGAATTGAAGAGATATGGCAATGAACCTCTGAGCATTTTGGATGCAATTGTGCTCGAAAGTGGTGCTATTTTGCCATGTGGTGGAGGATTTTAATTTTCAATAGGCCTATGGCTTCTTTTCCGCTTTGGGGAAAAAGGGGTCGCGACGTCTTCTTTGGGTGCATGAGAATATCTCGAAAAGTCAATGGTCAACCCACCAAAAAATGAAAAGAAAATGAAGATGACATGTTGATCATCGTTTTTCTGTGCAGCTGAAAATACCTGTATTGAGTATTTTAAAAAGAATGTTGAAGTTTGGGCATTTAGCACTAGCGTCTATGGGAATTTTAATACAAGCTAGGTTGCATCCATGAAAAGTCCCGAACTCATGATCAGTCGTGAGTCGACATGCAGGTAAAATTCAAGGGACGGTTATTGTTAAGGGCGCCACCAATGGGCAAAGCTTGGATAGGCTGATTGTTTTGTAATTGCACAAAGCTAGCTGACGAAGGTACGGTACAGTACGGGTGGACGCGCACTTCCGTGGGACAGGTAAATTAAATGTCATTGGTTTACTACTTAAACTTACATTTGATGATTATGCTATGTTGGTATGCAGACCCCGTTGTGATGATTTGTTTTGTTCAGATCTATGGTATGGGGAGAAGTGTAAATTATGAAATGTAATTATGTATGTTTCACCTTCCTATGGATAATGGACGTAGGTTTCACCACACTGTCATGAATGTGGCTGTGTGACTGCTGCAATGCTGGTGGAGTGTCGAACATTGCCTAGGCCTACTAATAATAAGCCCCATAAATGTGGCCAATTTACTGCTGGACTACATGTACCTCCGTAAATAAAGGCCACACTTCCACCATGTACAAAAACATGTCGAACTTTGTCAAATTTTGATTTTCAATTTCACATTTAGGCTTATTTTGTAGTTTATTTTTGCTTTAGAAGCATACTCACCCTCTTTATAGTTTATTAGGCCTTTATTTACCGAGGTAGTCCAGTAAATTGGCCACATTTATGGGGCTAATAGCGTAACAACCTAACATTACAACACGTTTTGCATTCACCATTGTTCATGACGGCACTTCATAACTTGCCCTGGCATGCCTGGCATAAAGGCCATTTCACTCAGTCGTACAATGTGAATATGTGTCCTAACTAAGCTAAGTTGAAAAGAACGTTGCATCCTGACGCCAGTTTTATTTCATCATACATGTATATTAATCTCAATGAAGGTCAGTCAATGTGAGAAAAAAAATGTTGAAAAGACTTGAATCTTGGATTGAGAAACATTTCCAACTTTGTTAGAAAATACTTTGAGAAAAATGTGTGCACTATTAAACCTCTCCATAGACTTGGTACACAGCCAAGAAGTGGCATCTGGATACCACATTCTTTCCCCCAAGGGTTTGAGAAAAGAAATATTTTAGCAGAATGTACATGTAGCTTGAGTAACTCCAGCTGACATGCTCATATTCATTCACATGTAGCATGTGAAGGAATATGAGCATGTCAGCTGGAGTTACTCAAGCTAAGCAGAATGGACAACAGCCATTGTTACAATCATGACAGTAGGGCCTACACATCAATATAATCATAAAGACCCGTTTGTTTAAACTTAGAATGACTGATATGTCAGAGTGTAACGAAGATGTTGCCAGCACGCAACTTGGGCCACACGAAGTTCCTAATCCTGAAGGATCTCCAAATGCTCAAGATGTCTATGGAAATGTGCCTAAAAGGCAAAGAATGGTAAAGAATTCTTGTGATATTTTAAACTATTTCTCAACACTGCCCATTCCAAGGAACTGTGAGCAGATATCTTCTGTCATGTCTGTTTGTATGATTTCTTGTGTTCTCTTCTGTATCTGTAGGCCTATATCATTATACTTTCATAGTCGGTAAAGCATCCATGGGGAAACAGCACACCAACTTAGAAGACAATGAGAAGAAATTACAGTTTTAGAGGTTGGCATGGTGGGAGGAAAAGCCCAGAAGATATTCTGGGGAAAACCCACGGAATCAGTTAGGGACTGAAAACCCAATCCACATAAATGACCCAGGCGGGATTCGAACCTGGGTCACAGTGGTGGAAGGCGAGAAAAGTACCGCTACGCCAACCTGACTCCCCTTACTTCTCTTCTGTTCTTTCTAGTTTGTAGCCGGTAGCCCTCAAAATCACAGTGAGTGGCCCGTGACCTTGTGCTCAAGTGGCTGACACCTGTTACAAATTTTTTTTTAACACTATAGGGCCTAACATTGAAGGACCCACAGACTTTAGGCCAAATAACGACCGGCCGGGCTATTTTTCAAGGTACATGTAGCCGCCAGCTTTTTTTTTTTAATTGCCGCCACTTGGACTCAGGAAATGACATAACCAGCTTTATATGGGCTAGATTCAACAGACAAAGAGGCCAAAATGATGTCACTGTTTAAAATTTATCATTTTTGTGTTTTTGGTTTTTTTGAAAAAAAAATAAAAGGAGGCGGTCTCCAAAAAGGAAGCAGGTGGGACGTTAAACATGTTTTTATTTTTTTTATTTAGCCTGAACCCCTTGCACTACATTGCATTAGGCAGGGTTAGGATTAGTGAATGGAATTTCTTTTGTTTTCAATTACAGGATGGTAATGAATCAAACTCAAGCGAGCAAAACTCACAGTTTGTGTCTAGCAGCAATGCGCAGCTTTCCACGGACGCTGAGCAGACCTCATCCCAAGCTAGTTCCCAGTGGCAACAATGGCGGTCCCTCTTCAAGGACATTTTCATTGAGACTCAGAAGCCTACGCAGACGCAGTGTCTCGCGTGCGGGGACGGTGAAGGAGACTTGGTCCGATGTCTGGACTGTGGTCCCGGAGTGACGCGATGCATCGACTGCACGCTAAGCTACCACAAGGAGAGTCATCTGCTTCACAAACCAGAACTTGTCCTGGTAAAGATTTGTCTTTAAAGGGTTCATGCAATGCATTCCTTGGAAATGCACCTTTGTCTACCACTGAACCCTATTTTCAGTTTACTTTTTGCCATTTTCAAGGGTATTTTGGTGCCTGTTTGGTTTTTATGCTAATGCAAATTTCAATATATTCATGAGCAAATGTGTGATTTTATTTCAGGCAGAAACCTCTATGTTACAGCAGGTCCATGCAATGCATTCCTTGGAAATGCACCTTTGTCTACCACTGAACCCTATTTTCAGTTTACTTTTTGCCATTTTCAAGGGTATTTAGGTGCCTTTTTGGTTTTTATGCTGATGCAAATTTCAATATTCATGAGCAAATGTGTGATTTCACTTCAGGCAGAAACCTCTATGTTACAGCTATTTCAGCACCAATAGATAGATAACCCTTTAGTCACTGAAGTGCCTGAAACCGCCCTGCCTATTACTCACTGTTTGGCCTGAAACAATGCAAGCACTTTTTTATTGATTTTTCAGTGAATAAACTCAAGGTAATACAATGAAGTTCAGGGGCTAATGTTTCATGTACAATACATGTATGTTAACAGGCATGAAACTATTCCTCGGGTAGGCTGATTTCCTCATTTTTTACTCCTCATGAATGCGGAAACAAATTTAAAAAAATACTGTACAAACATGACAAAAGCTTGCGTGGCTTGCAGTTTCCTCATTTTTTTTCTAAATTCCCAGTTGCATGCTTGATATTACAGTGTTTTGTAGAATTTTATTCTGACTTTCACTACTTGGTTTCAATTATTTTAATTCCAGTGATCGACGTCAATTTTTTTTTCCACCCTCACAGGAGACCGGGGTCAGCCCTTTCCCTCTTCGCTCGCGTTTTGAAAGGAAAAACCATCAGTGTTTCACTACTCACACTAAATCCATACAAATCTTCGATGAAAAAGGTAAGCCAGTTGATTGTTGGTGAAAGGTTACAGGAATTAGATTTGAAAGTTTTGTTACTTTTGTGATATCATGCTTTCCTCTTTTTTCCAGAAATCCGTTTTTTAGGGGGCCTCAGAAGTCAACAAATGTAAATCCGTTGAGAAAATAGGGGGGGGGGTGTAGAGTGTACTAATTGATTATTCATATCGAGTTCTGTGTGCCAAAACTTACTTACGTGATGTTTTAATGCACGGACGAATTCAATGTCCAAGTACATTGTACTTGTCTCATTGAGAACATGGTTTAAGTAGCCCAATGGAGACTAAATATTTACACACACGTAGCGCGATCGTGTACTATGAACGCTTGGGTCTGAGGATGTGATTCTGAAAGTCTAGCTCCTGTGTCGGTAACCCACAGTTCACGCATGGCGCTGGTCAGAGGTCACTAGTTACGAACTCGGACTTCTTAATGGTGCCCGCTTTTGTTCAACATCGTACAGTCATGCGTTCCAGTAATAGTACAGTGCCATCCTCACTACACAGTTCAAAATGCACTGTCAAGATTCTAGGCTTGCGAACGTCGTTAGAACCGTGCTATTTACGTTAACCTCGCATTGACAAACTTTCCAGATTTTGACACCAAAAGCCACATTTTTAAAACGCCTTTGGACATAAAGAAGTGTTGTGTTGGTAAGTCAGGTGTAAGTAGTAGATTTTATGCGACAGCGATATAAAAAGATGACTTACGGGGTTGTTTTTTGCTTCAAGAAGAGAGGGAGGGTTTTCTGTGTTCTACATGCATGGGGTGTGTTTTGTAATTTCAGCTAGACAATTCACTAAATTTCGAGCATCGTGTAGATAGCAAGATTCGCTCTGGAAAATGCCAGATCGGGGGAAAACTTGGTAGAAAAGAACAAGAAGAGGGTGCTCTGGGAGATTTTGACACACCATCCAGTTCAGTATGTTTAGAGAAGGTACGGTAGCTAGTTTGAAGGGACGAATTGGAAGTCTTGAAGCAGAAATCAAATGACTTATGAAATTTGAGAAACATGTCAGTGAACAACTCGGGGTGGATGGTTCCATTGAGGTGCAACTGAAAAGTGTGGCCCGTCATCACATTGTCAAACATTCACAAAGTCAGAATGCAGACATACTCAAAGTTCAGGGCACAACCGTGTGCGTGGGAGTTTATGTTCGGGTTCCTGTAGCTGAGGTAGGAAGTTCTACTTGTAGTGAGAGAACACTCAGGAAGAGAAGCCAGATCATAGAGACGTTGGGTTCAGGTGGCAAATCTCTAAAACCGATAAAGTCTACTGCTTCCAAAGATGGAATGTGTTAATTGCTAATAGATTAAGCAATTTAACCAAAATTGTTAGAGTAGAATAATCTCAAATATTTCATTTCTTCATGATTCTACAGTGGTGATGGTACTATTGCATTTATTGCAAATGAGTAGCAAATCAATGATGATGCTGATGAACGGAAATAGAATACAGCAAAAGTTTAAAAAGAAATTAAAAAACTGGCAAAATATGGTTGCTCAAAAGATGTCCTGGAAAGGCCCTGATTGCACCACAGAGCATCTACATTTCAAAAATGTCCTTCCTCTAAGACTATTCGTCAGCTCTTGTCTTACATACATGTACATAGGTTTCTTCAGGCTTGCAAGCTGCAGTTATTTGGGTAGCCTTTACAGGTAGCCTTGGTTTGAACACGATCAAAGAAAGTTTATGAAAACGAAAACCACGCCATATTCTGCCCTTTTTATTTCATGGTCTCAGGCCGTTTACACAATTGCTGGTTCACCTCCTGTGCCTGCGAAGCCCCAAGTGCCACATTATTACGATGGAATCTGTGGCCGGCCACACCGGAGAAGCCTAGGCTGGCCTTCCACGAAGAGTTGCTGAGATGGTTCGAATCCCTTCTGGCGGAAGGCTTGTCTCTGAGAGCGGCCTCCGAGGCTGTGCGCAGGAGAAATTCACTCAAAACTCAAGAGGTGAGGGATAAGTACGGGTACTTATGATGGTTCACAAGTCACCACAAGTCATCATCCAGTCCCAAGTCACCACAAGTCATCATCCAGTCCCAAGACAACTCAAAAGTCATCATCCAGTCCTAAGTCAACTCCCAAGTCATCCAGTCCCAAGTCAACTCCCAAGTCATCCAGTTTCAAGTCAACTCACAAGTTATCCAGTCCCAAGTCAACTCCCAAGTTTTCCAGTTTCAAGTCACCACAAGTCATCATCCAGTCCCAAGTCACCACAAGTCATCATCCAGTCCCAAGACAACTCAAAAGTCATCCAGTCCTAAGTCAACTCCCAAGTCATCCAGTCCCAAGTCAACTCCCAAGTCATCCAGTTTCAAGTCAACTCACAAGTTTTCCAGTTTCAAGTCAACTCCCAAGTTTTCCAGTTTCAAGTCAACTCACAAGTCATCCAGTCCCAAATCAACTCCCAAGTTTTCCAGTTTCAAGTCAACTCACAAGTTTTCCAGTTTCAAGTCAACTCACAAGTTATCCAGTCCCAAGTCAACTCACAAGTCATCCAGTCCCAAATCAACTCCCAAGTTTTCCAGTTTCAAGTCAACTCACAAGTTTTCCAGTTTCAAGTCAACTCACAAGTTATCCAGTCCCAAATCAACTCACAAGTCATCCAGTCCCAAGTCATCTCACAAGTTTTCCAGTTTCAAGTCAACTCACAAGTTATCCAGTTTCAAGTCAACTCACAAGTTATCATGTCCCAAGTCTACTCCCAAGTTTTCCAGTTTCAAGTCAACTCACAAGTTATCCAGTCCCAAGTCAACTCCCAAGTTTTCCAGTTTCAAGTCAACTCCCAAGTTATCCAGTCCCAAATCAACTCACAAGTCATCCAGTCCCAAGTCAACTCCCAAGTTTTCCAGTTTCAAGTCATCTCACAAGTTTTCCAGTTTCAAGTCAACTCACAAGTTATCCAGTCCCAAGTCAACTCCCAAGTTATCCAGTGCCAAGTCAACTCCCAAGTTTTCCAGTTTCAAGTCAACTCACAAGTTATCCAGTCCCAAGTCAACTCACAAGTCATCCAGTCCCAAGTCAACTCCCAAGTTTTCCAGTTTCAAGTCAACTCACAAGTCATCCAGTCCCAAGTCAACTCCCAATTTTTCCAGTTTCAAGTCATCTCACAAGTTTTCCAGTTTCAAGTCAACTCACAAGTTATCATGTCCCAAGTCGACTCCCAACTTATTCAGTCGCAAGTCAATCACAAGTTATCCAGTCCTAAGTCAACTCACAAGTCATCCAGTCCCAAGTCATCCAGTCACAAGTCAATCACAAGTCAACTCACAAGACATCCAGCATTTAGTCAACTCACAAGCTTTTCAAAAATGAACTATGACAAAGGCATTCATTTGTTATTATTGTCCCGATACTTTTAATTGGACTTTTGTATTGACTTGTGATTTAGTTGCAACAGTACGTTTTAGTCCCTACCTGATGGTTGGGTTTGCTGGATAGTGTCTATTATCCATTCTCCTAGTCAGTGTGGTGGGAGTGCCACCATTAGGTACACCTGGTGATACCACTCACTGATCCTCCGAGTTTGTCTAATCTCCAAAAGTGATGTTCTCTTTCTCAAAGTTGGGACCAGAGAGAAAAAGTCAAGCTTTCTTTCTGATTCCGTCAAGCATTTTCATGCCAGTTACTACACTGTACCTAACCCTGCCTTTCATCTCTCCAAAGTATCTCCATTGCCGCTCAGTAATACTTAAGCCATAAAGAGTGCCCTCTGGAAAAGACCATGCACAGAGCTATTAAGGTCTCGTAACTTTTCATACATAATATAAATTATTTTATGTTCAACAGGCTGACATCCTCTATAGAAATCTAAAAAGTGGATGTTTTGAAGAGTACAAGTTCTTCAGGCGCCACTGTGCCAACCTCGGCTCTGAACCCTCCACGGTGAAAAATGGCTCCATGTATGTTGCCTCACCAAAGGTTTGTACATGTTTGTATACATGTATCTTTGTTTTAGTCTAAACGTTTTGGGGGTTATAGAATCACTGTTTGGTGGTGTTAAGAAGTGAGAAAGGACTATTTCAAGAAGAGAACAAACTTGGTATTACTGGTGACCATCATGTCATTATTTTTTTGTTAAATGTGTAGAGTTCAGTCAGTGAGTTGAGGCGAGAATCACATGTACCAAGCTCCGAGTCCATGAATGAGGATAGGATGACCCGCTCAGACTCCCATACCACTTTGCAAGGTCCCATCTCTACTGTCACGGGGATAGAACCACAGTTCCGTGTAGGATCTCCTGGTTCTTCCGATCCTAGTTCTATTGAGGAAGCGGTCAGGTCGGGAGTCTCGGTAGACCAGAACTGCCAAGAATGGAAAGTTGAACCATTGGATGGGGATGATGATTCGGAAGCCGAATACATCTTAGTCCCGGTGAATGAAGCTTCTGCTCCCAATCAAAATGGCTTGGATGTCAAACCAATCTTGTTTCCTGCTTATGGGAACGGGAGCAACCAGGCCGGACAAATAATCCCGTTTCCAGGAATGCCACCAAGAGCAGATCAGGATCTGAATCATTTTGATAATCTCGGCAGCAGCGACGTCGCAGTCATGCCCACAGCCAACATTGGCAAAACACGAGTCTGGGACAAGAGGCAGTACTGCTTGTACTGCCGCGAGTCCTTCGCTAAGCTGCCAAGACACTTGCGGCATGCACACCGAGACGAGCCCGACGTTATTTTCCTGAGTAGAACCCAGTGCCCGATCACCCAGCGTCGCTTGCTGTCCAAGCTTCGCAACCTGGGCAACCACTTGCAGAACTCAGACGTGCTTCGTCAGGGGACGGGCAAACTCATTGTGGTCAAACGGCCCAGCCCCGGCGAAACTGTTGCTCGGACCGCGGCCGACTACCAACCATGCCCATACTGCTTTGGATACTATGTCCTAAGGGATCAAACGAAACACAACTGCCATTTGAAGAATTTCAGGGCCGAGTCAGCTTTGTGGCTTAACTTGACTTTACAGCACTAAAACAACTCACTCCTTACTCACAGAGGGCACTCTTGATTATTAACTGTACTCTGAATCACATCAAGACCGACAACTAGTACTTTATAAAAATTAACCCAAGTCCCTTCTTCAGTACTAAACAAGACTTGCTGATAATGCCCAGTGCATTGAAGAGGAAGCTGTCTACTATCCTGGGTCGCCCTTAACAAACACGCAGTATATACAAGTTTGTTATGCGTAGTTGGTATATCGTATTTCTTCATGGTATCAAAAATGTACCTATTTGTAGGACAGGCCAAAATCCAATGATGACTTGATTATTGGGGTAGTCCTTTTGTTTTAAGTGAAAAAAAATACCCCAAGTGCAGACTGATGTTCGTTTCAAGTCCTGGCATGACGTTTTGGTAATCCAAGATGGCGGATCAGGTGCTTCATGGTGCATTTGCCAATTGGAGTGCATGTAGCATCCCAGACTGGGACCTTTAGTGCTGAAAAACATGCAAAACGAAATCAGGCCAACTTCATTCTTTGGCTGACACAGTTTTCCAAACTTTTCAAGAGGCAAATACAAGGTCCTTGGTATTTCACCAACCAAGTTTGAAGTCTCCATTCAATTTTTAAAGGAGACTTTACTGCAATATTTCGCACATGAGAGGGAAGTCTATTGAAATCAATTTGAGGCCAAAGCCTAGACTGGTGCATGTCCAACTGTTTGAAAAGACTGACTTCGTTAGGCTGTCATTAGTCTGGTGGCTGACTATGGAAAATATGCAGAAATCAAGACCAGTACCAGACATGCCAGATGTTTCTTTTGGCGCAGTTCATTGATGTAGTACTGAAAGGTTGTTGGACTGGTCGTTTCAGGTTGCCAAATCTGTTTTCTTTTGTTGCATGTTTTCAAAACCTTATGTTTTGGGACCCTCATACACAGTATTGACAGTCCCAAATTTTTGGACTAGTAGCATCCAGTACAGTTTAGACATGATGGACGAATCCATATAATGGATAATTGTAAACTCAGGAGGCCCCCTTCAATGGAGAAACCATTGTGCAAGCTATTGTACAAAGCAACTGCCTCATGGTGGATTATCTGAAAAGGATACTAGACTAGCACGAGCGGATTGGTCTATAGTGGTTTTGAGGTATTATGGCCTGAATAGCAAGGCCCTATTTGGTTTTATCAAACTCTTTTTTATTCACCTTTTGATACTTTTGTATTAAACCGAGCCGAATATTGCTCCCTCTATTTGCAGTTACGTGTACCATATCTCAAAAAGGCTAATGATGTATAACAATCAAAAGATTTAAATATTTTCTTTCTGATGATAACTCCCATTTCACGTTTAATTAAGACTTTAAATACTTGGCTTTGCAACTAGTATCATCATGTTTTGTAAAAATTCGGTTTTGTGTTTGCTTTTTTTTTTCTTTCTTCATTTAAATAAGGTAAAGGATATTTTACAAGTTTTATATTTGTACATTATGTACGATTTATTTTCCACTTTGTCGTTTCACAGGTATGATCGGTGGTAATCATAGTTTTTACCTATTTATACATATCTTTCAGTTTCAGTTAGTTTATTTATAACTTCATGTTATCGTTTATCTATTTCAGAAGTTTTTATTTTGTTTTAGATAGGTACTTAGGCCAAGTAAAAAACAAAAAACTTGATCGTCTCTGCCCGCCTGCATCCTTTTATGAAGCCGCATTCATTTTGAAAAAAAAAAATCCCCTCACCTCAATTGAAGGTAAATCGAGCATTTCAATTGCACAGGTTTTAATTTAAATACCGAACAGTAATTTCTCTCTCTTTATTGATATTTGCCAGAGACACTTTCGAAATCGGAAAAAAAAACGAAGCTCCGAATTGTACATTGGCGCGGCCTATATACATTGTACATGTATTACCATTTTGCAATAGGCTGGTTGCGGGCAAACATTAGTTACCGCTGTGAGTGTGATTTTCAATTCAGGAGGCGGGATTCAGACCTGTAGACGTCATGCATATCATTTGCATTCATCAGGGGGGGGGGATGCCTCTTGATTTATGCAAGATTTACCGCTAGCTACGTGTCCCCATAATATTTGAAGTCCGAAGGACAATGGGGACAGGGAACCAGATTTGGCCTACACCAAAGGTGGCACGTGCCTGATGAGTAGGCCTAATAGACCGCTTGCAGATGCGTTCGATAATCGACGCGCGAAGGCGCGCGACGCCATGTTGTGGGACAGGCGTATATCTATCCATGCACATTTTGTCCCATAACGTATAACATGGCGTCGTGCACCTTCGCGCGTCAATTATCGATCGCGTCTGCAAGCGGTCTATTATCCATTTGTGCATTTAGCTTTTCCAGCAAAATAAAAAAAGCAGATTTCACACACGCACACAAAAGCAAATATCCTACGGAGAGAGTTACGGCTTAAAAGCGAAAAATATTATTCGACCCCCCCCCCCATAAAAAATATCATTGCGAAGAAAAATGTGGAAATAGGCTTATTGTATCGCGGAAACGTTCAGCGAAAAAAAAAAACACGAAGGGAAGTAGGCATATACGGAGAGAGAAAAATGTGCGAGAAACTTAATTTTTATCCTAGAATACCATTGAAAAGTTCGTAACGACGTAATCAAAGTCAAAGGAGATTAAAAAGGCTTAGGGACCTAGGGCCTATCTGTTAAATTATAACTGCTGAACTTAAGAAGATCATGACGCAAATAACTTCAAGATGCCTTAGTGACTGCCAGAACGGAATTTGCATCTGTGTGGACAATTTTACAGATGCTTTATAATATATATACCAATCTCTTGACGTACGTTGTCGAAACAAATTTACATCCTTACCGGCGGATCGCGGGTTTTCTCCACTTCTTCGTTCGTATGATTATTCATTATGCGGGACTCACATGGGAATATGTCCGTTATGGGCCTTATTCACGAGTTGGCCATTTTTGTCGAGTTTCCTGAATGTATTTCATAAATTGTTATCTGTTGAATGGGATGGCGGCAGACTATTTATGCAGGCACAATTTTACTGTCAGGTTTTGTTTTAATATGGCTTATAAACATTGGGGAATTTAATTACAAATTTAAACTTATTTATTTGAGGCAGACTGGAATTGATTATAAATTAAGTTGCTTTCATTTCTCTTCGCAAGTTCAAAAAATTAAGATTTTACCTAACTCTCAATCCAATATGGCCGAATCGTGAATAATGCCATACAGCCAGCCACGTGGTGGTGTCTTCGTCGATTTCGGCGATGCCTTTGGCGGCACGATCGAGGAGCCTTAGAGTAAGTGTTTCCCGACCAAGCGCTGTCCCAAAGTTACATTTTTTTACCAGCTCAATGCATGCAGCAGTTCTTCATTTTCGTTTATAGGTATTTTACAACATTGTACATGATAACTGATTTTCATAGGCCTACTTTGCTTTCGATCGAGTGAAAATTCAGATAAAGCTTGAGTCGCTAAAAACCTATTTCCCAAAGTTCTTCGTTTCCGATCAAGCTTAGTTCTCAGTGATTTAATTTCCTAGGTATACAGCATTTAATACCTTAATTAAAAACGGCATTATTTGGCAAATTGTGAAATTGCAATTGTCGCGCCAACTGAACAAATTATTTGTGGCTGCATGTACAATACCTTGCTCAAAGATCGATGGACAGTTGTATACCCGCGTCCGTAATGTACTGATAAAACGACACGATATATTTTCAATTCAGTGGTTAAAGCAAGAAGTCCCGGTGGCCTGGCGGTAAGACACATAACTTCTGTTCCCGAGAGACCCGGGTTCGAAACCTGGAGGCGGTTTTTATCTTTTATTTCCTTAGTCGATTCTATAAGTTAAATATATGAAACGAGCGTTTTTCACTGGGGGACCCAGGTAGCGCACCCGGTAGAGAGTGCGGCGCAGAGGTGGGTGGACCGGGTTCGAATCCCGGCCAGAGAAAAGTCGATTGGCAGCAGGGAAACCTGCGGCGGGTCTGAGTTCCGTGGCGCTCGTCTACTCCAACTAGATAAAATAAAATAAAATAAAATATAATTTTGCTCTATTTTACAGTGAATAAGTTGAAGTAAAAATGTGTAAAATGCTCAAGTTGGTCCGAGCGGGAATCGAACCCACGATCTCCGGCATGAGCGTCAGAGTGCCTACCACTAGGCCAACACGCTCTCCTTACTTGGATGTGTTTGGAAGTAATATATAAATTTTCGATTTGAATTATCAATGCGAAAAAGAACTAAGTCGGCGCGCATGCGCACTGCTTGCATCTCAAAGCATAATTGCCTAGTTTTAATAAAGACTTCTCAATAGTTAAGTTTCTAATGTTTTCAGTCGTATCTTGATGAAGGCAAGGGAAAACTTCCCTAATTTGGTTCCGAACACTTGAGCATATATGTCGAACAAACTTTATTTTACACCTGTTCTAATAAATTACACAAAGAAAATGCAAAATCTCATGTCCATGTTTCATTTTCTTTCTTGAGGTAGGCACATTTATTCACTTGTTCAAACAAAATGCCAGTTAACAAAAAAAGTTAACAAAAGCTGCCTCGATTAACGAACAAATGTGAACAGTGAAACAGTACAATTATAAAATGCACACACAAACTTGACAAAAAATCAGTTACACAGATTTGTAAACCAAGATGTGACAATGAAACTAAAAACTCGTATAATTAGTTTCAAATTGCAAGATGAATCATAGAATCAAGCAATCTACTCTATTGACTCATGGTGCACAGGAACCCGCTCATAGTGACAAAGAGAGCATATATTGCCGCAATATAATGCTGGTAGTCATACACAAAGGCAATATAGTCTAGGCGATATTTCAAAAAGGGCTCATTTAGGGCCAGAAGAGGCATTTTGTTTAGTAGAGGTTGGTAACATAGCTATTTTACCTAATCTGCATGGGTAACTGTACCAATAAGCAACATGGTGAATTTGAAGTTCATCAATACTGAGGTTTGGCAAGACTGCTTCATGATATCTGGAGACAAGGTAAATGCGCGCAACTTTAGGGTATAATAATAGCCGTTCTGGAATGTGACTATGTCCTCATAAGTATTCAGTCACTTATATGCTTTAGAAAATGTTATTGAAGTAAGGAAGTGTATAAAGTAGAATCCCCAAAATAAACTTTTCAAAATAAAATAATAAAAACAATATACCCAAATATGGGAACAAATATATTACACGACAGGTATTAAAGATTTATGAAAATTAGGCATAAATGTATTTCCACTAAAAATCCAGCTTGGTAACCATCATTTTCGGATTCAGCACCCCACAATTAGGTAAAATAGCTATATTTATGTTGCCAACTTCTGCTCGGAAATGCCTCTTCGTGTAACACTTTTTGAAATATCGCCTAGACTAACATGACTAATGCAGGTTTGTTCAAAAATACAAATAAATTTCGTGTAATTCATGTAATGAGCCTGTGTACGTGCACTACATACACCCCGCCGAGGTCAGACCACTGATCTCTATATAAAGACTGGATAGCGGATATGCATACAACATTCACACAGTAGACTTCGCACATTGACCAATTCGCCCCCGGTCTCACGAAGATGGCCGCGTATAATACGAACGTTCTACGCGTAAATACGCGCGCGTTGTATCAACAGTTGACGCGCATTTTGGTCACGTACACATATTATGATGTTCTAAAAGGGACACATTTCCGTAGTGATTATTATTTCAAAACGCCGAAAAAGTTATATTTGCGGCATTTTAGTAACCACGACGTTAGAAAAATTGTAGTTAACCTTGATCAGTGATGGTGGTCAAAATATAAGTCAAGTGAACCGCGACGTTACAAAAGAAATCATGCTGTCTATAAAAACGGCAACATGTCCTTTGTAGATCACCAGCCGGTCTCACCAATATGGCGTCAAATTCGTACATTGTGCGGCTCTGTATTAGCTATCCAGTCTTTATATAGAGATCAGTGGGTCAGACAGACAAAGGGAGAGCAGCTTCTTTGTTGTCCTCGAGTGTTCAGCTTTTGTTGAAAACGGTCATTGATCGATCGTGCATTTGTGTGCTTGGTCAATAGGAGAGTGTTATATTACAGGACAAAGGGAACACAATGCCTTGTCCTCGGGAGTAAAAGTATGCCCTTGAAACCAATATAGGCTGGCTGTCCAGTACACGCAGCTCTATTACCAGTGATCACAAAGGGCCCTTTTTCTAGCTGTATCCGAGTCCATAGTGTCTAAAAATGCATCATATACAGTCTAACACCTTTATAACAATGTCCTTGGGACTTTGAGAATTACCTCGTATAACAGGTACCTTGTATTAACAGTGATGGAAAACAAAGAAAAACAAATACTTGGGATCTAAAATTGTTCTTGTTATAAGCAGTATCTTGTATTAACAGTGCTCTTCTGATCAGTGTTTGACTGTTACAATCTGTGTCCAACATCAATTTGTTTTCCTTTTTTTTCCCAAACATAATTATATACTTTACAAACTGTACATAACTGACGTGCTTATAGTTTTTCCATTTCAAAAAGGTGTGCAGCTGTGATTAAGCACAACGTGCAAGTATAAGAATAGCATATGAAGTCAAAAAACATTGCGTACAGGTAGAGCAAGGAATGCACAAAAAAATGGCAGGACACTGATTTGTTTTCTTCTAAAACAATTGAGGGCGCTGTACCATTTAGGTGTGTAAACTGACATGAATCAGTAACCTTTGAAAGGTTACTGATGTACCTTTAAATATTGCTACACCTCAAAAATTAGACTATAGTTTACCTTCCTTATTTTTTAGTCTTTTTATTAAAACTACATGTACTTCAATAAATATGATACCCACAAAATGCCGTCATCGCAGCACCGTCATTGTATTCCTTCACAAATGTGGCCTATTCGTTACTTCATGGTGTAAACATGCTCTTTTTTTCAGATTTTAGATATTCTAAGAATTTCCTGACTGTTATTTTTCTGCCCCCAATTTTTTTTTAATTGAAAACTTTTTTTATAAAGCAAAAGAAATAATACAATGTCACAAAAGGTACAGACATTTCTTGCTTTTAAGAAAAAACGTCAGAAACTTTAATTCTGTATAATTTCAATAAGTCAGGGTGTAGTAGTGTCGGGAGATCAGTGTGTCAAATATAGCATTGTGCTGACCAAACAAATAATGGGTTTACAGTAAACTTCAGCAATGCATGCTGGGAAGGGATATCATGACCTTTGACCTGCATTCTTGGCTTGCCAGGAGTTGAACTTGGTGTAGGCGGTGGTCAGCAGTTCCTCCATGTGTATGGTCATCTGGAAATTAATTTTACAAAAAGATAAACAGTTGAAAAAAAAGTAAAAGTTTTGGACTGGTATAGACTATAGAGGGCGCTTTGCAGCTTAGCAACATGAGCGAGTGATGATATTTGAAGGTTTGCATGGTGGAAAGATACTAAGACAAGATAAGTTTGCGGTAGCACCATGTTAATAAATCTCTATTTTGTGAGTATGAGCGAGTGAAAAAAAACGATGTTCACTGGTCGATCAACATACGCTTTTCACCCATTTACATTTGGAATCAATGTGCGCACACCGGGGAAGGCAAAATTTTAAGTTTCTACAGCTATTATAATTATTGTAATCCTATAGGTGTGCCTCAGCAGGTGAAACATCTATTCATTTGTGCACCTGTTTTCACCGGTGCCAGTGTTGCTATTCAGCACTCCAGACTCCAGAGCCATTGAGTTTCAAGAAAATTGGTTTGGGAGCTAGATAAGCCAATGTAAAATAATTCCCCGATGTCCGCGCTCAGCCATTGTGTTTACAATTTGGTTTAAAGGGAAAATACAACATTTGCAAACATCAAAAAATAAAACTACCAAATCATTTTGAAATACCTTGCTGGACTTTAGTGAATGACAGTGTAAAGCATCCTGTAAAATCATGGCACCTGGTATACTGTCATTTTCAAGAAAAGTGGTGTTTTTGTATCAATTTCCAACGCTGATCGGCCGATCAGTGTTGGAAAAAACTGGCTTTTTTTTCAAATACTGGCCCCAGTTGACCATCGCACTTGTTTGCAATCGATTACACACCTATGAACCGGTACGAGCCAGCTAGACTGGTTCCCTGACCTTACAATTCCCCAATATATGTAAACTGCTCTGTTTCTTCTTAAATGGAGTCAGGGAACCAGACTACAGGAAAATGATTGTTTTTCTTGGTTTTTATAGCATTTTCGAACCCAAAACCTCAAAAAAGTCAGTGTAACTATATTTGCTATATATTTCCAACCCCCCAATTCCATCCATTTCTGAAAATTACAGCAAAAGCAAATGATGTATATTCCCTTTAATGGTAACCATTTACTGACCGGAAAAGTCAACTCTGAATGGGTAGAGTTTCCTGACAAATTTTGGTTAAACGACTAACTGACACAAAAACTGATGAATAACCAGTTTTTAAATTAACCATAAACAAAAACCGATAAATAACCAGTTTTTAAATTAACTGTAAACTCCCAGCTCTAACGTGGACTCACATTAGCACCTATGTGCTGCTTCGCGAGCGACTCGCGGAACGGCTGCAGTTTCTTGGCTTGGAATTGCTCCAGCGTTCCCTTCATGCGCATCAGTTTTTCCTCAACGGATTTGTTGGCGACGGGGAAGCAGGACCAAAAGTGGCGGAGGATTTCCGCGAGAGCTGCGTAGAGACGTTTCAGCTCCTCATGGACTTCTTTGTTATAGAGAGCTAAAATGAAGAAAAGTAAGCCCATTAGTCCCTGTACTGTAGTGCCCAAACCTGCCCTCAGCACACTTTGGTTTTATGGATCCATCAGTGATCAAAGGCCATAAATTCGTTAAAAGCCATTTTCCCTTGAAATAAACTAAATTTTCACATATTTTCTAACATATTAAGCCACATTAGGTGCCCGTGAAAACACCCTTAAAAAAGTCCTTTGTTTACCCATGGAGATTTAATGACCCAGTGTACCGTTATGTATAACCAATGATAATCCTCAGTGGCCAGGGTCATTATAAAAAAGTGAAAATACCCTTACAGAATTAGTCCTATATAAACCCCATGTAAATATCCGTGAAACATCTCTTGAAGATTCTTTTCAAGGAGAAGTGGACTTTTAAGGAAAATTTAAGGGATCAGATGTTCATATCAGATCCCGTTCCATTGTAAGCAGCTCATTCTCATTTACATAACCGCAAACCCGGAAGTTACAGTTTAATCAAGGCCTTGCTCCTTCGGAGCACAGGTTTTGACTCCCACAACGGGAAATGCGCATGCATGTACAGTACAGTGTACACATACAGTATAATGTGGTCCAATTTGATCGACTATGTGATTACCTATGTGTATGGCTAGCAATGCGCAAACACTGATACAGCACATGCACAGCCTTGCATTCAAGGCGAGTGCTTAAGTCAAATCAATGAAATATAGGTTCAGTTTGTATGAGAAAGATTGTGAATTTTAATTTGCAAGCTTTTGTTGAATTCTGAGCATACTATCTTTAAAATTATGTCTTGAAATGATGCTACGAATATATTTTAACAACCAATTGCCAACTGTTAAGACCAATTAAACAGCCAAACTATTACACACAGATGCAAATTGCAGACCAATGCATGAAAATGTATTACTTAAAATTCACTGTTTTTTTTAAGTACAAAGATACATCATTATGAAGCTGCAAGATAGCTAATGCGATAACATGTTACATGTACTCACTGTGCAGGGGCTGTGTGGTATTGCGGCCCATTAGGGCGCCCCCTGGTGTCAGTTCATTGGTGACTGATCGCGCAACACCACCTCGCAATACCTGTGAATCAACCAAAAAAAATCCTTACAGCATGAACTAGCACCAAAAACTCATGCAGCTGGTAAATATACCAAATATCCAAATGTTGGATCATCCACCTAATATACAAAAAGCTTTGTATTAAATAGAACATTGGAAAAAAGGCAGTTGTAACAACATGACCAAGAAAATTAATCTGTGATGTAGCCTTATTCATATAAGTTCAGCAGTTTTATTCTTTGTCAAGTGCTAGATTTTTGTGAACAGCCACTTTAAATACATATTTTGAGAGCTTCGGTGAGGAATATTGACCCTAATTCAAATCTTAAATAACTGTCAAATATCATATACAGGTAGTCTGCTTCCTCAAATAAATACATCAATACATGCATAATACTTTTTTATCTCAATGTCAATGTTCAAATTTTTTAATATTCAATCAAATCCAAAAATAAATAAATAAATAAATTGTAATGCTTATAAAGCGCTTTCCATCGTATCAACAATCTCAAAGCACTTTACAATTATTCCCCCGTTCTTCAGGCCACAAGACCACGCAGCAGCCGATATCAGTGCGCATTACGAACTCCACCCTTACAGGTACCCATTTATACTCCTGGGTTGAGAGAAGCAATAGTAGTTAAGTGTGTTGCCCAAGGACACAAACACCATGTTCCTGGCAGGGTTCAACTCTACGTACCATCGTTCATAAGTCAAACACCATAACCAATGGACCATGGCATTCTACAAGTAATCAAAATAATCAATTATTTGAAAATGCACAGCACTCTGTTTCATGCGTTGCCTGCAACACCTCATCTACCGCCCCCTCCTTGAAAAGTCAACCACTAGCTAATCAATACTTTTTATTGCGGCTCGGTGAAATTGGGCCCTGATTCGAATCCAAAACTTGCCATAATATTCGTCAAAAGTTTTTGTTGCAATCCATGGGCTTCGTGCGCCAACGAAAAAGGGCGCCTATTTACCTAGCAACGAAGTCCCATGGGCGGGACTTTTAGCCGGTTGACGCGCACCGTTCCTTCTGTGTGCTGAGCGTACACCAGGCGATTTGTACTATGTACACGCAGTGGTACAGCCGCGCGTTGCGGCAAAATTGCAGTCAGGCAAGATGGCGTCGGTCGGTCACCCCCAACTGTACTTTCTTTGCCGGTGAGGGGGTACTTGTGAACGGAGCGGATAACAAAAATCACTACTTTTTATCTCTACCTTGGTCAAACTGGTCTGTTGTGCGCTAAGCTGCTGTTCCAATCGCTCCACTGCACCGACCACCTCACTGGATGAGCTGTACTTGGATAAGTTGACTGGCGTGGGTCCGTGGTAATACCTGAAGAAAATATTGAAATTTGAGGAAATTTGCTTCATGACCACTTTGTGAAGGCCCAGTCAGTGGATGGGACAGACCGTACATACACATGTTTCCTTATGGGGCAGTAAACACAATTAACCCTTACTCTCTGAGGGTAGTTTACTGCATGTCAGTTGGTTATGCCAATGCCCTCCAGCTGCAGTTTATTGGCAGATAGTTTGTCTTAACAGTGAAGGCTCCAATTGGCAGGAGTTGGAGGCCCTGGAGGGTGCCTGATACTGACCAGCTGGGGGCACTCACTTTGTTATCAGAGGACTCTCATGGTTCTCTGTGGCATGTATTGGAGTGCCTGTCCAGTTACCCTTGAAATGACATGGCAGATATTGGAGGGCCATGCAAAAAACATAGGAGATTTTCTTGAGGCACATATTGGCATGCGTTGGAGGGTCTAGTAGGGTAAGGGTTAACCTATCGCCGTTTGCGAGTTAGCCACGCCCCTTAGACAACCCTATGGAATTTTGTGTGTTAAATTTTGTTTGTCTCAGATTATGCGCGTTCTGCGTCCATTTGTACATCATGTAATTGGACATTATTTCACAAGCTGCGTTGACGTGATTCTACCGCGATAAGTTAACGGAACAAGCTCAAAATGATCTCGGAAGCTGCGGGCCAATGAGTTTGTGATATGTGTACCTTCTGCCCAGTCTGTATGAGATAGATGGCGCTCTTACATGTTTCTGGCATTGAAATAAAGGATTTCCCATTTGTTGAACGTCACAATGCAAACTTGACGTCAATAATGCAAGTCTGTCTGCCCTTCCTTGAGGGCCATAAAACTGGCACAGGGCCTCAAGCAGGAGCTGGGTAAAGTGAGTTATAGTCCACAGGTGCGCATTCCAACGTTTGTTACTTACTAACTAACCTACGGAGTAACGGAGAGACATGAGTACTTGTACAGCTGCTATCCGCAGCTAAAGGAAGTCTTTAGAAATCTATCTGCCCCATAAGAGAAACGCTAGGGAGTTTGGGATTTCAACAGGAACAAAAGAAGGGAAACAAAGGTCTTCCCACAGGTATATGAATGTAAGGCTGGGTGTGTGTACGTGTTCTACATAACCACCGAGGACCGATACACAAAGGGAGAACACAGATCCTTTCAGTCCTCGGGCGTTGGGTCCTTTGTTGAAAACGGTCCTCTATCATACGGTTGTGTGCTTAGTCTATGGGAGAGTGTTATATTACAGGGACAAAGGGAAACACAAAGCATTGTCCTCGAGAGTATAGTAAAACACGACTGTGTGCACATACAGGCTCATGCGTATGGCGCTACTAGCGTACTTAAAGTATACATGACTTATTTTATTCTGAATGTACACAGAGCTATAATAGCATCTATGCGTGAGCATCAAGTGTGTTGGGAACGTGTTGATTGTTCCTCCCAGTGGTCTCCCCAACCTCTGAAATCGTTGAGGGGGGTACTTGTGCATAGTGTCCATAACGCAAATTATGTGTATGTAAGATTAACAGGCAGGACACTTTTGGACAGAACACAGACTAATGGGTTAATTCTATTCTTAACCCTTACCCTACTAAAATGCAACAGAAAGCAACAAAGGGAAAAAAAGTTGTTGCATACTTTGGCAGGCAACTCAAGTTCCCGTGATTATTGCATCTTGTTGCAGTTAACAGGGGAATTGCTCATAGTGCCAAGGCAATACAAGAGAATCCACTGTTGCATTTGGTTGCATTTAGCACGGTAACTAACTGCTTGGTGCAAAGGCTTGTATGCACTGGGTTCACTGCACAATGCAACAGAATCCACTGTTGCAATTTGTTGCATTTAGCAGGGGTTCTATTTCAACCAAGTTGCATTTTGTTGCATTTGGCAGGGTGCCTAGAGAAAACCTGTTGGAGGTTAGAGTTAATGTGCATAAACCCATATCATCTTCACGTTAGTGCCAGGCATACAGCGACAATATATTCGAGTCCCTCCCAACAATCTCTGTGACTGGACTACAACACAAGAATTGAACATTCCCTTCCTAAACATGAACAGGTTTGTTCCACATGCCTACCTGTCTGTTCTCTCCAGTCTTAAGGTCACGGGCGTCGTGCTCGTGGAGGGAGCCAAGTCTTCGATCTCGATGGCTTCCTTGAGACGCGTCCGTTTTGCCGGCCGCTCATCGCTCTGAGTCGCTTCTCGGTGGTTGTTGGACGGTGCGGTTGAAGAGGATGATGGGATACCAGGTGGAAGACCGTTAGAGGAAGGTCCGCTTGAAATAAGAAAAAAGAGAGACAATTTTAATGGATGTTGTATATAAAGGGATTTGGGGAAATTGATTGCTTAAAGGGATCATCTTGATTTGTTTTTTTTTGTACGATCTATTGTAGCTGATTTTTCATCAAATCATCACAAGTTAATCACAAAGTAACACAAGTCATCACAAGTTAATTTCAAGTCTTCACATGTCATCACAAGTTAATCACAAGTCAATCAAGTCAATCAAGTGTCAATCGTAAGACATCGCAAGTGAATCACAAGTCATCACGGCTCAATCACATGCCATCACAAGTCAATCAAGTGTCAATCATACATACATTAAAGGGATCAACTTGATTGGTTTTTTTTGTTCGATCTATTGTAGCAGATTTTTTTATCAAATCATCACAAGTTAATCACAAAGTAACACAAGTCATCACAAGTTCATCACAAGTCAATCAAGTCAATCAAGTGTCAATCATAAGTCATTGCTAGTGAATCACAAGTCATCACAGGTCAATTACATGCCATCACAAGTCAATCAAGTCAATCATGTGTCAATCGTAAGACATCGCAAGTGAATCACAAGTCATCACAGCTCAATCACATACCATCACAAGTCAATCAAGTCAATCAAGTGTCAATCGTAAGACATCGCAAGTTAATCACAAGTCATCACAGCTCAATCACATGCCATCACAAGTCAATCAAGTGTCAATCATACATTGTAAGTCATGGCAAGTGCATCACAAGTCATCATAGGTCAATCACATGCCATCACAAGGTTTCACAAGTCATACGTCTTCATAAGTCAATCGATAGTAATCCAGTCTCAAGTCAAGTGACAAGATTATCAAAGGTGTTTCTCCAATTGTGAGAAACGCAAAGGGAATTCTCATTATGCTCCCCGAATTACATGTATTCTGACTTGTGATTTGACTTATGATTCGACATACATGTATGGATTGATTTTTGATCTGACGAGATTTACTTGGGAATTGACTTGTAATTTGATTTGTGATTGACTGAATAGCAGTCCATATTTCATAACAGTAGATAATGACTGAAAACTGTCAAAGAAACTGAGGTTTATTATATACAGTCGAACCCTGATAAGAAGGGCACTGTTAATACAACATCCTGCTCATAACAAGAAAACTGTTAGGCCCCAAGTCTTTGTTTTCCTTTGTTTTCCATTACTGATAATACAAGGTACCTGTTATAACAAGGTAATTTGTAAAGTCCCAAGGACGTTGTTATCAAGGTGTTTGACTGTAGTCTGGAAAACATTATCAACATTAAATACACCAGCTTGATACTTCTTTGTCTTCCAAATACCAGACCAAGATGGCCGATTTTATCTAAAGAACTCACCCTTCTTGTTGTGAGATACTCAAGACTCTGGCGTTGTGATGGTTGAATCTTTTGATGATTGACGCATTGACAAGGTGGTTGTTGGACTGCGATCTGGGACCATCTTTTTTTGAACCGTATCCCTGGAATTGTATATAAAAGATTCACTTTTTATGGGCAATAAGCCAAGGAATTTGGATAAATATCATCAGAAATAAGTTTTCATGAAGCTGCTAAACAGATATTAACCCTTACCTACCCAGCTCCATCAAAATCTATCTAACCCTCCTCCATTTTGGTAGGCAAGCCATGAGTACCAAATCCATCAAAATCCACCTGTAGTAGTGGTGGTCTTGTGGTGGATATCAGTGGATTTGGTACTAAAGCATTTTGTGAAGCAGGGTCAGTGATGGATTTTGGCGGACTTGGTCCAATACTCACTAAAAGACACTAGGGAGTTAGGGTTAATGAGCACATTGATGAACTATAAGCTCTGGACTATGGTGTCCAAATGAGATGGGATAGAGACTATTGTGGAGAGTATTTACTACACCTTCAGACTCTATACATAAGTTTTGCAAAAAGAGTGTGTTAGTATATTTAATATCAATGGATTAACAGCTACATTTTTATTTTGGAGACACCCTGTAGATCACCTGACATTGTGGCTAGCACCCTGTTTTTGCTGCCAGTGAATAGTTTTTGGTGTTAGCAATTTCTGTGTGTGTGTGGTTGTGTTTTAGTATTTGTGTAATTTTACTCTTTATGCCAAATTTCTAGCCATTTTGTGCATCTGTTTATTTGCTAGGGCTGTTTGTCAGTTTGCGGTAAGTAAATTTCTGTGCTTTTTGTGTGTGTTTTACAATTTGTGAAATTTTCTCTATTTATTTCTTGCCATTCTGTGAGTCTGTTTGTTTGCTAGGGCTATCTGTCTGTTTGCGGTTAGCAAACTTCTGTGCTTTTTGTATAGTGTGTTTTAATATTTGTGTAATTTTACTCTATGCAAAATTTCTTGCCATTTTGTGAATCAGTTTGTTTGCTTGTTTGGCTGTCTGTCTGTCACCGTGTGGGTCTGTTTGTCTGTTTAATTTTCGTGATTGTTTTTCGTGAGAGGTTTTGTAGATTTGATGTGTTTGTCTGTTTTGCCGGTGTTTATTTTGTTTTTGTCAAGTAGCACTAGAAGATCAACTAGACAGTAGTTTAGTTTGCTTTTTTTGTTTTCCTGCAAGGGTGCTTTTTGTGCAATTTGTGTGTGATTCTGCTTTTTTAATTATTATTGTAGTTTTAATGTATATGTAATTTTTGTGATTTTCTATGTCTTTTTTCTTGCAAAATAACTAAATGACAAATGAAATAAAATAAAATGCTTAGCAGCCTTGTAAAATTGTGCCCAGCTAGCTTTTGCATTGTATGGAAACATTAAGATGCTTACTTTTTTCTATAACAATAAAAATAATAATAATACTTATATAGTCTTATATAGCACACGTATCTACCAACAATTAGGTACTCAAGGCGCTGGTAATTATGTCTATCTTTTTAAAGACAGGTAAATGAAATTTATGAGAAATATGAGACCCATTATGAAGCACCTTTTTATATTGACTTGGTCAACTCACCTCGCCCAAAGTGTTGTCTGACATGGCTTCCATGTTCAACAGAGGATCGCGATTGTTAGCTTCATTCTTCATTTCTGTATCAAGATTAAAAAAAAAAACAAGGAAACAAAACTAAGTATGGAAGTATTACGGTAACACCATGTGAAGTTTACTTCTTTTGAGTTGAGTCTCCGGATGACGAACCGAGCAAACTATTCGAAGCGTCGAGTTAAAACAACTGGTTCTTCTCAGAACCACACAACTCAAAAGAGATAAACTTCACATGTGGTGTTACCATAGACCTTTCGTACTTAGTTCATGTCCACCATGCAAACCTACAAGTTTCAGGAAAAAAAAAAATGTTAGGCACAGTTTTATAGAGTGTTGTTTAGAAGTCATTTATATACGGTTGTTTATTAGGGGTGAGAAGCCGTCTTCAAAGCTGAGAGGATACAACCTCTAACGGAAAGCGTGGGTCTGCCTCAACTGCCCTAGCACCGTCTGGGGCAAGACGCGCTGCTTTCTGCACAAAATCGGAGCTGCAGACTCGGATAAAAGCTTGTGTCGCAGCCTGCAAATTGTTCACCACATTGCAGCTGACTGCCCGGTATTCAGCCCTCTGAATGGCATACAGGGACGTGTGGACCTCAACGATGCCACCCTCAACAGGTTGCTGACAGTGGACTTACTATTGTAAGGCCCCCCCCCCCCCCAAAAAGTCGGTCTCTGGTCAGCGCGCGCGTCGATTTTAACAATGCGCGGCAATTTTTTTTTTTCCAAAATGTTCCGCGGTAGCTCCAACAGCGCCCTCTATTGTCGCACCTCCTCAATTTTTTTTACCAAAGAGCACCAAGGAATGGAAAATTGCACCAAGGCAAATGATTGAGGGCACTAAGGCAAATTATGCAGGACACCAATGTAAATGAGGACACCAAAAAAAGCAAAATAATACCCAACCTTGTCTGTACAATCCAAGCTTGAAAAAAAAAAAAAAGCCCCCCCCCCCAAAAAAAAGCCGCGTCGCATCAATTCCGGAACTTTGGTCTGACCAGAGACCGAGTATTTTTTTTTTTTGGCCTAATGATCACAATCTTGATTCATATGAAAGCCGAAGATACATGGGTACTTCTCACTGCTGCAACATAGCCCTAACAGTCCTGAATCCTCCAAATTCAATATGATTTTGCACACCCCCTAGGGAGTTAGGGTACTATACCCTGCCTAATTAGGACTTGAAGCTTTGCATGGCGAAAGACATACAAAAGGGCAATTCCACGGTTACTCACGTTACATTTTCGTAACGTGAGTAACCGATTTTGTGCGTCTTGTTTATCATACATAACACATTTTTCTGGATGTCATCTTTGGTGCTTAGGTAGGTCTAGGTCCACTCTATCTACCATGGGGATAACAGTTACTAAACCTTTCCAGTGAGGTAATTACAGCCTAAGGAAACTCAAAAGTACATCAAAAATGTAACGTGAGTAACCGTGGAATTGTCCAAAAGACAAAATTGCGGGTAACACCATGTGGAAAAAAATCTCTTCTTGGAAGAAGTGTGGTTCTGAAAAGAATCGGTTGGTCGAGTGTAGAACTCTGCCTTGCCTATTTATTACTCATTGTAGTGCCTGCATGAAACTGCCAAGCATTCTATGGTTTTATTGATTCTTCAGTGAATAAACACGATGCAACACAATGCAGTACAGGTGCTAATAGGTCTCATTCAAATGACATCATTTTCTACAGACCATCCACGTGCATCAGCATTTTGAGCGTCAACTTGTATAACGCGCATCGGCTGCGTCGTATTTCGAACACATTTTGAGCAACAAGCGCGCGTGTTTGGAACATTTTCAACACTGCGCAATGCGTGCTTGGTTGCGTAAAATACGCAGTTGCAGTTCTCCTACAGAGTTGGCTGTCATTGAGCGAGCCCTATTGGTTAAGTGCTGTTAGCATCACAATGCTATTTTCTGTGTGAATTCGAATGATACACAATGCAGTGCGCCACCAAGAGTTTGCCATGGAGAGTCAACTTTTCAAGTTAACGGTCGACAAAACATGGCCCATTTGAATGAGTGTCAGTAAACACTTGAGCTAATTTGTTATAGATTGAGGCATAGCGTTCTGCCGCCTCACCAAAAATCACCATAGTGACACGAAGAAAAGAAAAGGGCAAACATATACTCGAATCATATTCTTACGAAACTACTGACCGGAAAAGACGAACATTTTCAAATGTCCCGCGGTGCAAATTTGTCGACCATCTCCCACAATGCACTGGGAAAAATGAACTCTCTGCGACAAACTATTGGTGGCGCTCTATATTGTGAATCGCCTGAATTGCATGTTGTTCAAAATGGTGACGTTCCAAACTGAACATTTCAAGAGTTTCAAGCTTTCTGACCTTTTTCGTCATCCTTGGCACATTCGGTGAAGATGTCTTTATTGTTGAGGTGGATCCTGTCCCGGTGGAAGTACTGCGACTGAAAGAATCGCGTCCAGAACTCCTTCTCCGTCATGTTCTGCGGAACGTTCTCAGCGTGCTTCTTCCTTACTGGAAAAAAATGAACGCAGAAAAAAAGCCTACATTTTGAAAAAGAATGGACCGCTCAGGTTTGGGCTACATGTACAGGCATGCAACTGGGAAGTCACAAAAAAAGAGGAAATTCTAATCTTTCCCAGACTTTGTACAGTGTTTTTCTATTTTCAATGGCACACATGGAAAAATGAAAAAAGAGGAAATCAGCTGATCCGAGGAAAAGTTGCATGCCTGCATGTATAAGGGCCCATGGGCAATTCCGTAAATTTGGACGTACATGTCAGACACTTTAAGGTAGCTGTTGTAAAAGTGAATGTGATACATCGCTAATTAATATGACGTCTAATAAGTAGAAACAATTACACACCAAACTAAGGCACTACCCCCTTAATGACCTTGTACATGAACATCATGTGGTCGGACGTACGTTGGATTTTACGGAATTGCCCCCTCCCCCTCCCCCTCCCCGCCCCTCTCAATTCATATCTGGAACCAGCCAGTTCCGGACAAGTTGCGGACATTGTATCGGTATATAAGTTGCAGGATTCTAAAGAACTTCCGAATACTCTTTCCATAATGAAGTTATCAGTATTGGTGAGCCAAGAAGTTGCTAATGAAAATGTCCATGGAACATGTCCACAACAAATGCAGAGCTTCATCTGTACAAAATGAATGATTTTACCCGCAACTTGTCGGAACTCATCCCGGATATGACTTGAGACGGGCCCTAAGTCTTGTTGGTTTGTGTGCATTTCACAAAGTACTTGTGACCATGTTTGACCAAGATGCCATGTTCACCTGACCAAAAGTCTGGATCTAATTGGTCAATACGTAATGTTTGATAAACAGCCAGGAAGGGTCAGTGAAAGATTATTGTCCCAATGTTGGATTATCTGAACAAAAGCTGACACAATGCTGTTGCCATTTAAGGCGGCATCCGTGAAAATGCAGTGATAGTGTGCTTCTGCTTGGATTGATCTAAAAAGTATGAGAAGCAGCAAATCTGGTAGAGTGAATATAGTTTCAAAATCGAAATATAAAATGAATAACCAGGGTTCCTGCATCTTTAGGACAAAAACATTTCTTGACTCTTCCACCACTTTTCCATGACCAAATTATGAAAATCCATGACCTAGTTCATCAAAATGCTGATCAAACTGTAACAATTGCAAAACAATTGAAATTAAAATGCTTGTATCAGCAAAATTTTGTCACATTAGGTCGGGTATAAAATCAGTTTTCCAATGCTAAATTTTGAATACAAAGTTTAAAATTTAAAACAAAATAGGTCCTCCAGGCATGCAACTTGGAAGAAACAAAAAACGAGGAAACTCCAATCTTTACAAGACTTTGTACAGTGTTTTTCAATTTTTAATGGCATGAGTGTGACGTGAAAAAGGAGGAAATCAGCTGATCCGAGGAAAAGTTGCTTGCCTGGTCCTCACAAAATTCTATGACTTTTCCATGTCTTCTGTCATTTTTACAAATTTCTGTGACTTTTACAGACCTGGACATAGAAAATAAAATTTCACGACTTCCAAGTCCAAACCACGGGAAGCCTGAATAACTTATCTACCTGTTGGGTATATTCTGAAGATGGCTTCGATGATGTCCGCCGTCAGGTTGTACTTCACTCCATTACACCCGTCTGTCTGAGGTTTGATGTCTGACAGGAAGGCCGCTGACACGCCAACATCCTGCTTGGCCTTGGAGTTGCTGATGCTGGGTTCTTTGGGAACAACCTGAAAAACAGAAGATCCAAGGAAGGAGTATAGGCCACAGGAGATGTTACATAGGGATGATGCTTGTGGGGTTTTTTGCTCCAGGGCCAAAAAAAAATGGATATGATCGCACTGCACCATACTTCTATAGCCCCGGTTCGATTCCTACCTGGGTCCATTTCTGGATTGGGTTTTCAGTCCCTTCTTGATTCCATGGTTTTATATTAACCCTAACTCCCTAGCGGTTTTACGGTTAACTCTCTAGCATCTTTTACTAGGAACTCGACCAAGTCCATCAAAATTCATCAATCACTGTGCGTCCAATACAAAACTGTACATGACATAATGGAATCCACCTCTGACGCACTGGTTGACATTCATGGACTTGCTACACATGGCTGTTATCAAAATAGCAGTACAGGAAGCAATAGGCAAAGTCAATCGGATACCCCTCGCACTGCTTCAGGCCATTAGGCCCAAGTCCATCATACTCCATCAATATTAAGTCACGCCAGGCCTTCTGGATCAAGTCCCCCAAAATCCACCAAAATGGGGGGATGGATTTTGATGGAGTTGGGGTGGTTTGGGTTAATAATAATAATAATATCGGTGCTTATATAGCGCAGTTCCAACTTAATGATCAATGCACTTTACGAAATAATTACAAAAGTAACAAACACAAACAATTACACTGCAAGCAAAAACTAGCGAGGAAAAGCAAAAACAAAAAACATACGAGATCAAGCAAACAGGTTTGTTTGGAGGAGACTTTTGAAAGTTTGTGGGCTAGGAGCCAGTCAGATGGTTGATGGGATGTCATTCCACAAGCTAGGGGGCACAGATAGAGAATGACCTCTCCGCAACCACCCCTTGACCTCTAGGCACCTCGAGCCGTAGATTGTCTGTGGCTGAGCGTTATCCATGTCGTGAAGACTTGTACGATGTAATGCTACCAGAGAGGTATATGGGAGTGAAACCATGGATTGATTTGTATACATAAAGGAGGATACAGGAGGATTTTGAAAATAATGCGTTTTCCCAGAATATTCTTCTTGGGTTTACCTCTGGCTTCTAAAACAACATTTCTTCAGTGTCTTCTCCCTATTGACTCCGGGCACAAATAGTAGATGGCGCTTTGTGTCTGGGCACTGGTTTTGTGCACTTATGGCACGTTAGTATTTAACTAATTTTATTCTGAATGTGCACAAACACATGATATATTTGCGCGAGTATCAGGAATCACCGGTATTGCATTTGAATGTCCCTTCTAGTGGTCTTCCCTAACTCTCCCTTTGTAACCGTTGAGGGAGTACTTGTGCATGGAGTTCGTATACGTTTCTTCAGGGTTGCAAGCTACAGTGCATGGGACATCTTTGAGGAATCCATGTTTTTTTCACCAGAAATTAAAGTACTTTTAACACTCACTGTTGCCTTTCTGTTAGCCCAGAACTCGTCGGCGGTCATGACCTTACTGATGACCAGGTCCTTGTAGAGTTGGAAGAGTTCCGGATCCTCCTGCAGGATTCGGTTCTTCTCCTCCAACTCCTTGTTCACCATCAGCCTGAAGCGGGGCAGCAGCTGCTGAAGGAGCTCCTTAGCGGTGGCCCGGTCCCGCATCTGAGCGGCATGGCCTTCTCGGCTGGCGAAGTGGAACTTGGAGTTGCGGCCGTCGTGAAGGACCACCTGGAGCTGGACTTTGATGCTGGTGTCCTGGCTGATCTTTTGCTCTGCAAAACCGATCGAAAACGAAAGACATCAATCGAAGTTCCCTTGCCCACAACAGGGAAGTACTACTCAAGACCTTTTTCTTTTGTGGCCTTACACAAGAGATCGTATACTGAAACATCAGACATGTCAGATTTGTGTTTAAAAAGTCAAAAGTGAATTTGCAAAGACTCGAAATGGTTTGACTTTCATTATTTGATCCAGTTTGGGTCTTGAGGAGGTCTTGGTTAGATTGCGGCTCTGGAACTCCCATTTTACATGTACATGCACCTTGCAATGAATGTTGAAACAAATGTCAAGTGTCAGTTACAAGTGATAAATATCACATGCAGTGAAGCATTTTCGGCAAATATATGTACATTGGTTTGTTAGCTTAATTTAGCAAATATTTTCTGTGCTGAGCAAAATTATTTTGATTAGCAGCTCAGTAGCAACTAACTGTGGCTACTTTCACAAAATGAGTTACAAATATCAAGTACTGGGTGGCATGGGTGGCTCGTGCGTAAAGCACTCGCCTCTCACCACTATGGCCCTGGTTTGAATCCCGTCCACAGACCACACATGCCATGCATGTACGTCAGTAGAGTTGTGCGTTGATTCTCTCCAGTGCCACGAGGGTTTCGTTTCTCTCTGGGCCCTCCAGTTTTCCTCCCTCCGGAAAAATAACACACTTTCGATCACTGGCTGTGCTCCGTGATCATATACATGTATGGGTCGATGTGGCTGGCTGCCATAGGTGCCTTTACATGCCAGCAGCTCGACCACGTTGTAGCCGCGTCCTTCGCAATTTAGCTTCTCAGCTGCCAGTAAGGATGATTAGCCTCCCAAATTATTATTATCATTATTATTATTAAATATCATTGAATGGAACAGTAAAAACAAAAACCTTTTTCAGTTCGTGTATCATTCTAACTAGTAATCTTACGTTTGATGTCCCTGTAATGCTGACTGACAGTGAAGTGATCTTTATTATCATCCTGCCAGGCCAGACGTTCAGTCATGAAATACAAAGAGCCGTCACTCTTGTGCAGACGAACCTGGTTGATAATTAACAGCACTTCCTCCGAGGATGTCGCCATTTTCCCTGCCATTTGAGAGAATAAAATATGACTGTTAGTGTTACCGATTATTTTCAAAAATTCAAATTCAAAGGCACCATTTATTTTCGTACTTTCCACAAATAAGTCAAACTAAGTTTCAAATAAAAAGATGGTACATTTTCGCCACAAACACATAGAAAGACAACATATATTGCAACTGTTAGATAAAAAAGGGAGAAGGGTGGGCCGAGAACTGAAAAGGAATTGGGCTGGTACAAAAAAAATGGTTTATTTTATTATTTTTTGGCTTTATTATTTAATATTTAGGAAAGAATTCCATACACGGCCTCCACTCAGACCTCCTACACAAAGTCTATGGGCCATGACAGAAAAAGTTTAAAGTATTATCACAAAAATATCAAAGAATTTTTGCACTCCTAAAATAGTGTGTCTTCATCAGATGTACAACTTTAGGTACTCTTCAGGTCATATTAAGGAATATTAGTGGAGGCTACTCCTAGAAGTAGAACTATGGTACGTGGAGCCTCATAGTTCTAGGAGTAAGTGGAGGCCACGTATGGAACTCTTTCCAATATCAAAATTAAATGAAAGAATGCAGAATTGTTGTATTGGCCGCAAGGATCGCTTTACCTCACGTCGGGGTGTGTCTCGATCGTGCACAATAACATGACAGGACAGAACGGAAACGTCTTCACTGAATGATTTATTACACAACACATTACAATATTCAGACGCCACTTCGTGTGTCATACTCATGTTGTGTACAAAATCACCATAGATGGAATAGGACTTTGTCTATGTCTTTAATACTACATGTACTAACTCAGGAGTCGAGTGATTTTCAAAGTATTTTCTAACATAACAAAAATTGGAAATGTTTCTCAGTCCCAGATTCATGTCTTGTCAACATTTTTGCGATGACTGACCTTCACTGAGATAATATATATCATGAAAAAAGTGGCATCAGGATGCAACATTCTTTTCAAATTAAATTTGCCCTAGCTAGGGCTAGGGGGTAGGGGCTAGGCCTACACTACACAAAAACAAATTCTCTGAAATATTTGTAGCCGGGCATAGGCCCTATACATGCTATAATGCTATATTGTTTAGCATGTTACTGTTAGTACTTTTTCAATGTTGTAATCAATAGTATGTTTTTCACCAAGTTCCCCTTACTAAAATTTGAAGAAATGGCCTCCCCCCCTCCCAACCAACCCAGGCCCGCCCACCCCCGGCCATGCCGGTGCGTGATGACCACACTGCCACTGCACTGCGTGCAAGTGTAATGTCAGTCATGAACGTGGCACTGCCACTGCACTAGCGGCAGACGTGAAAGAGTTGCAAAGCGCCTATAACATTTTAAACACGGCACATACTCGTCCGATTCACTATGATTCAGATTTCGCCTTCCAGGAAACGGAAACGTGGGAATAATCATGTGAATAATGACGTATACTAGTGCAGTGTTCACGCAGGTGATACGAAACGTCGACGACATGTCTAAATTGTAGCGCCCTCCTTCGGCCGGCTGGAGTTCACGCAGACTACTATGGATCGCCCTCTATTTATGTAAAATGACAGGAACCTTTGTGAAAATGTTAATAAAATGTATGTCTTACGGATTTATGATATCATAATCAATGTAATTTGGTATAAGAATCACTAAGTGTATATCGATCAAGCTTATTTGGATTGTAAACGTTCAAAAAAGTAGCAATACTGGAAACTTTATGGCACTTTTGTTGTCTCCATGACAACACCATAAACTCACCATGCATGCCATGTGTATGTAAACGACGAACGGGCCATACATATCGAAGAACACGAAGCGAAGAACTGTATCACGAATTGTTGAACTGTTTATTCCCTGTTTTAAAACATTTGATGAAGATTTATTAGCGATTGGAATTGTCTCTCCCCGTCAGTATGACAACCACATTGCCATCGTTAGACGGTAAGTACAATTCTAGCCTTATTTTCTACTCCGTTTTGCCTGGTGAGTGAGTGACATCGACACAGTCAGCAATCGCCACATCTGCACATGCAGCGGCCTGCCGCGCCGCGGGCAATTGGTCTCGCGCCGCGCAGTAAATGGCCCCGCACTGTAGGTGGAGTAGACTTTGTGCCATAGTGAGTCTACTCCATGTAGGGCCATAGACTAGGGCTACTCTCGCAGCTGCCGCGCAAAAATTTTCAGTAGCAGTTGGACTCGGAGGTATATAGGCCTAACTAACTGTCCTAGCTAGGTGACGAACATGACACCGACAGTTATAAAGTTTTTAAGTGGCACAAAATAACATTTCAAAACACAGAAAATGAAAGAAAAATTGGAAAAATGTTGCAACCTAACGCCACTTTTTTCTTCATGTACTCTCAATGAAGGTCATTCGTTGCAAAAATTATGACATTAATCTGGGACTGAAAAACATTTTTCAATTTTGTTAGGAAATAGGCCTAGGCCTACTTAAAAAAAAATTCTTGACTCTCCATAGACAAAGTCTAAATCCTTATGTTACAGACTTTGTACACAATCGCGGAAGTGGCGTCAGGTTGCAACATTTTTCGGAAAACATATATATAGTTTAATTTTCAATAGATAACTTACTGTTTTTGATTTCATTATTCTGTTTAGTGTTTAGGCCTACTCAACATGCTTGATCAAATTGAAATTCTTTTTCAAATTAATTTTTTTTTTCTTCCATAGCTCTCCTCGGTAAAGAGAAAAAGAGCAATGTCTCGTTTGGGACGACTAAAGACAGACCACTCTTCCCCGGAAAACTCCCACAGAACCGGATGGGTGCCGGAATGGGACTGGAAAATGCCCCCCACAGAGCGCCATGTAGCTATGACAACGATGAGGTCAGAATCCACACCCTGGTGTCGCTCATGGCTAAGGGTGTTTTTGAAATCTTGATTTTGTATATATGGTTTTGGCTTCATATTTTTTTAGGCCCCTGACTTGAGGACTGTGGCTCAGTGTTGGTCAAACTTTTAATCCTCGTGTAATGCGCCTATCAATTGTATCAAAAGTAGTGGGGTTTGTATTTTTTGAGGGAGTACGATATTTTAGTTTTTGGTAGAGGTACGATAAAAAGTATGAAAATGATACTTTGCAATTTTGCTTTATTTTGATTTAACTTGATTTTTACTTGTTTCATTAATATTAATTTTGGCTCAGATTTAAATATGGATCACTATCCAATATTGCTTCTTTTTGTAATGTCATTTATTTTACTCTAACAGAAAACCACATTCCTGTATAGTATCGACAAGCAAGTGACAAGCAAAAATGGGTACACTATGGGGGCGAGGACAGGACCACGATTCAGAAAAGAGTTTGCGGTAAGTTCTCGGGCAGATCTCTTTAAATTCTCACTTTCAAGGTTGGTTTACTTTAAAGTAATTTACGCAGAAAGCAAATCACAAACCCTTTTCTTTGTGATAAGTGTTACTGGGTTCTTTTACGTGCGTTGCATTACACAACACACGGGACCTATGGCTTTACGTCCCATCCGAAGGCCAAAGCAGATATGTGCCTTGCTTACGGGCACAAGTGTCCTGACCCAGGCTCAAATCCACATTCTGCTGCCTCTGAAACACCAGAGCACGAGTCTGGTGCGGTCATGACACTCCTTTGCTGGGTTCGAACCCGCATCCAACACTCTTAAACATTTCAAATCTTACTGATTATCTTTCCTACAGACTGTGACACCGTGCCCGAGCGCCTACCAGACCAGACACACAGAACCTACCACCTTCGAAACTAGCAAGAAACCATTCCATGTTGGTGCCAACAGATTCTACCGAAACACGGTTGATCCCGAGCTAACACCTGGGTAAGTCAAAGCTTTTTTCTGCAGTTTGTTTTCATTTATGAAATTATAAGTGTTGTAAAAGGGGTCACAGAAGGTTGGTGTGCACATCCAGGAACTTCTGAAATTTCCTTATCCTGTTCGCAGACTTATTTTTCTGTAAACTGAATGGCTCTTTAATGCTGAATGGCAACACAGCATCTGATGAAGACTGTTGGGGAAACTAGACCATCGGTCCTATCTTAAAGCTGGGATCGTCCAACTGAAGAGTTCCACTTGAAACACTTTAGTTGGGACCGTCTTAACTTACGTTGGACCGATGGTCTAGTAGAGGTATAACAAATACCAAAATGTTTTTTTATTCTCACGAAAGAAGTGTTTTTTTTTACTGTATATCCTATTCTTCCACTACCCCCAGTGCTGGAACCTACGAGCATAACGTGCCCAGAAACCGCAAAGTAGCCTTCCATGGGACCTTCGGGGGTCCCCAGCTCCTCAAGATCCAGCCTGATGAATCGGTCCTCCTCCCTGAAGACTGCAAAGGAACGACCACCAAGAGCCGCCTCATGACGTACAAGGACAAGAGGAAGTTTGCTATACGAGAGGCCTACTTAAGTCTTTACTATTAAAAAAAAAAAAAAAAATCCATCAAAAAAAACCCAAAACTAGAAAATGGTTCTTCACACAGGCATGCAACTTGGAAGTCACAACAACTAAAGAGACAATTCCGAGCTTGATATACAAGACTTGCTACATTATTTTTGCAGTTCAAAGGGTATACAGGAGGAGTTAAAAAAAAAAGAACTAGGCTGATCCAAAGAAAAGTTGCATGCCTGACTGTTTGATAAAGGTTCGTGCTTTTTTTTTGTATCTTAAAAGTGTTGTCGTCCAGAATGGATGAAAAGTATAATCTATATGGCATGGGAACAGACCAATCCATATCCGGTTGTTAGTTAACATGTCATACACGCGCACACCACTGATTACTAGCGTCCATTGGATATGCACTCAAGTTGCATTAGCATCCGGTTCCAATGCTACTTAATTGCCAGTGGGCGTGGTTTAAAATGAACCGACGTCACACTAACGAACCGGATGGTGTTTTGACCAATCACAGCTGTGCTTGATGTCCTACATGTATGCACAAAAGTCTTATAAGTGTGCGAAACACGCACTGATGTCCTCTGTTAAAGTTTGTGTGCTTAGTCTATGGGAGAGTGTTATAATACAGGGACAAAGGGAAACACAAAGCATTGTCCTCAAGAGTAAAGTTAAACAGGAGTGCGTGGATCATGCAGTGTGGTATAGGCGAGCCGCATGTGGTGTTGCAGTGGTGTGGTCTTATGGATCGGTCTGTTCTATTGAGGCACATTACAACGTCCACATTTTGAGATTTTTTTTTTTTTTTAAGGGGGTCTGAATTTCAAAATTCAAATTTTCAAGAAATTCTGGGATATTTTGGTACATTAGAGAAACTCGTGAATGGAAAACAAAACTGTACATACATAAAATGGATGAAATTATGGTGAAACTGGCTTCCATCTTTTGTAAATCCTGAGGTGAACTAAGATGAACAATGCATCATGATAGAAATTGTAACCGAGTTTCCGATAAAGCCAAACTTAATTTTCTTCATCAAATATTGGAATGCTTGAAACATTCAGATTTGAGCTTGAGAAATTCAAGCTTGGTTCTTATTACAATATTTTTTGGTAACATGCACCTCCTGTAAGCAGCATTTCAAAGAAAAGGTGCCGACTTTCCGTCCATTTCTAAATTTACATGTAAATTATGAATTTTTGCTTCAAATAATGTGTACAAAATTTGTGTAAATAAGTGGAAAAAAAAGCATGTCAATAAATCAAATAAAAAAGAGACCAAATGTGTACAAGTGTTTCGTTTTATTGAATGACTGGATTTCTACATTTGTCAGATACATTGAATAAGAGGTTTATGCTTTCTGCTATGTTGAACAACCAAGCTTGACATCACCAATAGTTCATGTGAGCTTAAAAAACTTGTGAGATAATGTGTGAAATGAAATGGTTGAGGATACACCAGGAGATAAGGTATTTTAAAGCTATAGTCCATCATTTGTAATTAGTGCATTTTGTTCGTTTGAAGCAACAAAAGTGTTCAAAATCTAATGAAGGGTGCTGAACAACTTACTTGATGAAGTATCGGCTCAGCTTCAGCTTTATATTCCGAGAAAAACAGCATTCTAGGATCTCAATTTCAAATCAAAAGTTGCTAAATCATGTTTCGAATTGTTTTGAATTGCAGCTTTATGCGATGTCGCGCACTGATCCGACGAATTATAGCAACCGCGCGTGCCTGTGCGTCGTTCCAATGCTTGTGCGCGCTGCGCCGAATAACACAGCGAACTACTAATTTAAATTTTCCTACGGTGCTTCTGAAGACGCACCGTTGGAAATGCCTTCTTTCGTTGATTTCTTCAAAATGAGAGGTTGCCAGAAAGGATAATTTCACAGGGAGTTTAGTCCCCTTACTATCTTTCAACCAGTATGTTTTTCAACAATAATTACGCCAGTTACTTTTTTTGATAGCTGCAAATGATGGACTCGGGCTTTCATACATGTAGTTCTATTTCCTGCAAGGTTCTGCAGACGCAACTCAAAAGTTGATACTATGGGTAAGACTGCCCACACCTTGGGTAGGAGGCACTTGAGAAAATATTGAAAAGTACTGAACCTCCAAGTTTTTGTTTATCAGGGGCAACAAATAAACAGGTTTAAATGGTTCAATAACTGAAAACAGCTGTCATCAGAGAAGTGCTTAACCTCACAGTATATATGATGGAAAACAAAGTGAGACTGTAGAATGAAGGGAAGGCCTTAAAAATATAAAGAGTTAAACAGTGACCGGGAAAATAACAAACAAGGTTTCAATAGGGTTACACAAATCAAGAATTTAGAGCTGTTTGATGTGTGAGGTACTGTACCTCACAAGTTTGATATCTATTTGCAAGAGGCTTGAGTAAGGATTGGTATTTAATCAGTGAGAGGTCATAACCTCACAAATGCCTTTGTGAGGTTTTGAGTGATATCTGTGAAGTTTTGCACCTTGCAGATGATACACCTGTACTGATCCATTAAGCCCCGCCCACGGTCTGTATTGACCAATCACAGCCTTGGGGCCTAATGGATTGGTCTATTAAATAATGGGTAGGATAGGATTGAACCATTCATGGAATAGGGATGGGCACAATGTTCTCCATCCGTGATTGGACGAGGCCGAGGTTCTCCTGCCAGTCGACGAGGTGCTCCCTCAACTGCTGCCACTGCTGCTTACCGAAGGTACGTAATGTCACATAGCTGGCAATACAAAAGGAACATGTCAACATTGAAAGGTTTTAACCTATAGGAAACTCATCTTTAGTATTGATGCTGAACCTTAAAAAACCTCAGAGGTAAGGTTTAACTGGTTCCCTTCTGCAATTTGGATGACTGTTTTTCTCAAGAACTGATGGGTACCAGTGCAGCATCATTCCTCAACACCAACTGGAAATGTTTTGATCGCAGGAGGGCCACAATATGCACAATGGGGATATCAATTGATTTTTTTTACAGTCTGAAAATTGATGAAATGTCTGAAAGATGCATTTGTTTCTTTTACTAATGTCTTTCTCTAAGATTCAAAAAGTCTGATTTCAGACAATAGTCTGAAAAATCTCAAGCCTGACAATAGCTGACGCAGATACTGAAATGATGCCCATAAATCCAAAAGTCCCTTTTTTAAAAGCTGGCTCATTTTGACTACTTCCAATAAATGCATGCATAGCAAAAGCAGCCTTTCCATGTGCCAATGTTCAGTTCATCTTTAGTCTGTAGTTTAAATATTGGCAAACGTGCAATGAACACAAAACATGTACTTAAAATGAAAGGTGGCTTATTAACATATCCCTTAAAATTATCTTCATTATTTTAGTCTCATTTCATCCTCTCTTTTTGGTTTCAATTCAATTAATAGTTGTGAAACAAAGTGCACAAGAATGAAGGAGTAATTCAGAAAAAAATATCATGAACATAAACTTTCTAGGTAAACTTACTTGATGGTGACTTTTTTCTGCAACTGATCGATCCGTGCTCTAACCATTTTGGTTTTAACAACTGTAAAGAAGAAACAAAATTGAAAGATAATGCTCACTATTGAACTCCCCCTACTACTGGTCATATATTTGGTTGAATTTCATCACAAAAAGTTACCAAATTTGGCCAATTCACTAGCTCTCCCTTATAAACTAAAGTGAAATAGAAATATATATGTACATGACATTTGCATCAAGTGTGAACTAGATAGGAACAGGTATTGTGTGCATGCCAGTCAGACACTATACTATTCAAGGATCACCAAAACATTAATTAACATGGTTTTGTGGATTACGGTGTGCTGTATAAAATATATTGACTGGCATATCAGTCACTAGTCCACAACTATGCCACTCGGGCCTGTGGGTTACTACAAAAGGGTCCTACTTCCCTAGGCCTTTAGTCTTGGGAAATAGAAGCCTTTTATGGTCACTGACAATCCCTTGGGTGTACAGTATACACCTGGCACAAAAAGAAACTAAATAGTTTTTATAATCATCCTTGTTTGGACATTTCTCGGTCATCAAAAAATCCGGAAATTTTCCGGTTCAATTTGATACCTCATTACCTTGCACTCTCATTATTTCTTTAAATAATAATAAGTGAGGAATCAAATTTAACCGGAAATTTCTGTGACAAAACGTTTAATACTTCAGAATTTTTTTACTGAGAAATGTCCAAACAAGGACGATTACAAAAACTGCTTAGTTTCTTTTTGTGCCAGGTGTAGATACATATATGCACTACTGACCTCATTGCCAGTCAATATTTGTATACTATAACATGCCAATACATCAACCCCATAAGTAAGGTTTATTTTTAGAGTAGGAGGCAAAATAAGGCCAATAACAAACAATAGTTCTTACCGTTAATAATAAATCCTTCGACCTGATCCGACGTGATATGGAGTTCATTCTCGATTGTTGCGAATGGGATTTCCTTCTGTTCAATAGCCATGCTCACAAACGTCAACACACGCATTTTCTGCATGTTCTGATCATGTGACAGTCCTGTGTGCATAAATTAAAATAACGACTATGATATCATGGCATGCAAACACTGAGAATAAGTAAAAATTGAGGTTTGGTTTAAGTGGATCTGAATATGTCTTTGCATTTTCTAGCAGGTTTTTAATGTGTACATTAACATTTAAGAACATGTATACCTGACACGAAGCTTTGCATGACGGATGGTATAAAATAAACACAATTTTGGGTAACACCATGTGGAAAGAAATCTCTTTTTGGAAGAAGTGTGGTTCTGAAAAGTGTAGAATCCGTACAGTTCTACACTCAACCAACCGGTTCTTTTCAGAACCACACTTCTTCCAAGAAGAAATTTCTTTCCACATGGTGTTACCCGCAATTTTATCTATCATGTAGTTCACATCACAATCATCTGCATTGTGTGGTACAAAATTTTATTAGCGTTTCCTCAACATGAACTACATGTAGTTTGACAAGTGTAACTTTTATACAGACTTGGCCACTATCTGCCGTGACTTTTATGGGTCAAGGCCCAGTCTCCGGTGGCACAAATCAGCAATAAACCACAAGGCTCAAAAACAAAAAAGCTTACACGATAACCTGTTGGTACCTCTAGTTCCCCCTTTCCCTTAACTTGTCCCTCTCAACACCAGTAACATAAATCTTACCCAGTGTCTTGATGAAATCTTGATTACTCTTGAAGAAGTTTATGTAGCCTTCCAGTTTCCCCGACACAAAGATGTTCAAGAGCTGAAAAATAAAACAGGGAGGGGAATCGAGGAATCAGCAACAATCTGACGCTCTGTGTTATTGTGTAACAAACTTCGTTGATCTACACAGGCAATTATAAGAACCAGGACAAAGGAAGCCTAGGAATGCCGGTCACAGATTGTACAAAATTCTCATCAGTTCGGGCGATTCACAATGCAGTGCGCCACCAAGACTTTGACATGGAGAGTCCATTTTTCAAGTTTACGGTCGACAAAACATGGCCCATTTGAATGAGTGTCAGCAGACAACTTGAGCTACTTCTTTATAGATTGGGGCATACCATTCTGCCGCCTTACAAAAAACACCATATTAGGAAAAGGAAAAGAAATTGGCAAACATGTACTCGAACCATACGCCTATGAAACTACTGACCGGAAAAAAGTAACAATTTCAAATGTCCCGCGCTGCGAATTTTTTGACCATCTCCCACAATGCAATGGGAAAAATTAACTCTCCATGGCAAACTCTTGGTGGCGCACTGCATTGTGAATCGCCCGAATTGATTCAGAATGGCTATTCACTGGAAGTATTTCCATGCATAAGGCCTACACAATGAGCCGGAGTAATCCCATTCATTAGGGCAATTCCACGGTTACTTACGTTACATTTTTGAAGTACTTTTGAGTTTCCTTGGGCTGTAATTACCTTACTGAAAAGGTTTAATAACTTATCCCCATGGTAGATAGAGTAGACCTAGACCTACCCAAGCACCAAAGATGACATCCAGAAAAATGTGTTATCACTGTTATGTATGATAAACAAGACGCACAAAATTTGTTACTCACGTTACATTTTCGTAACATGATTAACTGATTTTGTGCGTCTTGTTTATCATACATAACACATTTTTCTGGATGTCATCTTTGGTGCTTAGGTAGGTCTAGGTCTACTCTATCTACCATGGGGATAAGTTATTAAACCTTTTCAGTACGGTAATTACAGCCCAAGGAAACTCAAAAGTACATCAAAAATGTAACATGAGTAACCGTGGAATTGCCCATTAGCGTTACAGGGTAATGAAAATGACAGACTGAACCTCTGAACCCCTGAAACCCCCCCCCCCCCTTCTCTCTCTCTGGTCCAAGTTTCACAGATTCTATTCTTTCTACCTCATGGATCAATTCTCCTTCCAGAAACCGGACAGGCCTGAGGGTGAGCAAGTGATCAAACAGAAAGGCCTTGGGGTCGGCCAGGGTGTTGACGATACATCTCTGGGCTTCGTCGCGCGCCTGGGAAGCGTTGTCCTCCGTGTAGGTCCCCAGAAGCTCCACCATGACTTTGTTGGAGGCCTCGCTGTACGGAAACCGAAACAGAAAGGGTGCACTTTTCCTCAGAGAGCACCAACATTTTAAGGTTTCATATTGGGAACTAGCCATATTTAAAAGATCGTGGTCACAGAATATCTGCATAATCAGCCATGTGGTTGCGAAGGCCAAAGCATCGCCGTTGTTCAACAAAGTTAACCCGATGTACTAGGATGCTATAACAGCGCAGCGAAATTCATGCACCCCCAAAAACATGGCTTTTTGAACGTTGTGTTTCAAATCAAACTTTGATTTTCAAACATTTAGCCCGCGAACATCTACATGTCTGTGTGCATTGTTGTTTCATTCAAAATAAAGTATTACGTAGCCTTTAGAAATCGGCCTTCGCATCCACATAGCTGTAATGTCTTATATTTTACATTTATGGAGAAAATTTTGAAAAAAAAAAAACCTGTTTGTTTACATCTAACATGGCAGTAAGTTTTTTTTTACATTGCCAACAGTGTTTTAGCTAGCGAGCCGTGCAGCCGTGATTTGCACGGCACAATGTCTGGAAAACACGTCCAATTTTTCCAAGCAAGATCCAAGGCATCTGCAAGATTCTTTGCTGTTGAGTAAGAAATTGAGTGAGGAATTGTGAAAAAAAATGCAAATAGGCCTAAATTTGACCTATCGCCGTTTGTGAGTTAGCCACGCCCCTTAGACAACTCTATGGAATTTATGTACACTAAGTTTTGTTTGTCTCAGATTTTGCGTGTTCCGTGTCCATTTGTATATCATGTGATTGGACAATATTTCACTAGCTGTGTTGACGCGATTCTACCGCCATAGGTCAATTAAAATCATTGTCAAGGCATCATGATAACGCCAAAGGTTTATCGCGTTTAGTATTTTGTCTTCAAGTAGTACCTCATTTTGCTTTCTTTGAGTGCGTCGTAGAGCAGCCTCAGCACAATGATCATCTGGTCCCTGTTCAACTCCCACTTCTTGGTCCATTTCTTCACCTGAAAGAAAGGAAGAACACAAATCAGAAATCAGTGTAAGTTTAAATGTTTGCTTTTAATTATTTAGTTGAAAAAAAAATAAAAAGTAATTGGAGCAGGATTGTGAACCTGCAACGTCCGGTTTACCGTACCAACATTCTACCAACTGAGCTATCCAGCCCTACATGTATGTTGGTGCATGGTTTAAAACTGCCATTTGTACATCAGTCAGCCATGTTTAAGACCAGTCATGATACGCTGCACTCCGCGCCACATGCGCGTAGTACACGACATGCGCAACTTCAACAAGCCGCAGGTGCTTGTATGCTTGAGAATCACTGACTGTGATCTCCAAATTGTTGAGCGAAACACCAGCATGATGCACCATAGAAGTGGTCTGAACATGGAGTAAACTAGTTGAACAAAACATCGTCGGAATTTCATCAACTTTTCAACGTTTCACTTTTTGACTGAAAAGGTATTTATGAATGGAAATAAACACGGTGTTAAACTGGTTTTAAGCCAGACGTTTAAAACTGCTCTGCCAGATTATTATTCCCTGAACCCTAACCCTGCTAAATGCAACAGAATGCACCAGTGGTAAAAAGTTGTTGCAAGTTGTTGCATTTTAGCATTCTCCCGATCTGTTGCATTCCAAGCCTGCATTCCGTTGCATTTGGCAGGTTTAAAACTGTAGTTTAAAACTGCTCTCCCAGATTATTATTCCCTGAACCCTAACCCTGCTAAATGCAACAGAATGTACCAGTGGTAAAAAGTTGTTGCAAGTTGTTGCATTTCAGCATTCTCCCAATCTGTTGCATTCCAACCCTGCATTCCGTTGTATTTGGCAGGGTAGGTACTTGCTACCAAGGCATTAGTTCACTGCGTTCTGTTGTATTTGGCAGGGTGCCTAGAGAATACCCCGTGGGGGGTTAGGGTTAATAATAAGATTCCAAGTGGTTTCCTCCAACTCTTTGTAACTGACTGGGGGAGCAATTGTGCACAGACTCCACTGATTCATCAGGTACAAAATGTAGTTAAGGGAAGTGTGGCCTAGCGGATAGGGTTCGTGACTCATGATCAGAGGGTCAGGGGTTCGAATCCAGCTGCTGGCCATACATTGTGTCCTTGGACAAGCCACTTCATCCCCACTTGCCTCTCCACCCAGGAGTATAAATGGGTACTGACATTAGCTGGGGAGTAATCCTGCGATGGACTGGCATCCCATTCAGGGGGAACAGAAATATTCTGAGTCGTTTCATGCCACTGAAACCGGAGATAAACGCCGGCCTGATGGGCCATATTGGCTCAGGACAGACTTTACTAGGAGCTGATGGGTTAAAAAAATCCAGAAATTGATAAAAAAATTGTCTTACGACTTCTAGGTCTGTCTCGACGTTTTCCGTGTTCTTGCCCTGGGCGGCTACTTTCAGCATGCAGGTGTAGATGTGATGACACAGGATGTTCTCCACGCCGACTCCGTACAATAAATTACTGAGACTGTGAGGATAAAGCACCAAAATTATATGGCTCATACTTTTTTGGAATTACATTTTTTTTTTAAATGTCAACGGATCCATTACATTAAATTTTTTTAATATTTACATAGAAAAAAACATAAAAATAATGTGTCCTTATAAAGTGCATGTACATGTATCCACCAGTATTAGTTCTTAAGGCGCTACATCATTATTACCCTGCTCATTGGGCCAATGAAACATTCTAAAGACAAAGAGAAGCAACAAACATGACAGAACGTTAACCCTAACAGAACTCAACCCATCAAACCCCAACGGCACGTTTTATTTGAATCTGTCAGGATGGGTACAGTACCCCTAAACTGACAGTCTTTTACATTGGGTAGGCACAACCCCACAACCAAAGTCAGAAATATGTGTGTGCAGTTTCCCATATGGTGTTGGAATTTGCCAGGATGGGTATGGTTCCTAGTAAATCATGCTAGGGAGTTAGGGTTAATAGAAGGAGGTTCTAGGAATGTTGCCAGGTCCAGTCCTACCAAATTAATAGCCCGTTGATGGATCCTATCAGGAACGGACAAGTAGCAGACCGAAGCACTAGCCCAGATATGACAGCAGTATTCCATGACTGGTCGTACAGTGGTATTGTACAGTTGGAGCATGGCAGTTGGTGGAAGATATCGACGTACACGATACTGAGACACTGAGATGGTCTTATTGAAAATAATCCTACATTCATAAATACCTAAGACAGTTTACCCATTTCTATTGGTCGAGAGCCCGTCACATGCCCGGTCTTAAACGGATGATAAAGACATGGCTAGCTGGTCTTAAACACTTTTCCAGTGTCACATGAAATTTGGATTCCTAAAAATCCAGTGCCTCTTACCGTTTTATTGGTTGAACGTTCACAATCCTCACGTAGGCATGCACAATACTACCAGTGAGTCAGAATTTTATAACCCTAAATTCATAACGCAATGCCCCAGGTGCATTCTGCACGACATCGCGCAGTACGCGCCACGCGCGCGCCAATCTATATAAAAGGAGTTGTTTACATCTTACTCGCCAGCTGGACACTCCATTATTTAGCTAGAGGGGTGTTTAAAAAAAAACATGAAGTGAACTTGTTGAACAAAATTGGGTTTTTTTACCTTTGTCTCGGGTAATTATAAGCACACAGACTCCAAGCGGTCTTAAATAGAGTGATTAAAACCTGCCGAGCACACATGTATACCCTTAATCAAATATGGACTCCATGAGTCTGAAGGGACTCTTGAATGCATTGCTACCATACAACAGGTGGATACAGCGTACTTAGTGCTACATGTATGCACACCTGCGAATTGCGCATCAGTGCACAATTGTAGTGTGTTTGGTAATCCTGATCGTTAGGGCACCTATATTTTTTAAGAGTTCTGTTCAAAACTGACTTTTGCAGACGACTGTCCAGTACCAAAGTGACTTTTGCAGGCTGAAGCAGTCTTTTTTCTTCAGATGAACTCATGTTTGTTGTAATATTGAAAGCACTTTCAAAGTAAATGTGACTTTCCTACCTTTTTTTCACGTTTGCCATCTTAGTCAGGTTGCTTTTTGAGTCGTTTTCTGGTTGTTATCATCGTCTTTTACTCCTTAATTTCCCTCATAAACCTAGCCCTGCCCTCTTTCCACAAAATGAAACCTGCTGATATCCAAGAAGGTGTCATTACCAGCTGTTCAGATATATCAAGAAATATCAGAATGTCCTTTTTGAGTGTTATTTAGTCAGCTGTTTTGGTGAATCTTTTAACCTTATATAGGAACGGGGCCCTAAAGATAAGGATTACAGTATATTCTGCACATGGAGCTCTCATGTCGTTGCGTCAGTGCAACAAGGTCGTACATGTATCTCCTAAAATGGCATGAATGACGCAAAACGCAAGTTTTAGAATGTCAAAAGGTCGTATCTCGCTTAAAATAACCCGGATGTACACGCGAAGTCAATGGACGTCGAGATACGACCTTGTTGCACGGAGCGTATTCGCGCGAGATACGACTTTGTTGCAGAATGGAGATATGAACGCAAAACGCAAGTTTTAGAATGTCAAAAGGTCGCATCTCGCTTAAAATAACCCGGATGTACACGCAAAGTCAATGGACGTTGAGATACGACCTTGTTGCACGGAGCGTATTCGCGCGAGATACGATTTTGTTGCAGAATGGAGTTACGACCTTGTTGCACTGACGCAACGATGTTTGATCACAGCGCGCCATCTAGTGCTCATGCAATGAGTCCCTGCGTCCCTGCAGAGCATTTCACGTGCGCAGACTTACACGCGTATCTTGAGTGGGGCGTGTTCTTCCTTCCCCGCTGACACTAAGAGGTTGCTGAGCATCTTAGCCAGGTTGTCCAAGCATTCCGGAGGCTGGTAGATGAGGAGGGAAAGGATGCTGTTGAGGATGCCTTCAATCTCTGAAAACATCAAGGAGAAAATTAGGTTTACAACAGTTGTTTTGTAGAGCGCTGTGGTCCAATGGTTACTATGAACATAGTATTCCTGTATTGTATTACGCTCGAGGACAGACAACGCCGGTTTGTGCACTAAGTCTATGGGAAAGGTTTAGATCAGGGAATAAAGGAAAACACAAAGCCAATCCTCGGAAGCATAGCAAAAAACGACCGTGTGCTTGTGTTCTTGAGCAAGACACTTTACTACATTTACCTCTCTCCACCCAGGTGTATAAATGGGTACCTGAGAAGGTAGAGACCAGAATGCGCTGATCACGAGCTGCTACAAATAATGGTCTCATAGCCTGATGAACAGGGGTAATAATTGTGAAGCGCTCTGAGACCTTGGGTATAAAACGCTATATAAGCACCAAATTATTGTTGTTATTATCTCATTGACACCTTGTTGTTGGCCCCTTTTTTATAATGAAAAGAACAACAGTTGCCAAATTTTGTTTGTCAATTCAATTAAATGTCAATGAAAGACCACCGCATTCCAGAAATTTAACCCTAACCCCATTGAGTTGAGTGATTTACTCGGAACCTTCCTCAAATTGTGCAAAATCCAACACCATGTGGTAACTCAACACCCTAACTGTTGGACTCCGATTATGGTGGCATGCCTAACCCCTTGTAAAGCAGTCAGTTTACTAAAGCAGTACTCACTCCAACAGAATCAAGCAAAACATGCAGTTGGATTTTGAAGGGTTGGAGCTGGTTTAAAGGGATTTCGAGAACTCGGGTTGCCAAAAGTTGAGTAAAGTGGACTGAAATCTAGTAGGGCTGTCCCGAATCTACTAGGCCATCAGCTTGGGGGTTTGGTCAGTATCAAATCAGGGCATTAACCCTAACCCACCTCACTCCTCCAAAATCCTCCTGGCGGTTTTGGAGGATTCTAGAGGATTGAGGATGAATGGTGATTGAATCAAATGAGGATTCTGGAGGATTGAGGATGAATGGTGATTGAAGCACATGAGGATTTTGGAGGATTGAGGATGAATGGTGATTGAAGCACAAGAGGATTTTGGAGGATTGAGGATGAATGCATTTTGAGGCAGGACTGTCTGATGATTTTGAAGGATTTGGCGTTGGTTATCCTTCATTTAAACACGAGTGCAAAGTTTTGGGATGAGGAGGATTTTGGAGGATTGAGGATGAATGCATTTTGAGGCAGGACTGTCTGACAATTTTGAAAAATTTAGGCGGAGTTGCCAAAAATCGCGATGACGATTATTCCCCTCATTTGATGCCAGGTGCCAAAATTTTAGACTGAGGCTGATGGCCTATACCAAGTATTCGATCATCATCCAAATATTCATAGCTGTTTGCCGGTTTGAATATTTGAAAACAAAAAAAATGTGCACATACATGTACACATACGACTATCCATGTTACTTTATCGTAAAGTTGCGGTGCTTTATTGTCAGGTGCCACTTTTTTTGTCGACGGGGGTTCAATGTCCACATCCTTTTAGCAGCTTAACCCTCCTTCTATAAGAGGTCACCAATGGTCAAAATATTTGTATCTCACCTCCTGGCATGATGTGTGCAAACCAATGGGGGGCTGGACTCTTGACCAATATTGACCCAAGTAATAACCAGGCTGATAATGCATGTTTCCATAGGAGGGTTAATTGCCTTTACAGTTATAAAATACTTACTGCAAAACACTCCAGCGCCCTATATCGATCACTGTAGGGTTCAAATTCTATTTCCCCACATTTTGCCACAGGCCGCCGATTTCCAATAATGCGATCTCAATCGGACCTATAGTTTCTAGAATTATCGATGCTAGAAACCTGTCTATATGAGTAACAGTTGGTTTATTGTTCATACTGCAGGTGTCATTACATACCTCAGAACAAGCATCACAGATGTACATGTAGATTCAACTTAGAAAATAACAACTCAATGAAAATGAGAGAGAACAATAGAGAACGGTAAAAGAAAATTGTTGTCTAGCTGGCCGTGGCGAACGAACTGAAACAAGTAGTTGCCACGCGTAACATTTGAAACTGATTAAGAATGCGTAAGTGCGCGCAGTACGCAAACCAGAAGCGCGCAGAAGACTGGCCTCAACAATCGCTGTACGCATATTTCAACTGGCGCACTTTTTGTGCAACTTTGTACTCGCGCATCACGCAGTTGCAGCTGGCAGTTTCGAATATCCAAATATTCGGTCAAATCCAGTTTCGAGTAATCCAATACTAAATTATTCGAAAAATGGACAGCTCTAAAATCGTCAGGTGCCCGGAAGAAGGGCATATGAGCGTTCCGACGCAAAAATCATTTTCAAGAAAATTGCATTGAAAGGTTTCATTGTTCCCCTGCGCGCATTTTGAATCATATGTTTAAATTTCATTAAAATGGATGCAGTTTTCTGCATATATATGCCCTTTTGCTGGGAAATTTTGGTCATTACGCACTATTGCATAAGGGTATATGCACATATTCATGTATGCCCTTCTGCCGGGCGCACGACCATATATAGCTATTTTCATAATGATATGTATTAATGTCTTCTCTACCTGCTGGATCTGAGAGATCCCAGATGACTTTTGCCGCCCGGATAATCTTCTCCAGGTCATCATGGATGCCTTGTTCTGAGTTTTCCTCGGATATCTCAGCTCCTCGAGACTTCAGGAATCCCCTAAGCTCACTGGCCTAAAAATATTTTTAAAATAAAATAAAAATACGACAATACAGATGTAACTGACTGCAATAAAAAGATGGTTATTCATGGTTATCTTTAAATTTCAATTTAGAATGTGAAGATTTAAAAGACACTTTGTAGGCCTCTTTTTAATTATTAGGCCTACTAACATGTAGGCTAACTACCAAAGTTATTCAAATCAAAGACAAGGGTGCTGTTCATGTGATGACAAATGTTCTGCTTAATACTGCAAATTGTGATTAACATTTCGCTTTTTAACCCTAACCCTGCCAGACGCAGCACAGTGCATCAGGTGGAAAAGTCTGCTGCACTTTGATGGAAAATGCTACCAACACCAGTGCATAAACCGGCCACTTCTGAGACACTTGAGGGCTAGTCCCATAGAACAATGCCCGAGTTGTATCCTGCTGCGTTGGGGGACCACAGACTCTGAGGCAGTTTGGCCTTGAGACTTTTGACCTGATGGATCTTGCTACACTGGGCAGGCTTGTCACTTAGACAAGTGTTGCATGTTGCTGCGTTTGGCAGGGTTTCTAGCCAAAATACCCTGGAGGGTTAGGGTTAATTAAAGCTCATGTTTAGTGTTCCATACACTGTGCACTAAATTCAAATATCAGAATTTTTGATGATTGACGTCTTAGTGTCTACCTTTTATTCATTTAAATGATAAGGCATGAATAAAGTTGAAAGATTTGGAGAAAGTGTGAGATTTACAATGATTTTCATGTACATGTTATTGTAAGTATTTATTTAGTCTTAATAATCTGCATTCTAAAAGTCCAATTTATATGCAAAATAATCACACTTGACTCTGCATTAACCCTAACGATCCCCATCCAGCCCAACTCCAACACAAGGGTTTGGTGCTTAGTATTCTTATTAACTACAAAACTTAACTATTATACTTACATGACTTACAAAACATGTTAACTTAAACTACGGCCCCTGAACTTGTAACTTAGCTCTAGCATATTGACAAATGTTTTGATCATGTTCATATCAATGATCATCATTGCTTTTCCTTTGCATTTAATATCAGCATGAATATCAGCCAACACAGACAGATCTCCTCTGTTATAATTACTAAAGACAGACAGAAACAGATTGTAACCGACTAGGCCTACATCATAGATGAAAGCTGTAGCCCCATAAGTGTGGCCAATTTACTGGACTACCTCCGTAAAGGCCACTCTTGGAACATGTACCCGAATATGTAGAACTTTATCAAGTTTTATTTTCACATTTACTATTTAGACTTTTGTTTGTAGTTTATTTATGCTTAAGAAACACACTCCACCTCTTTAAAGCGATAGAAAATTATTCCCCCCTTTTTCAGACGTCTCCATTTCGTGTAATTTCCAGGTTCATTTGCACACGTTAGCGTATCTAAATTCCAACACGAAAAATAGACGTCTGAAAAAAGGGCGGAATGTCTAATTCTAAATGTGAAAATGAAAACTTGACAAACATGACAAAGTTCTACACATTCGGATACATGTTCCAAGTGTGGCCTTTATTTACGGAGCCGGAGGTAGTCCAATATTAAATAATTAGACACATGGTGCTAATGAACATGATGAAAGCTGATTATGATGTTGCATTTATTTCGTGAGAAACATTTCAAGTGCCCTAGAGTAAACCCGCTGTTCGATTGTAAAACATTTTTGTGACATTTCTGTCATTTAATTCAAATGAGAACACGGTAAATTCTCACCTGTTCAGACTCAGCAACATCAATAAACGCCGGAAGACTCATTTTCGGCACACAATCTTGGAGAAATTTCGGCAGAGTAAGGCAACACGAGGGATTCCTGTTCTAAACAGCGCCCTCTATTAACTGAGAAAAATAATCGCCTTCTTGCTTAACTTTTTTTAACTGCATTGTGTGACGTCAAAGAGATCAGAAATGCTGATTATGACGTCACAATTAGTTTTTTATAAATTAATTTTTTTCTGTTTCAATCAAACATAAAATCATAACTACATTACTACATTCTGAAACTACCAGGAATTATTTTGTCTTAAAAAAAGCAACAGTTTTCCACGGTGTTAATTATTTCTGTGAACTTCATTTCAATAAATTAAAAATGTCCGCTTTCAGTGCTACGTTTTGTAATGATTTTCGCAAGTGAATAATGTCAAATAACTTTGAGGATTATAACATAGTTGCAATTGGAGATAGTGATGCCTGGCAGAAGTTAGGATGTGAAGTGTCGAAGATAAGAAACTGCAGACTTCTACAAGTAAGCGTACAATATTTGTCCTATATTAATTCGCCCTTGCCCCACTGTACAAACATGGAATCGGTAGTTCATCTCTAATATTTTACAAGTTCCGTTCATAAATCAAAACCCTGCCCCTTTCCACAAAATTCTCTTTGCGAACTACATATTTAAACCTTCCTCCATGCATGGAGTGACTAAATTCCTGCTTCTCAGCTCATCGCGCCACTGGTGTTTATTGTTTAGGTACGTGCGGTCCGGCCGGCCCATAACAAAACATTAATGTCTTTTCATTCCTTTTGGGACGGGCATGACGGGGTCCTAAACTACACGATGACCACATGTATATAAACTAGACATTAAAGGTCTTTTTGCTGGTCCCGGCCGCGACCTCTTAAATCTGAGTGACTTACTTAACTGACCAAGGGCGGATCCAGAACACAATTTTTTGGGGGGCCAAAAAAAATTTTGGTCCCCCAAAAAGTGGGTCAAACAAATTACGGCGTTTTTGGATTCTAGATGCTCTGTGGTGCGATCTGAGGCAATTTCTGATCACTTTAACCAATGTTTTTTGAGGAAAAGATTGTGGTGTACTCATTGCCTGCCTTTATTGCGATGTCACATAAAAAAAAGAAAAAATTGGTTTCGTTTTTTTTTGGGGGGGGGGGGGGCATGGCCCCCTTTGCCCCCCCCCCCCTGGATCCGCCCTTGTAACTGACTGACTGAGAGGATAGCCAGAAAGTGCTATCGTCAGGATCGTATGATGATTATAATACAAAATGGGTTGAATCTGGCCCACTTATTATGTATGGCCTACAACAGATGCATATCACATGAACAAATCGACTGCCATGTAGACTAGCCATCATGTTTGTTAGCCTTTATAGTCGAGGAGCTATACCCGGACACGTGGGACCCTGGATGTTACAGCACGAAAAGACCACGCACGCGTGGTGTCATGTCGTTGGTACCCGCAAACCACCGTTAGATTGGTATGGTTAAAATATATCTCCGTAATTATATGCATGATTTATGGTACTTGGATATTAATGAATAAGTGATTACTCACGAGATAGTAAAGGCGCAATTCGCCACTCGCATCTTTTTTTTTTTGTGCCAGCATCCGGGGCGCCACGCGTTCGGGTAGCCACGCGCGCCTTAACTAAAGGCTATCATGTTTGAAGAAATTAAACACTAAAATACACTACTTTTTTGTCTCGTGTTTTTTTTTTTCTTTTTCCTTGACCGTATGTTTTCATGTTTATTCTTACTGTCTGTGTATACTGTACTGTATTGTCCGTTTATGTGTTAGGTTGTCCTCTACAAGCCTCGGTTTATATGAACAGTCCACTAGGCCTATACTTTTCACCCTCCTTTAATATAATTATTTAGTCGTTTGTAATTTCAGATAATTTTTATGTACTATTATTATTTATACACTTAATATAATACCTTCTTTTATTTGAAAACTTAAGTTGACTTTACTTGTGGAAAGTGTGGAAATAAATGTTGCCTTTCAATTGAATTGAACTACTCGCATATCACGGGCGCCATGTTTTTGTTCTTCATAAATACATTGATTTCAATGATTTTTACAGTCAGTTGTGTTTTTTTTACCAGTCTTGAATTTCCCCCTAATTCGGGTTTATCATCATCTTGTCTTGCTGATACCATTTCTATATTGCAGATACCAACCTTACAAAACCCGTACAGTGTTACCGACAATTATATGCTAAGGACTATTTTTCTTCTTCCGGATGCGATCACTGTATACCAAGGAGCCTGTAACGCATGGATACAACGATTAAGGTAATCTTTAAAACAAAACGTCAGCCGGGATGTAAACACGACTTAAAATTACAAGCGCACAAAGTTTTATTATGATCTCACGAAATAGCACAGGCCTAAGCCATCGGAAAATCAACACAAAACGTTGAGCTGAGGTTTAGTCTAGTTTACTTGTTTACATTATTTAGTCTACATAATGCACAAGAAAAAATAAACGACAGAAGCAAAACCCCTCCTATATTATTTCGTGTTCCATTTTTTGTTCTCTTTTTATTTTTCATATAAGGCTTGGACCGAATGTTAATACACCGATCATATGCATTGTCCAAGTTCCTGAAAGAAACAATGGTAAGTGCAGGGTGATGAATTTTTGGTAATTTTATTGATCAAACTTTAAGTAGGCCTCCATGAGACTATAATACAGTAAATTCATAACTAAGCTCCTCTAGCCTCCTTCGCGAGGGGGTGGCCCATTACGCGGCCTAAGTTCCCACGTGATAATGCAACTCGTGAACAAACGCGCGAACGCGAATTTGTGGCGTCACGGGTAGTTTTCGAGCACCGAAAAATTAGCAAAAGTTCAACACATTTTCATCTCCGGCAAATTTTGCAGCGAATGTTTCGTGACGTCAAATTCGCTTCTCATTCGCATTAAATGCCAGTTCCTCACACTATCGAAAACGAAGCGAATGTCATGACAACAACTGAAGTTTCACTGTAACCTCTGGTATTACCTCAAACGAATTTGCTGCACATCGACATTCGCTTGCATAAAAGAATGAACTCTGGTACTCTTTAGTACGAACCAGTGTCACATGAAAATCGGACTCGTATGAAAATCGGACTCTTTTTTCCTTTTTATTGGTTAAACCCTCTCACGTGACCGGTCCCTCTCCTAATTATCTATGCATGAGCATGCGCAATACGACCAATGAGTCCGTATTTCATAAAACCTAAATTCATGCTACACCTGCCTTCATAAGTGACGCGAATGCGAAGATAATTGACGTCCGGAAAACATTCGACAGGCAGTTCGCCGTAGTGAAATTTCGCGTTCAACTTTGGGAATACATGTGCTTGCCGTGATGTCACAAATTAATATAATTCGCGTTCGCGTTTGCTGTATTGCGTTGACATTATAGAACCTGCCAGTACACACCCTTTGCGAACTATTCATCGTTTGAGCTGTGGGTGTAAAGGCCATTGCCAAGCGACCTTAGGGCCTGTTTAAAGTCGTCTCAAACGGGCTTTCAGAGCTACGGCTGAGCAATGCGCATTGTAAGTATGTTCCATTTTCTACCACGTCATTTTCTGCGAGCAGACAGTACACCATTAATTGAAGCATTAACACATATAGGACATAACTATCTGAAATAGGACTTATTCTAGAGCGAATGACAGTGATATGATGAACTGTTTGAGAAGGGGGGGGGGGGTGGTATAAATAGTCGTAAAATCATTGATGTAATGTACCGATCCAGTAAGCCCCTCCCACTGCGCACTGGGCAATTTTATTAACACGTGCTCCTTTCCAATGCCACACTGCATTTTCCTGCTGCGCGCATCATACGCGCGTGCACGCATGTCGGACTTTTGTGCACGCATGTTGGACTTTTGTGCACGCATGTCGGACATAAATCACGGCTGTAATTGGTCAGAATACCATGGGGCAGTGCTTACTGGATCGGTTCATCACAACCGTAACTAGCTTCTTCAATTACTGCAGCAGCATTGGTGTAATTATATTACGATTTTATTTTTTTAATGTTGGTAGGCCTATCCATTTTTTAAGCGGAGGAGCTAAAGCAACTGATGCAGGCAAACATCATCAACTGGATCATCACAACTCAGGAGATCTCTGCCTTGAACCTCGTGCGCATCATCCGATGCAGCCAAACCAGCATACAAAAATGCTTGGACACATCAGCAGGGCAGATAGTCGGCTACGCGACATGGAGAGCAGAGCAACTCCGGGAAAGCCGAACTGCGAGCGTAAACGCTGACGGTGCGGTGCCCGAAGACACGCGCGAAAGGACGGGTGAGTTTCGCCGGTTTTCTCGCTGATTTATTCAAACTTGTAAAACATCATTAGGGTAGATTATGGATGTCATGTTTGATAAAGCAGCGGTGCATGATTAATGGTGCCAATCAGGCAAATGTACGGGGTTTTGGGACTTGCGAGACGGATTTTCGTTGTATTTTATCACTTTGCATTTAGAATTAGCAATTATTTAAATTTGAATATTAATTTAAAGGTATACACAGCGGCATTCAAATAAAAATAAGCCAGCTTGCCAGTAGGCCTAGATAAACTAAATTTTAACAGCGGTTTTTTTTTTTAACTATTCCATGCGAAGATACTACACAGGAATCAAAGCGGGACAATAAAGTTGCTATGACTCCAACAATGACGTCATCCATAACCCCGCCTACGCGTAAACGTCTGCGCGATGATTGCGCCAATCGCAGTCCGAAATGTACGCAGACTCAGAGAGATGCAAACAGTGATGAAATAACACAAAAGTACGTTTTCACCATATTCATGTTGTTGAAATTACATTTATTTTCAATAAAATTATTTCACATAATTTGTATTAAATTCGCCAAAGATAAATGCATAAATTAAACAGGTCAATGTTTTGTTAATCACCTGAATTTGAAGACACCCGTACTGACTTTTACAAATATTACGTGATTTTCATATTGCATTGGTCTTAAACTCTCAACAGAAAAATGTCCCAGCCAAACCCATCGCAGAGAACCAAGCGAGCTAGACTCCAACACAAGGCGAATGTGTTGAACAAGAAGCTTGACCGAGCACTGATCTATATCTCGCGAGTGCAAAGCCTCCTGGACAGAAAGACTAATCATGATCAGAAGCATTTTGTAAAAAAAGACATTCACAAGTCTTACTGATTACCAGTGTTTAAAACAATACATATATTATTATCCTGAGGAAATTCAACTTCTAATATTCTTGTTTTCAATTTAATTTAATTCAATTTCAATTCAAAATACTTTATTTATCCTTAAAAAGGCAATTACATATGGTTGGACAGCTCATTAAGATACTTAGTAAATTACAAGTCGAGTAAATATAAGAATATAAATATATAAAACTTACATCAATTACAAACAACATGTCCTTTTCTCAAGTGAAATTGATTGATGTAAAAACTCATCACATCTAAAAACACTTATTGTAATTTAAATGTACACCTGATGAATAACGTTAATTTTTAAGACAATGATCTCTAGTTCCCCAAAATGCAAATAATATAGATATTTGCATTAAATAAAAAACAAAATGGAAATCCATGTTGTACCCGTTTGTGCAAAAGTTGACCTTACTAAAAAGACTGAACATTCCCAAACATCAGTATAAGGAGGCTGATTCAAATGGCCGAATTAAGCTTAAGTTTGTTGTGATGTAAAAAAAACTAATACTAAATTATAGTAGAAATATTTCAGGGGCCAAAAGATGAAAATAGTGGTAGTGCAATTAGATGGATTCGGCGCTAATAAGAAACTCTTTTGAACAATGAGATTGGTTTTTGTGGCTAAATAAGGTATTTTCTAAGTAATATTATGGTCTCTTTATATTGTCCGTTTACCTTTGAACATTATGCAATACAAATTCTCTTACTTTAATATAGGTAGAGCTTATAATGTCAAAACCATGTTAAGATGGTGAGGTTTATATCCAAATAGAAGTGTTGCTGCATACATGTAGCACTTACAAATGTGTAGAATAAAATAAAGATATTAAAATGCTCACCGATGATAACATACAGGGAGCAAAATTCTGTCCTAAATTCGTTGTTTGCAACTGTCGCGACAGGCGGATGGAACGTGTTAAATTCTACACGAGGCGTATACTACCGGTATGCATGGTTTGCAATCGTGCATACAAAATATAACGGAGCAAAGTTGAATACTACAAGGCTGAATGTAGCTCAGGTTCACGGGATCCAGAAGACTTCAGAAAGGCAAACTTAGCTTTGATGGGCAGGTGGTCGGAGGGGAATACGGCATTAGGGCAGGCATGGAGAGGTAGAATCAGGTCTTCGTCAATCATCTTGAGAACGGCTTCGCAATGCAACGAGTCAGAGCTGTACCACACGTAGTCCAGGGCTGACACATACTTCTCTGATCCGTAGGCTTCCGGGTCAGTTTTCCTGACCTGATAAAAAAAAAACACACACACACAATAAAAAGCTAGTCCCAGAACTGCGAATAAGATTCTATTCAATCGATTCAGTATGGCTATGTATTTGAAAAAAGCCAGTTTTTTCCAACGCTGATCGGCCGACCAGCGTTGGAAATTGATACAAAAATACCACTATTCTTGAAAATGACAGTATACCAGGTGCCATGATTTTACAGGATGCTTTACACTGTCATTCACTAACAGTCCAGCAAGGTTTTTCAAAATGATTTGTTAGTTTTATTTTTTGATGTTTGCAAATGTTGTATTTTCCCTTTAAGCAACTCTTATTCACACGTGAAATCAGTGAGTGAATCAGTGAGTCAGTAAGGTACAATGAGCTGCCCCCCGAGCCCCAGTGAAAATTAGGCCAAATGACAGTTATCGACTAAGCACTTGAATAGTGATGTGTTGCCAAGCAAGTTTTATTTTCTGCAACCAACTATTGTCACTAATCATAATGCACATCATCGCTTGATAACGAAATTGTTGTACAATTTTTGTTTTCTTTAAAACTAATTCTTCCAGAAACCATGAATCGGAACTAAAAGATGATTTCATTTAAAAAGTGGACTTGATTAAACATGATTTAAGTAAGGAACTACATTTTCTCCAGTTGGACTTCTAAAAAGTAAACCTACTAGCTTAAACCACTAGGCAGTATTGCTGCGGTATTTCTCGAAAATCAACCCTAAATAAGTCATCTGAAATCCTGTGATGTATTATTCCAATGCTTCATGCATGCGTAATATGGTAGGTGACTATACTTGGTTAGAAAAAGAAAAATTGGTGGACCGGCCTTCTTTCCCAGGAGGACCCAAAATCTGGAATCAAAATCTGGTCCACTCGTACGTGAAGCACGCACGGAGTTCACGCGTCTGCTAGTATTAAAAAAAAAATGATGGACCTACCTTAGGATGCGTTGGTGTTCCATCAAACAATGCCTGTACGACCTTACTGAGTTTGTCCCTCTTGGGAATATTAAAGAAGGCCGAGGAATCTTCGAAGTTGGAGAATGGTACGTCATGTCCCTTAAACAAAACAAAAAAAGAGCAAACGATTAAACAACGATTGACCACAGAAACTATCGGTTGTGTTGGCTGAATCAGCCTCGACTCCACAGGCGCGTGCGCCTTCCTTCGTCAAGATCGCGCAAGGCATGATGGGAACAATCAACATGGCGCAGCAAGATCGTACCCATGGAAACGAGGTTGTGGCTGAATAGAATGATCCCCATTATACACGTGTAAAAGGTCGGCACCAATCAAAGTCGTGATTAATGTTCAACACGCGTGCACAATTGACCTATCGCGGTAGAATCGCGTTAGAATCAAGTCAACGCAGCTTGTGAAATACATGTATTGTCCAATTACATGATATACAAATGGACGCGGATCGCGCAAAATCTGAGACAAACAAATCTTAGTGTACAAAAACCCCATAGGGTTGTCTAAGGGGCGTGGCTTACTCGAAAATGGCGATAGCTTAATTTAATCCCGAAATGCATGCGGGTGCGAGTAAGACGCGCGCGTCTGGAATGTACAGTGTGACGTTGGAGAGACGCACGTGTCGTTGCCCACATGCGCAGTGATCGGTCCATTGCAGTTTTAGTTAGTGAATTTTTGTACATTCTTGTAATACTTTTAGCTCACAAAATCACATTATTTTAATTTGAAAATCAGGCTTGAGTCCAAGTGGCCAAGTTTCCGACACCAAAATTGTCGCATTAATCTTTATATGTTTTCAAGTCACTTTGTATTTTTTTCTCTCGTGATTTGATAGATATAGATTCTTCACTGTTACCACAATTGCTTCATAAGCGCTCTTTAGGTTCCTAGAGTTGTGCTTGAAACAAGAAGGAAATACATCCACCAACGAAGGCACCTGCAAAAATGATAACAAGTGAAAACCATGTGACAAAGATAGACAAAATGTGGCATGCAATATATTTGTTGAGCGTGATTGGACACTGTGCGTGATCGGTCAATCGCACTGCGGTATCGGTCGATTCTGTAGGATATCTCGGATTATATTTACCTTTTAAAAGAAATCCTCCAGAGCCATGAATTAAGCCCGGTTCATACTTCACGCGAAAGCAAGTGCGAAGCGAAATCCATGTCGTCGACAATGGTGGATGCGCTTTGAATGTATTGTTGACGTCACAAGTTTCGCTTCGTTTCGCTTTCGCGTGAAGTATGAACCGGGTTTCAGAAAGAAAAATTGTGTTGGCAACGCGATCGACCGATAGCGTCATGATCGACCAATAGTGCAATCGATCCATCGCGCACATAGACCGATCGCGCCCAACATTATATTTATCAACGTAAATGGGATGAAGCACACATCTTAACCATTATGTCTGATGCAGAAAAAGGCACATGTGTTTCCCTAAAGCTTTGTCCCTATACATTGTAATAATTATAACACTTTTCATAGACTAAGCACACAGAATTTGGTTTGAAAATTAACCGTTCTCAACAAAAGATCTGTTGTTCTTTCTTTATGTGTTTGTAATCAGGATGTATGTATTACAAGAGCATCCAGTGAACCAACAAAAACCCAATTTGTCTTAATTAGGCAACTCAATGACCCCGCAACTTTTTCAACAAAGAGCTAAAATGGTACCTTCCCGTTTTCTCCAGACTTGAAGTCGCGCAAGTACGTTGTCATTGTTTTGTTTAAACTCCCATCATGCAAAAGCTGGTACCCCGGATGGTGTGGTTCCTGATTGAAGTCGCCGCATAGGATGTGCGGGGTACCAACACCACCGGCGAACTCAACCAGTCCGTTTATAGCAAACGCAATCTGTGAATTAATCGAATATTTCAAAAAGAATCTTATTTTTAAGTTGTTACGGGAGCCTCCACAATATGTTCCATTTCCATCTGCAACAAACAAGATTTGTTTTGGTTTTGCATATTGAAGAGTAGGTCAACATAACAACTAAGTAACTTACGTTTTAAAAACAAAAGAGAAAAAAGAGAGACTTGTTGCGAAAAACATTATCCGAAGCTGTTTTCTCGAAGTTTTTGTCATTATGCATTTACCCCCATCAGGAGTAGATGATAACCTTTTTTTGAATGTAGACAATTTATAGGAACATCTTGGAAATATTGTGTTTTGAGTGGTGTGAGATTGTGGTACTGATGAGAAGAACACGGACCATCAGCGTCAGCATGCACCGGTTGAATTCAGGAGGAAAAAAACTTGGATCGGGAGTGGATGTTGGTTGTAAGAAAATTATTACAGTCACTTCTCCAGCATACAAGACGGTCCTGGAAAGGACTGGAACTTCAAGACATTTCGTTAACTTTCAGATGGCTGGCCAAGTTTCCTGTGATGAAGCTACATGTACTTTCTCGAACATACAGGGTGAGTCAAAAAAAGCGGAACCCAAACCCCAAAAATTGTATTTTCATATAAAAAAAAATATGTAGCATCAAAAATAATAATGACTCGAAAGCCAATTTCATAAGCTACTTTTAGATGAAAAAAAAGTACTGAAATTGCTCAATCCGTTCAAACAATATCACCATTTAAACGCAATGACCCCAAAACCTGTTTCGTCCAAAAAAAGCAATTTATTGTGTTCTTACTGTTTGGAACAACTAAAAAAACTGACAAAGAATACTTGTATCAACAACTGTAGTACACAATATCTTTATTAACAACCCTGGTTAGGCAAACAATATGGTTTGTAAAATCCACTTTTTTTCAAAGACGGGCCTTCAAAATGACTTTGTTGAACATTTTAAACTTTTAAACTGAAGTTTTATCGCTGGTGATGTTTGAAGACAATTGTGATCACTGTTCTTGAAATCCCATTTTTGGACGAAAGATGTTTTAATGTAATTGTGTTTAAATGGTGATATTGTTTGAACGGATTGAGCGATTTCAGTAATTTTTTCATCTAAAAGTAGTCTATGAAATCGGCTTTCCGGACATTATTATTTTTGGTGCTACATATTTTTTTAGATATGAAATATAATTTTGGGGTTATGGTTCCACTTTTTTTGACTCACCCTGTATATGTGGCATTTCATCCACGTACCGATAGAAAGCAGTTTATTGATGCAGACAGATTGCAACAGGTAAACATTGAAATCATGCCATACCTCCAATGTTGTCAAATCCATCTTCGTGAAGAAGTCAAAGCTCGTGTGAATGTTTCCAACTGCAACACGACTCTTCGTCTTCAAACAACGCAAAAGGGTGAAAATATACACTCTAGAACTGTCTATCAGATTGGGTAGTGAAACGGCCGCATCCTCCGGCAATTGACAGTTTTCACTTTCCTGTATGTAAAAACAACACAGTTTAATTGGTTTTTCAGAGAAAAATTAGACCAGAAAAGAGCAGAGGCAGAGCAGAGCAACACACAGTAGAGCAGAACACAGAACAGTAGAGCACACCACAGCACACCACAACAAAGTATAGCATACCAGAGCACAGGACAGCCGAACTGAGCAAAGCAGAAAAGAGCAGGGCAGAGTAGATAACAGCAGAATACACCACGGCATGCAGATTAAATACAGCAGAAAAAAGAAGGACAGAGCAAAGCAGTGCAGAGCACAGCAGAGCAGTTGCTGTTCTCTGCTCTGAGCAGGGAAGAGCAGAAAAGAGCAGGCTATGGCAAAGCGGAGAAGCAGAGAGCAGTGTGAAGCAGAGCAGCGCAGTGCAGAGCTTAGAGCTCGGCAGAGCAAAGCGGAGCCGAGCAGTGCAAGACACGGCAGGGCAGAGCCGTGCAGTGTCGAACAGAGCAGAGCAGCACAGTTCAGCACAACAGGGCCCAATTTCACGGCGCTGCTTAAACAGTTAGCAGAAAAGTTGTGCTTAGCATAGTGGACATATTTGCTAACCTTCAGCACTATTGCACGGCGTGGATGTGGTAATGGTCACGCGCAAGTTAAGCAAATTTTTCCTCTGAAGTAAACGTGCCTTTTGCTGTGCTTATGCTTACGGTCTCCATGAAGTAGACGGAGGCTCTGTTAGCAGTAAATCGTGTGCTTAGCAGCGCCGTGAAATTGGACCCGGAGCAGAGCAGAGTACATAGGCCTACAACACAGCAGAGCAGAACCTAGCCCCATAAATGTGGCCTATTTACTGGACTGCCTCCGTAAACATAGGCCACACATCCACATGTACAAAAATCGTGTCGACTTTGCCAAATTTTGATTTCCACATTCAGGCTTAGTTTGTAGGTTTGTTTTGCTTTTGAAGCATACTCACCCTCTTTATAGGCTAATCAGAAAGTGCTGCCTTTTTCAGATGTATATTTTTCGTGAAATTTCCAGATTCATTTTTACACGTTTGCGTATCAAAATTTCAACATGAAATTTCACAAAAATTAGACATCTGAAAAAGGCAGCACTTTCTGATTAGCCTATAAAGAGGGTGAGTATGCTTCTAAAGCAAAAAAATCCTACAAACTAAGCCTAAATGTGAAAATCAAAATTAGGCAAAGTCGACACGATTTTTGTACATGTGGATGTGTGGCCTATGTTTACGGAGGCAGTCCAGTAAATAGGCCACATTTATGGGGCTAAGCAGAACCCAGCTCAACACAACGCAGCAGGCAGAGCAGAGCAGTGCAGAGCAGGAAAGGACCAGGGCAGGGCAGAGCACAGCACAGCAAAGCAGAAAACACATCAGAGCAGAGCAGCGCTGCTCTGCACTGCTCATGAGCAGTGCAAAGCACATCACATCAAAGCACAGCACGTCAGGGCAGAACAGAGCAAATACACAGTGCAGAGCACTGCAGTGCAGCAGAGCAGAGCACCACTGTGTACATCAGAGCAGAGCACAGCGAGCACAACACAGCACAACGTGACACAGCAGAGCAGAGCGAAGTCTGCATACCCAGCCTCGAACCTATGGCGGACAGTGGATTTACATTACGCGTGTTAACACTATCATGAGCAGAGCAGAGCAGAAAAGGGGAGAGTAAAACAGAGCAGTATGCAGAGCAGATCAACAGTTCATACTGGAACAGAGCACCACAGACCACAGCAGAGGACAGGAAAGCACTGCAGGTCGAGTTGGGCATGCAATGCATAACAGAGCCTAGTACAGCGCAGCAATATACCACAGCACACCAGAACACAGCAGGGCACATCACAGCACAAGAAAGCGGCACTAGATATATTTTACCTTCTCAAACAGGTGTTTAAACTGACCACACTCCTCCTTCACTAACTGAAACCTGTCATCTCGGTAGAAGGTGGCACTACCATCCGTGTTGTCCTTGTCGATATCAACTGTGTCGTCTTCTGGCCTCATAAAGTAACAACCGGCGTAGCCTCTCCTCTGCATATCCTGCCTAAGGACATCGTCGTAGTATCGAGAGTTAACCTGTCAATAAAAGCAATTTCAGATGGGCCTACTTAAATTTAACCTTAAGGAATTCCAGCACAAACACTTACTCAACACTTTAAAAATTCATATGATTTTGAGCCATGCTGTAGTTGAGTTTAAACACAACTTCCTCATAGGCAATGTGCGGGATTGCAGGGATGGGGGGGGGTTGTCCTTGCTCCCCCCCCCCCCCCCCACAAAAAAGGGCAGTGAACACCAATAGCGATGTCCCTACGCAATCATTTATACCAGTATGCGTTTAGATTTTCACACAGTTTACCTAAATTTGCACTGTATTTTGTTCCAAAATGGTGTTATAGCTGTAAGACATTGTGCTTGTGCCCCACACTTTTCACATGAAATTGCACAATGGGCAATTCCGTAAATTCGGACGCACATGTACTGTACATGTCACACACTTTATAACGAGCTGCTGCTGGAAAGGTGAATATGATTCATCACTTATGCGCCTATCAATTGTTTCCCCCACCCCTCTCTCTCCCCCCCCCCCCAGGCTACCTCACCCAAGACGTGGGGAGTCACTTTTGACTGAGTGACAAAGTCCCCACCCTTCGGGCAAAATTTAAGTGACAATCCCCGACCATGCCCCGACATACATACATGGGGCGCACTAGTGATTGCCTTTCCATGTAGTACACCAATGGTAGCAATGTAATTTGAGTGACCAAAATCCCCACCCTGGGGCATAAAAAAACGTGACCAAATCCCGACATCGGACTTAGTAAATGCATTAATTGGTGAACCGGTGTCACGGTCTCACTTCTCCGGCGTACTAGCTTCTCCGAGAGGGAAATTTTGCTTCAACACGCATGCATGCGCAAAATTGCGCAGTAGTGTAAATTTTCGCCAAATTTATTTGTGTGCCGAGTTCTTTGGGGTTGTAATGGTTCACGTAAGATCTTAGGACATTTGTATCGTGTGTACGTTACATGGTACCAGTCGAATCCATAATTTTCGTGGCGCGCACAACTCCCAATAACCAAAAAAACTTAATCCTTTTTAGATACTATTTTCATTAGTAATGAATATGGATACTACGACCCTGCCAATATTGGCCAATGAGGAATCAAGATGTCAAGCTCACGCCTCAAACTCTGACCAATGACAATCGTTCCTCTGGGTCTGACGACTAGTAATAGCTGGTACCTGGAAAGGAATTTCAAGATTATTTCTTCTTTTATTTCTAAAGTTTAAAAACTAACTTTTATTTACAACTTATATTTGATTTTTCTTAATAGATGGATCGATGATCAGTTAATTTTAGAAAAATGAAGAGAAAAATAATTTACAACTTGATTGGTTCACTGCCCCCATAGGTTTGTGCATAAGCTGCACTGCTTGTTTGTCATGGGTGCATATGTTTCCCAATACGTATGTCCCCCAACCCTAACCCTAAGGATTTTGGGGAACATAAGGTATAGGAGAACATACATGTATTGGGGAACATCGGGTAGACCCTGTTTGTCATCCATACGTAATGCAATTCAAATGACCAAAAGGTTTACAATGTATTAGTACAGAGGTCAGTGATGGTGACCAATGGCCATGTTAGTTGTTATTATACAACACCTGAATATATCCCCGTCATCTGATTGGTGGATCGTTGATCACATGTCATTGAGTTATTCGTCCCAACGCACGGCGCGCGCGCAGCGCACAGTGCACACGGTGAATAGAACGTCCATTGCACGGTGTCACTGCTGCCGGTGTGGTGGTGTCGCTGTTTTAAATCGAGATCAATTGAAAATGATGGTTCTCAACCTGTTGAATAGTTTGCATAACTTAAATATGATGAACTTGTCGAACTTTTTTAAACAGTTTTTAACCTGAATAAATTGGCTATTAAAATTCAACCAATCAGATGACGAAGATTTATTCAACTGTTATATAAAACAAATAGCGTCGTCTTAATCTCGCTGGCCACTGTGTCCGCCACCCTGAGCTTGCTGCCCACCCAACCATACTGTGGGAGCCCACCCAGGGCACTGCCTTAAGAGGGAGAAGAAGTCTGACCTTTGTGGACCAGCTCAAGAGGGACACTGATCTCACATCTGCGGAGGAGCTGCGCACCTGCATGGTAGATCGAGACAGCTGGAGGAAGGGGACTCAGGGACTGGCTCGTGATGTCGTCACTACCCAGGCGATCCTGACATGATGATGAAAAAAAATAATGAATGTTTCATGTTCGTGCAATGGAAAGAATAATTTCATTCGGTGACAGATGAATGTTCCATTCCACATCTGTCACCTCATGAAATTATTCTTACCATTGCACTCACAAACATTCATTATTTGTATAATATACCTCTTGCATGCAGATAACATCTGCATCCTTGTGATGGTCAATCTCCTTCATAAGCAGAGGGTGTCTCCGACCAGTAGTCAGCAATTCGTCCGGACAGGACGGGTAGATCCCCTCCGGACAAAAGGCCTTGTTCAGAATGTTGTAAGTCATCACCACCAAATCTCCAACGGCGTGCTGCGGGCCTGGTCGGTGTCCGCTCCAGACCCATTTGCGTTGTAGATTTGGCGGTACATGTAGATCCATGGAAGAACCTATTTTCTCGACCACAGCAAGAACTGGACTTAGCGTTGGTTCTGTTGGAAGTTAGTTACGGCAGCTTTGAATACCTGCCTGTGATTTTTGTTCGATCTTCGATGGTAAGCACGTCACGTGCACTGCATGTGAGGAGTTACGGAATAGTATAATTAATAGCGGAATAACGTGTGAGATAGCCTTCAGCTCTACAACGTACATGTAAATGAAAGTATAATACACAGTACTTTATCTTATTAAAGCCATGGGTACAATGATCACAGTCCAAAGATCACGACATCACACGGATGTCAGACAAGTCGACCGTTGAGACAACTCGACTCGGGACAAGTCGACCGTTGAGACAACTCGACCGTTAGACAGGTCGACCGTTGAGACAACTGGACTCGGGACAACTCGACCGTTGAGACTGCTCGACTAAATGGAAATGAATGCACGTGGATCAGAAAAAGTTGCACAAATCTGTGGCAAGACCGATCACGGGCGCGGCGCGGGCATACTCGATGTACAGAGGGCGCTCCGATCCGGTGGCCGTCGCGTCGGGCCGGTGCGCCCCGCCCGGCCGCGAGGACCGGGCCGTTCTCGGCACGCGGGCACGTCGACCGGTGCGGCAAGTGGGCACACAGGCCAGGCAAAAACGATGCCACCGTGCACGGTACGGCCACGTTGATCGGGGATGCGCGCACGTGGCCCAGAACAAACGAACGATGTGCACGGCCAATCACGCTGCGCTATATCGGCTCTTTTAATGCAAAAAAAAACCTTCATATGTCATTACTCCCAAACGGCGACCAGCCGCCGTCAAAATCCCCGGTACTTTCCCCAAACCTAGGCCCAAAACATGCGAGGCGACTTGTCTCAACGGTCGACTTGTCTTTCCACTTATCGCACATACGGTCGAGTTGTCTCAACGGTCGAGTTGTCTCAACGGTCGACTTGTCCCGAGTCGAGTTGTCTCAACGGTCGACTTGTCTGACCCCCCATCACACAACCAGCCGTTTGGTTGCGAAGGTCACACACAACGGTGCATTGACCCGGCGACCCGCACAGCCCCACTGCGTTGACCGGACTATACATAAACAGCAGATCGATCCTGCGTGTTTCAGCAGCGCGCGTCATGCGCACGTGCACGCACGTCAGACATTAACCATTGTGAAAGGGGCTTTCACACTAGACGAATTCCCCGGCAATTCCCCGGGAAATTGCCGGGGAATTTCGGTCGGTCTGTTCACACTACAAAAAAATCCCCGGGGAATTCCCGGGGAAAAGCTTTTCCCCGGGAATTTTTTACCCCTGCTCGGGAGTAGGGTTAAAGGAGAAATCCCCGGGGTTTTACGTATTTCCCGGGGAAAAGAAACTAGTGTGAACATCGGCGGGTTTGAACTTACCCCACCTTTTTTTCCCCCTGTATCGATCGCATTTTGCGACACAATATTCAAGTGCTCCGAACTTTTGGAAATAAATCGCAACTTGCAAACGGTGTTCAGTTTGTCGATCGGGCCGTCGCGTGACTGAAATACTCACAACTTCAGTTCGCAGCGCCTGGAAATGCAACTTTTATCCTCAAAACATAACCATTTTCCAGCAACGTTTGAACGAACATGTAGGCATTATCCATGATAATTTTCCAACTGAAAGACTCCCAACTAATTCGCGTACGCTGCGCCTGGAAAATCTCACCCACTTTTATCCTCCAAAACAGACAACTGTCATCCAACAACGTACGTGTACATGCATTTTCCATGAAAATTTCTTCGACGCACGTGCTGAGCTGCAGTACTGCGTCACCAATGTGGATCACACCATTTACTTTAGGGGTGTACCATATTCTTTTTTTTTTTTTAAGAATATTTACCAGCATTTCCAAAATTATACAAAATTCTCTTTATGAAGTTCGAAACATTTCAATGTTAGAAAAGAAGCTCCTCAACATCACAATGTAATTTTTGTTAAGAATTTATTCGAGAAACGATCGGTATCATTGAATGATCCGTCCATATGATGCGAGGCGAATTGCCGTATGTTTTCCGAAGAAGAAAAGTTGATTTTTTGACGTTGCAAAGTCGTTGCTAAAAATAAAAATTTGATAAGATTGGTAGTAAAAAGAGGCCTGTTTGTTCTTATGGCATGCTCCCGACAATGCATGCGGGAACATTTCATCGGCCCGGCTCGGAAGAGCGGGTTAATTGGCCGGGCGCCGGGCCGGCTCCGTGTCCGTCGGGGGATAGGTAGGTAGCAATTCTCGATGCGTATTTCTCAACGTCATCATCAACGAGAAACTGAAAGTTTTCTCGAAATTAATAGCCGACTGTCCGCCTGAAAACTTTTGCACAATTCCCGGGGTTTGATTGCGAGTGTGAAACGATCGTGCATATTCCCGGGAAATAGTGTCCCCGGGAGTTATCAAATGTGTCTAGTGTGAATGGTTGCTGGGGTGTTGGTGGGGTAAAAAATCCCCGGGAATTTCCCGGGGATTTATTTCCCGGGGATTGGCTGTGCAGTGTGAAAAAGCCTTCATGATTTGACGAGAAAAGACGGTGCCCCTTGTTCTTCTCAACCAATCAAACGGTTGTTACATGAATGGAAAGCTTATTGTGTTATCTTTCAGAAACCGTGCGAGGTAATTGTATGCGACCGGGTTGCGTAATTTTTATTCCTAGGAGGGTTAGGGGCAATGTCATGAATAATTCATGTTTATCCATGAGAACGGACAATGACATCAACAGCATTGTTGTTAGTTACTCAACTAGTTACAATACATTAAAGCATTTTAAAGAACAATGGTCGTCGAGCTACCACACAGTAGCCTAGTGGATAGCGAGATGAGCTATGGATACAAAGATCCCTGGTTCGAATCCACGTCGTCGCTGCTCATTTTCATCAGCTATTTTTCTTCTCCAAAATTATCACTGAGATAATTTTAAATTAAGGGGAAAATAGAACGAGAACCTAAGTCTTGCAATGATTCAAAGGAAAAACTGAATTATTCATGACATTGCCCCTAACCCTCCTAGAAAAAAAAATTCGCGACCGGGTTCACACGTGTGCTGTTCGAAGAAGTAAACCCGCACCCTCAAAAATCGGGGAAATGTGCCGTGATCTCCATAGGAAACGCGAAATTTTCACTGAGTTACCCGCGTTTTTCAATGAAAAAGTGCACATAATTATTCGCCTTTAACAATGAAGAAATTATATTCATGTGAAAGAGGAAAACCTATATTTTATGATGCGATGCGAGGAAGTAAGTTTAACGTACCAACATTATTATTTAACTACATTTATTTATATTATATTATGTGAACTGTTGCTTATGTATATACATGTATGAATGGAAATAAAACAAACAAACAAACAAACATACTTTCCGCATATTAACGAAAGTTTGCTGAGAGCGCCTAGATATGAGCCAGTCTTCCCACGTAAACAGAGCTGCACTAGTGGCGAGTGAGCAAATGCTCCCTAGTTCTCCATATATCGTTTGTCAGTTAGCCCATGGAGGTAGAACCATATTGTGTTTTATTCCTAGCTTGAGTAACTCCAGCTGACACGCTCATATCATGGAGGAATAAAAACACACATATGTGAATGAATATGAGCATGTGTCAGCTGGAGTTACTCAAGCTACTTTATTCCAGACCCTGCATTCCTTCACATACCACAGATTCTCGCCAAGGTGTATTTAAGTCATTCAATGTGATAGAATAGTCACTTCAGGTTCAGGCACTATGTCCACGCTGTAATATTAGTGCCGTCCATCAACTACAGTATAACTGGCACATAATGTCGACCGAACGAGACCAGTCCACAAATCCGTCAGTGACTTTCAAGAATGCTCATTACGAGCGAACCCATACCCTATACAAAATACAATCGAGATTGTATACGACTTGATAACGTATGTTATCAGTCATCCAGTAGTAGTTGATGATTTTTCTTAATTGAATCAAATACTGGAACTTACTTAATTTTTGCAACTGTGCGACGTTGCGTCCGAAACCATCGGACTTCGTCAGGCAACTGGTGACCCGTGGACTGGTCACGTGAGAGACGGCTAGGAATCCCTTGAATGGCCCGGTCCCAGGCATGTGATAGGTTGAAGTGTATAGCCCCCCTCTTTTGTTGAGTGTTGGTTGTTCGACCCTTTCCCGGATGGCTTCCCACACCATATGAAAAACACCAAAGAATTCGCCAATCAGATCAAAGACATCTGTCTAAAGGACGATGAGACAATAACATCTTTCGACGTCAAAGCATTGTTCACTTGTATTCCACCTGACGTTGCGATCCAAGCGGTCCAGGAATTTCTTCAGAAAGACACTACCCTGAAGGAACGTACAGCATTGAGCGTCGAGCAACTCATTGAATTGGTGGACATTTGTCTGAAGACTACATATTTCTCATACACTGGAAAATTCTACAAACAACAACATGGCTGTGCAATGGGTTCTCCAGTTTCTCCAATTGTAGTCAACCTTTGCATGGACATTTTCGAGCAAAGAGCACTCAACACCTACAAAGGACCTAGACTGTGTTTAAGATACGTGGACGACACTTTTGTCATCATCGAACACAACGAACAGGCACCTTTCTTTGAACACATCAATAACATTGATGAACACATTAAGTTCACCCAGGAGCCCTGCAAGGAGAACAAACTTGCTTTCCTAGATTGCCTGGTCACCCGCAATAGCGACGGTACCCTCTCTTCTGACATATACAGAAAACCCACACACACAGACCAGTACCTGGAGTTTGATTCTCACCACCCCTGGTTCATAAACTAGGGGTCATCAGAACTCTGCAATATAGGGCAGACACCATCATAAGTGACGAGGACCAGATCCCCAAGGAGAAGGACCACATCCAAACTTCACTCCATCAATGTGGATATATACCCCGACTGGGCTTTCCACAAAGTCAAGAAGAACAAACACCAACGTAAAGACAAAGGCGGGGCGAAGCCAGTAAAAGCCCGGGTCACCATCCCCTACGTTGCCGGACTGTCTGAACGGATCAAGAACTCTTTCAAGTCACGTGGCATTGCCACTTGCTTCAAACCGTGCAACACCTTACGGGGGAAAGTAGTTCAAGTGAAGGACAGACAGCCCAAAGATACACGTTCCAACGTGGTATACGGGATCATCTGCGGGGATAAAGACTGCTCGGAGTCTTACGTTGGGGAAACCAAACAATCCCTAAAATCCAGGACCTACCAACATCGGCGGCCTAGCACAAACGAGGCACAAAACTCTGTTGTCTTCTTAC